AGAGTTCCTGATCAGCAAAATGAGTTGGTTTAAAATGACGGAAGAAGAACAACGAATGCAAACACCTTCTTTCTTTTAAAAATGGAACAAATGGAAGAGGCTCTCAAGCCAATTACCCATGCTAGTTAAGAAGATTTCCACTATGAAGCCGCTCTGCTTTCACCTATCAGACTGCTCTCCCTGTATCAATAATTTGAGTGTGGCTTTAAGTAGAAAGCCCTGACTGTCAGCTCTCGTGATTCTCTGCATGTTCCCGATGTCTATCTAGATGCCGGCCTTCATCCCCATCAAAGCTGTCTCCCAGCTTGTAAATCACTCTCTGACATGATCGGCTTTGACCACAGCGGAGTTGGTAAAACTTTTGCGAAAGAGGAACTTTTAACACAATCGGCCCTGGCTGGGAATCGGTGCTCCGATCAAACCCTGCTTCCCCACGGTCCGATTGTGTAACGGCTAATGCTCTAATGCGCTAAATGAACAGCAGAATTTTTGTACGCCTCTAAAAGCATCTGTTGGTTTGTCGTGGTGCAGCCATGCCTGCTCCATCGTCCACATGTCGTTTCCGCTCCGAATGCATTCTTCAGTAATGAAATGAGTTTGTGCAATTAGCTCAGCTAGAATGTTCTATGAATCCATGCGAGCCCATTTCGGGGTTTTATTCATGCAATCTGAAAGGTCAGCGGCGTGAATAGCTGTCGCTGTTAAACTGGAAATTTGGGGGGATATTGATGGACTGACTGTGTGTTCTGTCAGCTGGATTGTGACCAGCATGCCTAAGGCATTTGTTGGTCTGTCAGCGGATGCTGGGGGTGAATAACTTAACAAAACACTTGGGATGCACTGCAGATTTTTCTTTTTTCTCGTAAGTCTTCAGGAACAATCCAGCTCAAAATTAGCGTTAACGATGGTTACACAATGAACATGTAAGTGACTCATTTATCTATTTATAAACGAATCACATCTGGATCGGTTGCTTTGGGCTTTTGGCCCATTCATGACATGGACATATTTTATTTCACTCAATTTAAGGTTACATGTTTGCACTTTTGTAGAGCCAATACAACTGTTATTGTTTGTGTGTGTTCTTTGTGGATGTCTACCATGCAGATAACTCACCGAGTTAAACTGTCAGTACTAATACTGATCAATCTACAGTGATGTACCTAAGTATCGAGCCAAGCTGTCGTGTTTGGGAAGCAAAACAAGGAATATGTGAGAAATGGAAAAAGGGGATTTAAGGCATAAGAAAACCATTTTTATGACTTTAATAGTTCCTTTTTGCTTCACTCATAAGCACCTTGTTAGATGTTGGCTTCCTTTATGCTGTTCTCAGTCAGGATGATTCCACACTGCTTCAGTAAAACTCTGGGCAGGATTCATCACTCCATTATAACTGATACCACTTTGTTTTTATTACAACATATATTTTGCCTGTCACACTGTTTCCTTTCGCATATTTTGCGGGGTAAAAAAAGAAATAAATTATGGTACGCAGCGAGGTGCTCGAAACAAGGCAGCAGAAAATCCAAAAGACAATTAGTCTTTTTGATTTGTCGCTTGTTGTGAGGGAATACAAATCTGATCATCCCTGGAGTTAAAACGCAAAGACTTGAAATGCAAAGATCTTCAAGCAGTCACATTTCCAGATGTTTATTCTGGCATTGTTTTTAATGGTAATAGCTTTAGGTTTTGCTGATATTTGACAGCTGACATGATGAATATTTTGCATCCATGCATCTTATTTTTCTATCCAGTTCATACATAACCGAACTACCAATGAAAAAAACAGGTAGAGCATTGAAAATGAGTTACAATATTTAATTCGGTAAATCAAAAGCTCAATTACTACATTGTTTGAGGGTAAAACATCACACTCAGACAAAGGCAAACCATCTTTTATTGTTCATGTTCTCCTTTTTTGTTGTTTTTTAGTGCTAAGCTAAAAAAAATCATATCCATTAATGATCTAACCAACTTTATATTCTTTTTCAACTAAATTCAGACTGTGATTGATATTTTTGCTGACATTTTAAAATATTTCCACAAATGGAACTTTCTGATCCACTGAGTTTTGACTCCTGTTTAAAATTAAGGTATTTTGAGAAGAAAATTTTTATCACAGGTGACGGATGAAAAACCCTTCCAATGAATCCGTCCGAAACCATGAACAAAGATCCACCCGCCACTACAACCTGCGATGCGGCGTGCAGCTCCTAATCTCTGCAGCATCCTCCCAGGAAGCCACTGAGGGTCAGCCAAGTAAAGCATCTTAAACACACAGAAGCCTTCAAATCATAAATCAAGCACTAATGGCACCGCAGACGGAGGGAAAACGTCCCAAAGACTTTTTCGCGGGTTCAGACGCTCACCGTCCCATCCGCACCCTGACCTCTGCCTCTCCCAACATTTACACCAGACCGTGCAAACAACGCAGGGTGTGCTAAACCTCCCTGATGCTCACTCACTTGCAAATCTAGGGCACCGAACTGCTCAACACAAAACAGACAGCAGTGACAGATTTAGAAAATAAAAGATTAAATGCTCCTCAGCTGAGAAAACAATTTTTTTTTTTTAATGTAAAAAAAATCCCCCTGTCACTTGGTAGTTACTCAATAAATCATGCGCCTGGTGAGAACATGAACTAAAGAGCGCACTGTTTGTGCTCCACATATTCAAATGTACCCTGGTGCGCAACTTCATGTCGCTACTACCGAAGCTTCTCTGGGTTTGACTGCGAAAAAAGAGAAATAAAAATGATCTTTTCGCACTAGCAGGTACTGAGAAATGCTCCCATCCACACATGTACGGTCACACAAACACACCTGGGAAGATAACAGCAGCCCAGAGATGTCCCCCCCCTTGAGGAAACCTTATATTTAGAGTCACAGGATCAAGGTCAAAGCGGGGGGCACATTAGTGGGAGCGATGTGCTGCGTACACGCCGCTTTTCCCGAGGAACGGCCCCGCGACAACAGGTCCTCCTCTGCTGAGCGCCGCACTGCTCGCTGTGATCCCAGATTAGCTTTCATCAGGAAAGAGGGAGCAGTTTAATTAAACAGAGCAGATCAGCTCCTCACACATGAGATGGATAAAAGAGGAAGAGAGAGGAGGGAAGGGAGGGAGTGAGAAATTAGGAAAAATTAAAGACCGCATGGAGTCTGGGGTGGGAAAACGGACGCGAATCGACACAAAAAAAGCCCGCCGTAACCTTCTGAGGAAACGGCTGAAATCATCACAACAAAATGAATAATTCAGAAGGGGGATGGAGGGAAGGTTGAGTTCTCTCTAATGAGCGTTTTTGTGAGGTCGCAGTTTGGTAACCTAAGCAGGCCTTCAAGTGTGCGCGTAGGTAAAGGGAGAGATAGTGCTGACTCAGGAGGGATGGCTGAAGGTGACCCTGGCCTGCTCCCGCCGCCTCTCTCACCACCTGATATTGATCCCAGTTGTCCAACTCAGATCTGACTCAAGGATACGTTCCTTGCCTTCTTGACATTTCAAATACGGCAGTGTCTAAATTGCGACGGCATCGATTAATTATTGATGCGCCTCCCGACTGAGCGTGAGCCACTTCCGGTGCGCGAACCCCTTCCAACTTCGACTGGATCTCGAAACCCAGGTGGTGCTGGCGTGGGTTTGTTGTTTGTTGTTGTCGTCCTCGTTGAAATTTCATCGGGCCGCACATGACGCGTTAAGGACTAAGAATAGAGCAGGCTACAACTGCAGAATTCAAATGCAGAGGCTGGGAGCAAAGGTTTGGACCACAGATGGGTGAATGTGCCTGCGCAGCCCTGCACTGTCAAGGGTAAAGCGCACACATGCACACATGCACACATGCACATGCATACTTTAGCCTCACCTTAAAAACAGCAGCATGAATATTCATGATGCCAGAAGGACTCAGGAGGTCCATAATTAGACAATCAACAACTCCCAGATGACACGCATTACTACGACAAAGGGGAAATGCGCCTCATTTCATCCTCCTCGCTTGTTAGCGGTTAAAAATAAAGGGGGGAGTTGGGTTCATAAGTGAACACGCATCTCCACATGCTCAGGGATCAGACTTCAGCTGAGAGCTGAAAAGCGTGGAAAATAAAAGCCACACGGCCGATGAGTTTGCGGAGCAGACGACAGGAGAGCAAACATCGTGAGGACCAGAGGGGGCCGGGGCATGCCTCAACTCCACCACATGTGTTTCCTTTTCCAGCAAATGAATGACTGCTATATGAGCAGCGTTACCTACACAGCCCTCCAAATCCAGAACCCTGCACACTTTTAAGCCTCTGTCCTGCATCAATCACCTCAAAACAAGCTCCCTTAATCAAACTGGGACACACCCAAAGCAAACAGCAACAGAACACACACACAGACAAACAAACAAGTGCACGCGTAGAATGCTGCAAAGCCCTTGTGCACAGTCTCACGCACGGACGTGCACACACACCTGGCTGTGAGGTACAGAGCGTTTCCCGGGCAGCCTATTATAAGGGAGAATGGGTGCCGGTGTTCTGAGGGACGGGCGTCCCTTAATGTTTTATCAGAGCCATTTCTGAAGCTGGAGATTAGAAATGGGAAAAGAAAATAGAAACAAACTTTCTAAATCACCACAAAAAAAATCTATTTATCTATTATAAGCACATAGACGGACATGTGCACACATAACCACACACACACACACACAACATGCATCCCCAGCCCAGCTGTTGAAGAAAAACTTAATCTGTTAAAACTGACACTCTCATCCCTAACGTATGCCTTTTAATGGAAACACCCATGTTCTTTCCCTCTCAGCTCACAAGTTTACATGAACACAAACACACACTACCAGCTCCTGTCAGTCACCCACTCCCCTCTCTCCCCCCCACACACCACCCGATACACACACACCTTTTTCTCTCTTCCACTCTCTCTCTCTCTCTTTCACACACACACACACACAGACACTTAGATGACACACAGCAGATTCTCAGATGTCTGATATTTTAGGGGAAAACACTGACCTGCCTTGCCGCTGACAGACGCACATCCTCTTCAAGCAGTTCAGCCTTTCAAAGAGGATCCGTTTGAACGCGTCTATATACATTGACCCGGCTGAGGTTAAATAATGAGCCAGCACTTCAAAAATAAAGACGAGTTGCCCGGTGTGGAAATGTGGGAGCAGCAGCAGCAGCAGCAGCAGCCTGGAGGAAAGGTGGGAGCGCAGCGATGCTCTCCCCGCAGCCAAGCCCACAGAAAGTCAGACGCGATGTGCACGGCTGACGGGATATTTGGACACTAGTGATGCTCTGAGAGAGCTGTGGTGATCTCGTGGAGAGTGAGCGAGCGGGGAGAGAGGGGGGAAAATAACAGACACACACACATGCACACACACTCTCTCCCCTCCACACACGCACACACACTCTATCGGGCAAATCTGACGTTTTCCAGCAGCTGCTGCACCGCTGTGAGCAAAAGAGCTCAAAACAGAGGATGGATGGATGGCCGTGGCCAAAACGGACTATTTTAACTTGAGCAAAGTGTTCGGTCTTTTCCTTTAGAGAAAGATTAACTGCCGGTTTCTTACCTCCATGCTCGGCTCTCTCCGCGTCAGGTCCTCTTCTCCCTGCCTCCCTTCTGTACGGTCCTCCAGGTAGCCTACAGATGCCAGTACTTTTAGATTAAACAATTATACTAATAAAAAAACAGAAGTGCAAATGTCGTGTTTTTTTTTTTAAATCTATCAACCAGAGTTAAGGTGCCATTGAGCTGCAGGCGCCGTGTTCTCAGGCCGAGAAACGTCAATCCTGCGAGACCAGACAAAAAGAGCCACGGGCTGTTCTAAGTTCAAAATAAACTTAAGTTGACGACCATAGCGTTCAAATGGAGCCTACTTTAAGCGGCTGGTAACAACGAAAAATGTCTCATGAGAAGGTTATCTTGAGAAGTTCGGGAGCACTGAGGGGAGGGGAAAGAAAAGAGTTAAAAGAACCGCCCCTAAACAGGCTCCCGCATCAGCAGCATCACTTTCAGCATCAGTTACAATCAGTTCTTAAAGGCGTGAGAACCAGGTGTGACCGGGAAAGGTTTCACGTTGTTTTTTTCGTCTGGTTATGAAACATTTTTACATTAGCAATAACAGATCGTGTTGTTTGATGCGCGTAGAATTAATACAGGCCCTCAACCTAAGTGGTGAATGCGTTTACAAACATATCCCCGTCAGAAATGCTACTTTTTAAGAACAGTATTGATTCCAAAGTTTTGTAATACAACCATGTATTGATCACAAATAATTTTCATGAAAGAAAAAAACTTTAAATTGATTTTTTTCATAAACGCGGAAAAAGCCATGGCCAGACATTATGTCACTTTAATTGGTATAAAATATACATTAAATTGTTGGAGTAAATATCTAAACAACTTGCTGGTTGTGTCAGATTTAAACTCTTCGAATTGAATTATAAAAACATGATTGCGCGAAGAAGATACAATCTTTCACAACTCTTTGGAGTACCATGCACCTTTAATTGTAGTGTATGACGGGATGTGTAGTCATTTTAATCAAGCTAAGTTACTGGGGTGTGGAGCTCTTGGTGTGACGAAAAACACTCCAACTCCCAGAATTCTTTGCTTCGTCTTCATATTTCTACAAACAATAATGGCGTCGTACGGAGACGAAACAAGCGATCCTAAATCTGCTATTTCCGAGGACACTGGAGAGAGAAAAACGGCGGTTTCATTTGGTTTTTCCAAAACAGTCAACAAATTCAAACCGTCTACTGTTAACGCTCCCGCAAAGAAGGACGACAAAGATTATCTGACTGGAATTGACCGAAATGAATTACAGAGGTACGCTGACTATGCTAATGCTAACGCGGTGAGCGGTACGATACAATTTCAGCCCTGACAACTAAATGAATTTTGAGCATTGGAAATAGATGCTAACTGGGACTGTCTGTAACATTTCCTGATAAGGATACAAAATAAACCAAAACAGCTGCCATGTCTCTTAACTGTCGTTTACCTTGCAGTTCAAAACCATCCGAGAAGCCCAAAGAGCTCATCATCCCTTTGATCCAGAAGAACCGCTGGCACAAACCGAACCGGGCGGGCCAGGTGACGGAAAGTGAAGGGAAAATCAAAGAAGAGGGTCGTGACAACGACTCCGTGGATTCGCAGGCTGTCAAAGAACTTATTGAAGGTGTGTATTCCGTGATAGGAAGGGGAGGTGACCCTGTGCCTAAGAGTCTCCTTAATCATCTCTGCGTTATGCTTTCAGATTCAAGGAGGCAGCTGGAGCAGTGGCAAAATGGATCCCAGTCAGAGGCCAACCTTAACCTGTCCATCCCCCTGTTGATGCAAAACAAAGCGCCGGAGGGCTTTGAGGATGGAGACCACGTAAAGGTGGACCTGCGTCCAGAATCGGTAAGTGGGAGTGGATTTATGCACACAGACTTTTGGACATATTAGATCCAATGTGATGATACATAGCTGGTGATTTTAGGAGGTTAGTCTATATCCTACACAGGAAAAGAGAAGTTGTGAGAAAAAAGTCTCCCAATTTCTAGAGCTCGTGATACTTTGTTGTAGAGTTCATAAAAGATTGTTCTCAAGCTTCCAGCAGTTGACCTCGAGACTTTTGGAGTGCAGCACAAAAATGACTGTCAATTGTCTTGGTGCAGTCAAAAAACATGTAAAGATAGGCCACAGAAACTACCAGTTTAGGGATCACTTATGTGGGCGTGCGAGGAATTGGTCTCATTGATGTAGCTAAATCATCAGTGTACTAACGGTGACATTATTGGGCAAAATTGCTGAATTAAAAAGCTTACCTCAGTTGCCAGAAAGTGCTGATTGACGGCAAAAATGTGCTTGCGTGTGTTTATTTTCGTCTGCGTCGCTCGGCCTGACAGCCGGCTGCCTTTCACGAAACATTTGTAAAGCAGATGTTAGATAAGGACAGGGCTCCCAGGCTCTGGCTTAATTATGATTTCTTGAATGGTCTGAAGATGTGACGGGAAGATCCCGATAGGATCTACCAGACAGGCGTGTCAGCGGGGACATGGAAAAGGCCTGACAGTACAAAATGCCTGGTACAGTGGACTGGCTGCTGAAATTTGAGTGTGTGAAAGTGCTGAGTTTGAGCCGCACCCCCCTGCGTGCGTGCAGGCACAGTTGCACGTATGGGTGCGGATGACTTTGTCAGTGAGGCTTTGGTGGCAGACGGGCATCAGCGTTCTCCCCAGAGACATGAGCACAGCCAATCAGATCTCTTCCTGTGTCTTTTCAGAACAGGCCCTCACGTGTCCCCTTACTGCCATCACACGTCCGCGCTCAGTCCCTGTAGACGTGGGAATCGGGAGGGTCCGGCTCGTTGAGCCTGGAGTTAATTTTTAATACGGTTGCCTCCACGATCGCAGCCCTCAGCCCCCCTCAGAGGGAGGCCTTCGGCGGAGACGGGGATGAGTGGGGCCACTGCCGGGATCAGGGCGGCAGTAGCTGCTGACCTTTGTCAGCCGGGTGTGAGTGTGACGGCCGGGGGCCAGAGGGCTGAGTAAGACCGCCTTTACGGGCCGCCACGCTCTGTCAGCTGCCGCCAAACAGCTTTGTCGTATTTCCAAACTCAAAAGATTACATAAGCACCCGGTTTTAGCCTTCAGGCCCATCAGTGCTGAGCGTGCTGTCTGTTGTTTTTAACATTTATTAGTGGCTTCAGTGACTCCGTATTGGTAATCAGATCATTTAACTGCACGTGGTTATCAGTCAACAGAGGCAGATTATGAGAGCATTCCTGTGGAGGCTTACGGGCTTGCAATGCTCAAAGGAATGGGTTGGAAGAAAGAGGAAGGAATCGGACGGACCTTCAAACAGTAAGTGACAAGTCTAGCATCCTGCTTTGCTGTTTTTCTGTTCTGGTTTTCAAAATCTGAATCATAAGAATTTGGCCTAAAAAAACAACAAAAGTTTGAAATCCTTTAAAACCTATGTTTGTTTCAAATGACTTTGATAAAGTAATATGTAAATAAAGTATATATACCTTTCAGATAGTAACAGATCTGTTGTACAGCTGGACTGTTTTGCTGTGGTGATCTGTGCAGGCTTTTTATTCTGAAGATCTATCCCAGGGTTCCTCCAGATTTAAAAAAGTCATAGAATTGATGGAGTTAAATGTTTTATAAATCATCGCATTCTGACGAATCCCCGTCTCCATCACTGTATTATTTTATTGGAAATAATCAATTTGTCAAAAAACTAATTAAGCAAAAAATGTTAATACAATGATAGAAAAGGATTTTTTAAAAATCTGTTTATTGAAACTTTTAGACCTCATATTATGAAATCAGTGATAGCAGGCAACACCAAGCTTTCATTATTCCTTACAGATTGAGTTAGCGTTACCTTTTTCTATTTGCTCTCCATTTAACTGCAGTCTCACCCTCAGACCTGAAGCTGTGTCCACGGCTTGCATCTTTTATGTCCGGCTCCACCGGCTTATTGATTGGACTCTCTCCTCCACAGAGATGTGAAGCCTATAGAGCACCAGCTCCGTCCTAAAGGGCTGGGCCTCGGCGCTGACCGCTCAGCCATAAAGGATCTGGAGCCGGGCAGGCCGCAGCGCCGCCCGAAGCCAGGGGACGAGCCGGCGAAGGAGGAGGAGCTGGTGCTGGGGCCGGGGGGGTGCGTGCTGGTGCAGTCGGGGGCGCATAAGGACCTCTACGGCAAGGTACCCTAAGTGGGTCGCGTCAGCCAGCCCCCCCCCCCTTTTTCTTTGGTGCTTTGTCCTAACTTTTTGACCTGTCTGTGGCAGATCGAAGGCGTCGATCCGGACAACGCGCGAGTGATGGTGAAGCTCGCCATCGGCGGGAAAACGGTGACGGTCAGCCAGCACGGCATTAAACTGGTCGGGCGAAAAGACTACGACAAGTACAGCAAAGACCTCAGTGAGCGCCGCCCCCGTTCCTCTTATTTTACTTCACCGAGCGGGTTCATGCACTCATTTTTGGTTCAATTTTATTGACCGTTTGCCCAACACGCAGGTCGCCTCAGTAAAGCCCACAAAGACAAGGAAAGGGAGAAAGAGAAGGAGCGAGCGAGGCGCGACGAGGCAGAGAAAAGCAGCAACAGCGACAAGGCAAAGCACGCCTCGGCGGAGAGGGATGGAGGAAAAGACGAGAGGAAGAGGAAACACAGGGACTCCAGCCAGGACAGGTGCATTCTCACAGCAACACCAGCGTCTTTGTGTTAACTGAAACATTCCGTTACCAACCGGATGGCTTTTTTTTTCCCTCCACAGAGACAAACCTCCTGTGAAGGAATCGAGGCAAGCACCAGCTGTCCCCTCCTGGCTCCAGAGAGACCTTAAAGTTCGCTTTATAGACAAAGCTTTCAAAGGGGGCAGGTACTACAATTCAAAGGTACATAAGCAAAAGCATCTTTTCAGTTTGGGTGTTTGCTCTTAACTCTGATCGAGACCAATCGCTTTGCTAAATCCCGATTATTGGAATTGTTTTGGGGACTACGCTAGCCACAAAATATTCAGTTTTCCATGCCCCTAAGTGTTGTCTTTGTCTCAGCTTTTAAAACCGGTCTGGCTCTCACGCAGATGCGAGTGGAGGACGTCCTGACACCATCTACCTGCGTGTGTCGAACCGAGGAGGGGAGACTGTTAGACGGTGGGTCACCGGCGCTGTCTCGGCCCCGCTCGGTGTCGGCTCTCTCCATTTTCTCACCTTGTAAACTGTCACAGCACATCTGGTCTTTGCGATTCACCGGCTCACCAAATGGACACATCCATATTTTGTAGTGTGAACAATCCTAAGATCATATACGGAGGAGGTGTGAGCCAGAAATATCTTGGTATTCTTTGTATTTCTGCATTGCAGCTTCTCGGCTTTAACCTTAAATCCCCCTTTGGTTTAATTTAAAAGTGCAGTTAACCGCACAGTAGTTTTCTCAGTTTTTAGTTCTGTTTTTTTTTTACCGCTGCCAATTTCTCTGCTTGAGAGGAGATCCTCTTCTTACACTCAGTGATTTTACTGACCCGCTTCCACTTCATATTTCTTTATTTCAATTGTCCTGTGGTGCCGGGAAGTCAAATTTCTGCTAACATTTCGTCAACGTGTTCCCTTTTGCTCTCCCTCCTTAATTCAACTTATTTTTTTCATCCTTTTTAAGGCCATCAAATTCAAAAAAAATTTCCCCACCACCCAAAACAATCACATTTTGAACATTCACAATGTCCTGTTTTAAGTAAAATATCATGATTTTGCAGCACAGCCTTAATCCCTGTTTTCAATGATAATTTTACAGGTCATAGCAACTTTTTTTTTTTTTTTAAATGAATGAGTCCCTCAATTCCCTCTCTAACTGTCAGTGTACAACTCTTTTCTGCTCTCTGCTCCAGACATCAAGCAAGCGATGCTGGAAACCATTATCCCAAAAAGTGAAAACGACTACATAATGGTGGTACTGGGGGAGCACAGGGGACAGGTGAGCACACATTTACCTCTTCCCTGCCCATACCTGTGTGCTTCTTTTGCTCAGCGGCTAACTGTTACTCCATTTGTCCGCTCAGGTGGGCCGCATCCTTCAGCGGGACAAGAACAAGTGCAGAGCGATGGTCCAGCTGGACAGATACGAGGAGAAGCTGTTCACACTGGACTATGACTGCATTTGTCACTATATCGGAGCAGCAGACTAGTGACCTGCAACACTCCAGCGTTTCATCCCATGTCTTGCTAAATGTTCCTTTTTGTAATATTCAATAATGAATTCAAGATTTGCGTGTTTTTTTTTTTTTTTTAATAAACCGTTAAGAAATCTGTGTAAATGTTGTCGCCGCCAATAAAGAAGCTCCAAACAGCACTTTTTCCCCACTAATCCCGAAATTTATTGCGTTCACCGATGGTTCAGGTAACGTCGAGTTAACTCCTCAGTTCGTATAAAACATATTTACAACATGAATATGCCAGAAGTGGTGGTCCAAAAAGCCCAGCACTCCATTTTCTTTTCTAAATGCACACATCTGAAAATGAAAACACTGATGTGAACAAAATGAGCTCCACTATATGCGCTCCCATCGGCGCGTGCGAGCAGCTGCCGTGGCGGCGGGTGTGTTCACTCCTTGGGTATCTGGTTGGCGGCGTTAGCCCGGAGCACGGCACCTGGACTGGGATACGGCCGCTGCTGGAACAGAGGCCCCGCGGCCGTGGTGTCCGCACCCGTTTTGGCTTCGTTCCGCTTGGGCAGGCCGCTCGACCACGAGCCTCTGTGGATAACAACGGGGGAGGTTTCTTTAGGTAAGCAGTTTGGCTTTTAGCATCCTTACAGCTTAAAGACAAACAAGAAAAATGAGCCACAGATAATGCATTTTAGGCATTTTGAAATGTAGATACCAGATCGTTTCATTCCCACTTCTTAATCCATACTTTTATTACCTGTATTGTTTATTTTCAGATCCCAACTCCGTATTACTTACTGCACTAAAAAAATTGTCTTCTTTCTTTTTTCTCAGCTCTTTTATATTTATAGTTATATACATATAGTTTAACTATCAACCGTATTTATTACCTGACCTCCATACAGACCTTGGTGTACCTGGTTGCCAAGCAATGACATTTTGTTGTCAAATTCACTATGTGGCTTTGTACAATGACAATAAAGGAAGTCTAAGTCTAAGTCGAGGGGGAAATATTCTGCCGGTGAACCAGAAGACAGAAACTGCAGTGTTTGACTCAAAGAAACTGCAGTCACCTAGCTCCCACGAGGTTCAGCTGTCATGTGACCTGGCACTGGCTTTGCAGAGTCAGCAATTGTCAAAAATAAAAGTTTCAAACCAGAATGTGTCCCGTTACTTTACAGCTGCAAAGCTCTCCATTGAATTGAGGGAACCTTTAAATGTCGGCCCGGTCTAGAGGACTTCTTTATAAAAGAAAGCCTTTTGGAGTAGAGATCAAAAAGACCTGTCGTAAAACGATGAGATCAATAAAATAAATAAATATATGTAAATAAATAATCAATTACATGCTCATTCCCCACACAGAGTTTTCCAAGTGCGACCCAAATTAATGTATACAAGAATACATTTTCCAGGGTCTTTTTAAAACTTTTTTTTTTAAGTTTAGGTGCACAAGTCTTTCGTTTTATGCAAATGTCTGTAATGAAAAACTCAAACTAATCCAAAAGTGGTATTTGAAGTGATAAGGTTTAACGGAAAGACTGAAGTCCTGGGAGTGTACTGTACCTCGGGGCATCAGAATAGGCGCTCGGATCCATGGGGTCCATTTCTTCATCTTTTCTGCCTAAAAAGGAAGAGAAGCTTTAGCTCTCATCGAAGGACTCAATGGAAATCTGTACAATGAAAAGAATGTGAGCGTCACCTCGTTTCTTGCCATATGGAGCGATGTCTTCTCTTCTCTGTTTCCTCCTGTCTCTTTCCCTCCCGTCGTCTCTCTCCCTGTCCCTCTCTCTGTCCCGCTCCCTTTCCCTTTCCCGCTCCCTTTCTCTTTCCTTCTCCCGTTCTCGCTCTCGTTCCCTGTCTCTGTCCTGTTTCTCAGACGGTCTCTCCACTTTTTCATCCCCGCCGTCTACTAAAACAAGAAAAACGGAAAGACCGCAGAAAAGAATCAGGACAACACTTTAAGAAATGAGTAGCATGCAAATCATGACAAAAGCAACCTGCGTTCAGAGGCCATTTACAAAACTACAAAACCTCTGACCTGCGGTGATGAAGCTTAATAAATACCTACCTTTTACTTTCTTGGCAGGCTTGGTTATAACTGAGGTGGGGTCATTTGGGGAGAGCCAAGCAACCAGATCGTGTTCCACATTCCAGTAATACGGAAGGCCGCTGTAGAGTGTGAGAAAAAGACATTAAAATGGATAGATCCGAAGCCCTGAACAAACATAAGATCAATGACTGTAATATGTCTGTGAATGCTTTTATCAGGAATTTAGCTGATGGGGTAATAATAAGACACAATCATATGTTAATTAGTTGGATGGTTCGGCTTGCACGTCGGTGGACCCGAAGTGTGACAGATAATTACTCGGAATACGTACCAGGCAGAATCGAACACTTTGTACCAGTTTGGTGGCAGGTTCTCTATTCGTGTGGCTTCATAATCCACATTGTTGTCATCGTAGTCTTCAGCAATTATCTCCTCATCAGCTTCTGTTTTAAAGTGAGCACAGAAAGAGAGCAAATTCAAACAGAATGTAAGGGATTGAAAACGCTAACAGCTAAAAGCTAGTTGTCCTAGGGGCTGTCAAAACATTTCTTTTTAATGGCTGACTACCTTGTTCTGAGGGCTTCACAATCCCTCTCTTGGCCAAACGGGCTAGCAATGCTGGAGGAAGAGGCATCCTGAAAGCAAAGTCATGGGGAGAACATTGAGATGCAGCCTGAAAAAAACAGTTACCTGATAATCCAAGTACACTTCATAGAAACTCCTACCATACATGTGTGGATAAATATAACTGATCAGGCACAGCTTTTCTTTACATTAAGTGCTCATCTTTTAAGCAACAATGAGAAATGTTCTTTGTCTGTTGGGCCTTTTTCTGATTTTACTGGAACTGTGAATATGTCTCATCTACTGTTGGCTAGTTGGGATCTCTTTTAGGCATAAATAAACCAATTGAGGACATCAGGCAAAATTCACGAATCAGTTTGCCCGTTATATGACAAATGAATTCATTTATAATGACAATAATCATTCATTGCAGCCTTTGCTATTCAAAGCAGGACACAATTTAGTGCAATTTTGTCTGGGCAGTATTGTTACCCGGTGCTTTCGAGCCTTTGAGACACGTAAAGGAAACGACATAGATAAACCCCTTTTAAAATGTTAACGCCATTTTCGCTCAACTAGGCAACCTAGGCAATCGACATATTTCAAAATGACTCCCGCTGTGTACAACAGAAAATGTAGCCTATATGTAGAAGAAACATATCGCATGGCCCACCGGTTCAGCTTCGTAGCAACAGCTGAAACATTAAAGCAACAAGCACCTACTTTGTAACTACCAAATAGCTTCTACACAATTTAGTGAAAATAATTTAAAAACAAACGCAATTATCTCTAATTAATAAGAACAAAAATATTCAATTCTTACCCGAGCTCTCAATTTCTCCCTTTATCCGTTTCGCACAGCGAAAGCCACCACTTGCAAAAAAAATGCACGCGTCGCATAATGATGTCGTCACGGGGTCCGTTTGACGACGACAACAAACAAACATGGAGGAATATGCCCGAGAACCTTGGTAAGTATAAGTTTGGAATATTTGTCCATTACCGTCGTATGAAAAAAGCTAAAAACAGACTAGTTTTGGTTCTTTGAATTTTACACTGAGCCTGTCAATAAGAGGAAACTGACAAATGTTAGCTTGCAGTTAGCTTAGCATAAGGTCAAAGATTTAAACAGGTGAAGCTATGGTCAGAATATACCTCCACACACAAGTACGAACAGATTAATGTCATTCGTCGATATTTTTCCAGCGAGAGCTGACGGTGTGTTTGACCGAAGTTCATTGCTGTGTGTGTGGAACTAAAAGTCAACAAACTTATAAGTCTACAGTACTTAATTAGGTTTAAAGCTAATAACCTTAAAAAAACAGGGAGCCTTGCTTCAAGTGGTTGAAAAAAGTTTATTTTGGTATGTTATTTCAAAATACATATCTTTAATGGAAATAAATGCTGCATCCAGAGCTCTATCATTTGATATTAGTGCTGCCATTCCCCTGTCCAACTATTTTTTAAATGCTATGCCCACACTAATCATTCAAGAGAAAGAAGAAGAACACAGAGATGTAGTGTGAGCATCTTATATATACTTATACTTACTCTTGCATATACTTAATATAATATTTTGTCTTAAATGAGAGGGGCTAACATTTTTCCATTTTGTAGTTATTGACCAAATGTGCATTAAAAAAGAAAAAGAACTACTATGACAAAGACATTAAAAGTTAAAATGATGTACAGGCACCCCCACAACCATGTGCATGTGTTTCTATTTTAAGGTCTTGAAAGAACAGTTTAATAATTCATGATATTGTATTTTTTAGGGGTTGGAGTTGGAGTGATAGGAAAAAAATCATGATGCTTCTTTTTGTTAGTAAGCTTACAGATACTAGTATCAATGCTGTTTGGGGCATTCTGTTCTCTGTCAGGACAGGTCTCTTTCCTGCGTTACTCAGAGAATAATGTGGAGCTTATGATGATTTTAGTTATTTTAAGCCAGCGTCCACCAAGCAACAGAAATATAAGAAGTCCTGATGGTCAAGATGAAACCCAAATGAACACAATGAGCTCAGAGATCTTTAACTGTCATTGTCTAAGAAATTGTACTAACTGTTTGGCTGATCATAGGTCATAATTCTTCTGTACACAAGTGTGCCCTTTGGTCGTGAACTAATATTAATTCTAATAAGAAGGTATCCATATTGTTTGCATTTTCTGGGGCAGGTTACCACTTTATCAGCATTTTCCTCTCATACCATATATGTGCATACATCTCTATCTCTCCTCTCTGTGAAATTGCTGCAGCCCCTGGAGGATAGTGGATGACTGCGGAGGAGCCTTCACAATGGGTGCTATCGGAGGAGGGGTGTTCCAGGCAATCAAGGGCTTCCGTAATGCCCCCGCTGTGAGTTCAAACATAATTGTTTTCTTTCTAGTTCATCAATCTGTTCAAGAAAAATTCAGCTATGTTCTAATGTTTCAGGGTGTCGGGCACAGGCTGAAAGGAAGCGCAAATGCAGTGAGGATAAGAGCTCCTCAGATTGGAGGTAAGGAGGCATTCTTTGTTAGCCATGAACTCTTTCTTTTGTTCCCATTGTGGCCATTTGTGTGAGTCATTTTTTTGGGCGCAATTCTTTCACAAAGTCACAAATACGCTTATTTTACTTCCCTAAGATTAAATATGAAGTTTTCATTTCCCCACTGTGGTGTTTGTTTGAAGGAAGCTTTGCTGTGTGGGGAGGGCTCTTCTCCACAATCGATTGCGGGTTAGTGCGCCTGAGAGGGAAAGAGGACCCCTGGAACTCCATCACAAGTGGTGCACTGACTGGAGCCATCCTGGCAGCACGCAGTAAGCTCTCTGATCTAGATACGACCAGCTTGTGTTAGGGAATCAAAAAACTGCTAAGACTCACTGAATGTTGTGTTTTTCTTCAGGTGGGCCATTGACTATGATGGGCTCTGCCATGATGGGGGGGATTTTGCTCGCCCTCATTGAGGGTTTTGGTATTCTGCTGACCAGATACACAGCACAGCAGTTTCAGAATCGTGAGTTAAATCTCAGATTTTATGAATTATGTTTGTGTCACATGATAAGATATTAAAGCTGGGTGAGAGGTTCATCTTTCCATGAAGCCATAAATGAGAAATTACATTTTCCCAAGGCAGTCTTTCTAATATAGTGTGCTGGCATACAGCAAACCAGAAAGGCAAATCTAGGCAGTCTTCCATTTTTTGGGCCTGTATTTTTATTCTTATGCCCCTTCCTTTTCTGTGAATCTGTGTCTTCCGTGACGCATTTTTACCACACCACATAAGGGATTGAACTTTGAATGAAAACACTGACCGTCTCTCTTTATATCCAATCGGGACACCCTCATCTGGGACTACTTAACATGCTGTGTGTAATGGATGTTTTTGCTTCTCCCCTGCTTGTTATTTTAAGCTTGTTTTTTAAATGTTGAAAATGTATATGTCTTACTAATTTCATTAAGAGTTGTATGTTCAAATGCTTTTTAACTGTTTTTCAGCAGGTGGGTTGAAGTTTCTTTACAGTTTTTAGACCTTACGTCTTATCACTTAAACTTCTTTAATATGTGCTGTAGTCTTTTGTGAAATGTAAGAGATTATTCCAATGGAATACCTAAGCAATATGACGGGGACATAAAAGTGAACCTTTTTATTTCTTCTTTTTTTCAGCTATTCCTTTCGCAGACGATCCAAGCCAGCTTCCGCCAAAGGATGGAGATCCCACACAGCAGCAGAGACCAAAGGGGCTGTTTCAGTAGGAAGCGTTTACGATTTAGGCCAACTGTGACGCAGTGAGTTATACCAGAGTTTAATAGGCCAACTCTTCTAACAGGGTCATATGGATACCAGGGTCCCTGGGATGACAAGTAGTTGCACTTTTTCCTTGTTCCTCAGGGACACATTACTGTGAGCTTTAGTGTTTAAGGGTGAATGTGTGAGCAAGGGTGCGTCCGACAAATCCTTTGTGTTATTTAATTCATTAATTAAGTGTAGTATGGATTTTATAAATCAACTTAAGGCCAACATCTGTATTTCCAAGAGTTTGGGAAACCTTGTTGTTTGCTTTACCGCTGATAAGAAGAGGAGAACATCAGGGGGAAAACCTTTGGGTGAGGAAACTTGATTCACTGGGGAGCTTATGCTTATACCTGATAATTAACATGCAAAAATAGAAGGGTTGCACTTCTATTTTTGCATTGGTTTGCCATTTAGTGAATGGTTTGTTGTTCTTTCCTCAAGAAAGCATTATGTGTGAAATTTGTAACGATCGGTTTACCCTTAGACCACCAGAGCTGTTATGCTCAGAAAGGCCAATTTATTAAAAAAAGGGAAACAGTGTTTTAAAAAAAAGATTTATGTTTGTTCAGCAGAGAATGTTTTCATGTTTCTAAATGTGTGTGTTTAAATCATTACAAAGGACTGTATGTTTTGAATTATTCATGCGTCCTCAGATGGCTCAGCAAACACCATTCCATTCCTTTTCTTGCACTTCCTCTTCTCCAGCTTCAATGGGGGGCTTTTGAATCTGTTAAGCAAAGCTACATATTTGATAGTTTACATTGTAATACAGATTATCAGATAATCAAACCATGTCTGTCTTTAAAGAAAATTGAGAATGTTCTACGATGCTGTGGCTTGAGTTCGCTTTAGTTAGCTGATGGTTGAGCATCATTTTGTCCTAAGAGGATGCTGTACTCCTCCAACAAACCAAAAATAAATCGAAAATAATAAAAGATACAGTAAAGACAGTGTTAAGCACAGTCTAGTGGTTTACAATGAAGTGTGTATAGAGAGATTTATTTTATGAGAGACTATTTATTGTGCGAAAGTTGATTTTAAAAACAATAAAGTTAAAAGATGTTCTTTAGGAGTTCAGTTTGTGTTTGTGTTTTTTTTTAAAGTGCTGTTCACAGATCTGTTATGCTTGATGTTCCTATGCTGCTCAGAGTGAGGTTATCCTTCAGTCTGCAACACGTTTTCCTCCAGAATGTTCCCGTTTGGTTTAGCTTCTCATGCGGCTGCTTACTTTGATGAGACTGCCTCGTGCATATAACTGAAAAAAGGCGCTCAAAACATCACATTGCCATCACCCTTCTTGACCATTGTGGTGTTTTCCTTGGGGATGAAAGCTTATTCTTCCTTTCAACAAGCACAGTCCCCATCCCGGCATCCAAACAACATGGTCTTCAGAACTGATGACAAAGGGCCTTCTTTTTGCTTACGCACGCTTTTGCGTGATTGACTCAGGGAATTTGAGTCCTCCCGGGTAGGGGTCCACAAATGCAAGTGTTCAGCTCTTTGATATTTTGTTAGCTTTTAACAATGCACAGGCTGCAGCAAGGCATCAGAAAGTCCAAGGAATAAGCTGCTCTTGTGGAACTATTGATTCCAGCACTGATCGGCATCGCAGAGCCAAGACGATTTAAGAATACAGAAACAGAAAGATGGAAGACGTCTTTCACATTTTGGATGTGCCCTGATCCCTATCCAGAATCTGTGCAGGGTACAAAAAAGACCAGTGATGTGTGCCCTTGGATTGTAAAATCCAAGATGATGCTGTTTCCATTTTGCAAACAGCATTTATGCTATATTTTTATTGGATTCCTTTTCCTTCCTTATGAATTGCTTGTAGACAGACAGTCTGTCATGGAGACTGTTTGTCACATAGATTCATGCAAATGAATCAGCCAAAAGTCGAAGTGCTCAGGGAAAAAAATATAAGCAATCGATAGAAGTGGGAAAAGTTGCTAATGCCTCCCAATACCTTTTAGAAAGGAGAAAATATTCATTCTAGACCAACTTGGGGGATGAGAAGAAAGCCTGTCTTCCTGGACACCAAATATTAATTAAAAATACATCCGATAACTTACTGTATTTCACCCCTTTTATTCTGTCATTTAAGATATTTTTTAAAGCTCTTATTGGGACAAAATGCGTTGCAAATCTGAATTTTCTTTGGAATTTGATACCAGTAGATACCAGTCTATTTGCTGCGCATGTGCGCCCCCAGCCGGCGGCTCGGTGCTACTGCACTGCGTCTCTGCTTCTGTCCGAGGTTCTGAAACAGGTTCCCCACCTGGCAGCCAACTCCTTCAGTTTGACACCACTTCTAAACAGTACCCCCCTTCTCAAAGTATGACAGTGCCTCAAAGTCTCGGAGCAGAACCGGGTTTCTCCTCCTCCACCTGGCCCCTGAAAGATTTCCGCTGTCATCCTTTTTAACCGGCTCAACCGCCTTAATCCCGACGGCTGACCACCGCGGACAGGGGCGCGCCTTTGTTTTAATAACTCTCACTGTAAAGTGCCAGCGTGGATAAAAAAAAGACAAAAAGAAAAGAAAAACTCATTTCAGAGCTGGTCCTCTCGGTGGAAGCTGGTGCCATAAAGCGGATTTAATTGGATTGGAGTGGCGGAGTGGAGAATGGCCCGCAGCCTCTCAGTCTGACCTGCCTCTCTGCAGGCGCGCACGAAATGAAGGGCTGCAGGTGGACACTTTTTCACCGAATTCTCTGTCCGTGATCCCGCGCGCATCGGAGCTCCTTTGGAGGAGTTGATGGTGCGTTTTCTCAGGTGACTTCGTGGTGTGGAGCTACGGAAATGGACGCCGCAAAGAAAGGTAAGACAGGCTCCCTGACTGATCTCCTGTGTGCACACAGTGTGGTAATGATCCCATTATGTAAAGACATTAATGTTTCTGGTGGTTTGTTTAATAGAACCCTGTTGACAACCTTTAAAAAGTGCAAACACGGAATGAATAGATGTGAGATGTACAGCTGTCATCATATGTGAAGGAGTCTTTTTGGGACAGTTTTCTCCAGTCTATCCAAAAGATTTACCGGCTTTTATGATGCTTGTTTGCTGTTCACATGACAAAACTCCCTGTGGATATGTATCTGTGTGCAGGGCCTTGTCGACAGGTGTTCGAAGGCCTACTTTGAGATAGTGCAGGGCTAAGTGCCTTGCTGCTCCCACTAAAGAAGTAGGTCACATCTGGTCTTCTAATATGAGGCCTGGAGGACGGAATACCTGCCTGTTCCAAGCAAAGCCTTTCTTAATTGTGTTAGATAATGCAAGGTGGACTGACACATGTCTGTGGAACATGAGGCAGATGTGAGAAACACCGGGAATGGCCAAAGATGGTCACACAGCTGTTTAAGGTCCCACACTAAAGGCCTCTAACTGCAGTTATTTTGGCATTCTGTGAATTATCCATGTTAAAACGTACACTGAATCTGTGATGCATCATGAAACAGCCATATTGTAGAGTTTCTGGTGAAAATGTACGAGGGCGACAACACCTTTTGTGTATCTTTTTTTTATCTGAACAGATGCCCCTCCCGGGGGCGATGCAGGCAAGTCGGACACCCTGGGGTCAACTGGCTCGGCCAGGAAAAGGGGAGGGGGGGCCAAGAAGGCAATGCAGGCAAACAAGTCTGCACTCAGGGCCCCCCGAGCCTTGTGCTGCCTCACTCTGAGCAACCCAATCCGCATGGCCGCACTGGCCCTGGTGGAGTGGAAATATCCTTTTTTCTTTTTTTTGTCATATGCATGGGCCGGGACGCACTAAATCAGAACAGGGTAGCAACTTTGAATGAATTCTGTCGGCACCTTAACTCCTGTCTCCAGGCCTTTTGACATTTTCATCCTGCTGGCCATTTTTGCCAACTGTGTGGCCATGGGCGTCACCAAGCCATACCCAGACGATGACTCCAACGCCACCAATCACCAGCTCGTGAGTAAAAAGCAAACATTTGCGATGGTTTTCCATATATTCCAGGTGATGACTCAGTTGAAATAAATGGAATACATGTGCATGAAACTCTGCCAGGGAAATTAATCTTTGTCTGTGAAATGAGAGCTGGACACACATAGTTAGCAACACAATCTATAGCAGTCACACCGCATATCGATTGGATTTTTTCCTTACAGAGTCAGCAAAAAAGGTTAATCCTTCATTTATTTGGCTGTAGTTATGCAGTCTTACACTCATTTGGCTTTAATATTAGATCATCCATACAGAAGACACTTGAAAAGAAGAGTTTTCGGAAGGATAAAACAAGCACCAGCATAGAATATATCAAATAGATGGCTGGATCACACTCCTTTCTTTGTAAGATGTCTGAAAGCGTGCTCTGTCTTCTAAAAATAAAAGAGGGTCAACATGTGAGGCACTCCCCCTCTTTTATACTTTACATTGAACATACACTCTTTGTTTCCAAGAGTTAACATCATCGTCATTGTCACATCTTCAGTTATGTAGTTGTCCTGAATAGTTGTTAAAATTCAGACACTCATAGTTTTATTATGTTGTGGGGCCCCAAAAGGAGCTTTCCCCCCTTTACCCTATAGACACAGGAAGTAGGTCTTTTAATGGAACCGGGCTGGGAGGTTGATGTCTGAGGAGAAAAGTTACGCTGTGACCTCAGTTGCTGTCGGTGAGCCTGTCAGGGATCATGACTTACTTAGATTCCAACCATCTGCCATATCCTTCTTCCTCCCTGGTCTATGTGCCTCTCTGTGGTTCTATTTTTTTTCTTTTGTTTTAGCTGAAGTACTTGGGGCTCAAACTGAAATCAAATAATTTCGAACAAACAAGTCGGTGTACTAAAAAAAAAATCTGTGTTTTTACAAATTAACACGTGTGTGTGTGTGTGTGTCTGTGTGTGTGTGTCTATGTGTCTGTGTGTTAGTCCCACAGACACTAATGGAATACCATTATTCCATTGTCTGAAATGTTTATTTCAGAAAATAATTTTTACGTAACCTGTAAAATTTGCTTGACTGGCTTGATTAGCATCATAGTTACTGAATAATTGAGTTTGACCTAAAGTATGTGTCTTTAAGAGCTCCAAACACAGGTACACACACACAAACACGCACACAAATGCACACACCATCTTGCAGCACGATACATGCTAGCAGATCCCTTTATTGGATTTCACAAAGGAGGTAAGCTGACGGTATTAGATCTGTTACAGGGGACTTTATTCGTCTCATCATCTCTTTTGGATCAGGTTTTGATGAATGTGCGTGAAATAGTGAAAGCCAGTTCTCCTGCATTAACCGAATTCCTGGATGATTGTATGTGGCTGAGGTGAAGTCCAGTGACAGTGATTAGCAGGCTTAAGCTGAAGGTTGGAGAAAAAGGATCTGGCAACAGAGTCCATTGTGTTAGGCAGTAGTTTGAGAGGTTAGGAAGCCAACCCCGTTAACATTTAGTGGTTGCACAAATTACCTATTTCATCATCCGGAGAAAAATAAGGTCCATTTCCAGCAATAACATTGTCTAAATGCCATTGTTTCACCTGAACAATAGCTTGACATTTTCTTTACTTTTCTTCACCATTCCCACACAAACTTTTCTTTTGCTTTCAGGAGCAAGTCGAATACGTCTTCCTTGTCATCTTCACCATCGAGACCTTCACAAAGATTCTCGCCTACGGCTTAGTCATGCACCCCAGCGCCTACATACGCAGCGGATGGAACTTGCTGGATTTCGTTATCGTCATTGTTGGGTAAATTTCCCGCCCCACAAAGTCTCCACGTCTTGATGTTCTGCCACTAAATCAGATGATAAAAGCAGCCTTTTTTTTTCTGGCCTGCGCAGGTTGTTCAGCGTGATAGCGGAGGGCATGACCGACCACAAGCCGGGGGAGGCCCATCACGCTGCGGGAAAGCCCGGAGGCCTGGACGTCAAAGCCCTCCGGGCCTTCAGGGTGCTGCGACCGCTCCGCCTCGTGTCTGGAGTGCCCAGTACGTTTTATCGGCCACTGTAGTTCGCTCTGAGTCTGACCCCTGTTAAGTGTGACCCCCTGATAAGTGTGACGCGTGAATGTTTGCCCTGCCCAGGTTTGCAGATTGTGTTGAACTCCATCATGAAGGCTATGGTCCCCCTGCTCCACATCGGTATGCTCGTCATGTTTGTCATCATCATCTACGCCATCATCGGCTTGGAGCTTTTCATCGGCAGGATGCACAAGACGTGCTATGACATGAGCACAGGTCTCGGCTTCCTCGTCACATTTTTAAAAAAGCAAAAAGAAAAGAGAGTGCCGGGCTTTTCTGGTGCGTGCTCACTCGGGGGGCCTGCGGGTGTCCTGCTGCAGGTCTCATGGTGGAGGACGACCCGTCGCCCTGTGCGTTCGCCGGGAACGGCCGCTTCTGCGTCACCAACGGGACCGAGTGCAGGGGCAAGTGGGAGGGCCCCAACGGCGGCATCACAAACTTTGACAACATTTTCTTTGCCATGCTGACGGTTTTTCAGTGCATCACTATGGAGGGTTGGACAGATGTGCTCTACTGGGTACATGCATGTTTCTGGATTCTTCTCTCTCTGCTCATTAGACATATTCCTAAATGTACTGACTTTTTGTTGTGTTTCCACAGATGAACGATGCCATTGGCTTCGAGATTCCCTGGATTTACTTTGTCTCCTTAGTCATCTTCGGGTCGTTTTTCATCATCAATCTCGTATTGGGTGTGTTGAGCGGGTGGGTGCTGCAGGCCTCAGCTTTTCCGAAACAGAAACAGACACAAAGGAAGCTTTTGTTCAAATCCAGCATGCATTTCACACCTGTGCTCTTTTCTTTAGAGAGTTCTCTAAAGAAAGAGAGAAGGCTGTGGCGCGCGGTGAGCTGCAGAAAGCGCAGGAGAGCAAGCAGATGGAGGAGGACATGATAGGCTACATGGACTGGCTCATAGAAGCCGAGGACGTGGACGAAGAAGGAAACAAACGTGGGCTCAATGCACATTTACTCTGATACGCTGCCCGCTCGGCATGTGGCATTTCTTTATGTTTTGGTCCTCTGTGCATGTTTTAAAGGGGCCGCCATTGCAAAGAAAAAGATGATGAAGAAGTTCGGTTGGTACAAACGCAGCGAGGATGGAGGAGGTATGAAAGCCGACGCTGTGGCCATTATTTCCACTTATCCCACACCACACGTCTCACGGGCCGTGAAACCGTTTCTGTTTGCTTGACAGAATCCGACTCTGACGATGACATCGCATACCTTGATGATGACAGCGGCTTCTGTGCTTCCCTCATGTAAGCAGCCAGACAAGTGACAAACTAGCACCATGCAACAGGAGCCTGTTTTCTATTAAAATCTTCTTCTCCCTCATTTTGTTTCTTTTTCAGGGCAAAGATGATGGCCAACAGTTTCTGGTGAGACATTTTTGACATCTTACAACCATTAGTGATTCCTGGGTTAAGAGCGTCCCCTTTCATGGGCCTGTTTTTTTACTTGTATCATTGAGTCATTTCTAATATAATGTAATCTAATAAATTGCTTAAAATCAGTTGATTAAAAACAACAATTTGATGAGTCCATGGATTGTGGAGGGGGTCATCACCGAGCTCATTTGTCTGTATTTAATTTTTGAGATGATAAGTTCTGTGTATGAATGCAATGTATAATTTTAGGTATAAGATCTAAATACAGTGTGAGGATACCGAAGCCCCTTTTTTTAGTTTATTACTGTCCCACCAGAGTAGTCCTATTTTCTAATAAGATTTCCATTCTGGGAAAAAAATAAAGTCAAAATGTGCTATGCCTTTAAACAAGACTTTTTGTTTATTAGCAAATGCTCCACACAAAAAATTGCATTATTAAATTGTGTACATGTGAAATTTTCCGTTAGATCCTGAAATTGTCTATAAAATCAATCTCCCTCTATTGCTTTGGAACAGTCAGTAATTCCACAGAGAGCTTCTTTTTTTTTGGAAGCAAGAATTATGCAGGTTTTAAATTAGCAAGTCTGCCTCAGAGGGTTGAAATTAGCAGGGGAAGGGAGGATGGATACAACAATATCTACATTCAATAATACCATGAATAAAACATTGTGTTGGGGGAGTTGTGGCATAGAGGAAAGAGGATTTTAAAAATCCTTTTTGTTGGTCAGACAACCAGAAAAGCCACGCATTCTCACACTTAGCTAAAAAAATAATTTAAATATCAGCGCACTCTTTTTGTATTTATTTTGCATAAATAGGAAAGACACCAATCCTGACCACGCCGAACTAAGTGGTCAGGGCTCTAGATTGAGCTCTACATTTAAAGATCCTTCTTCACCCTTCTTTCAGCGACCAGCTGTGCCAGCTGAATCATACCATGAGAAAGAACTGCCGCATTGCAGTCAAGACTAACAACTTCTACTGGCTGGTGCTGCTGCTGGTGTTTCTCAACACTGTGGCCAGTGCCTCCGAGCACTACGGGCAGCCAAAGTGGCTCACAGAAATGCAAGGTAGGTGAAGTTTTTTTGCTTTTTTTCCACCCAACGTCCTGTTCCCAAACGGCTTCAGTGAGCTTTCTGTGTCCCTCAGAGCGAGCCAACAAGGTCCTGCTGATGCTCTTCACGCTGGAGATGCTGATGAAGATGTACGCCTTTGGCCTCCAGATCTATTTCATGGCGCTTTTCAACCGCTTCGATTGCTTCGTGGTGTGCGGGGGCATTCTGGAGACGCTGCTCGTGGAGATGGACGTCATCCCGCCCATCGGCATCAGCGTGCTGCGCTGCATCCGCCTGCTCAGGATTTTCAAGATGACGCGGTGATTACTGGCAGGGCTCCACTAAGTCCTCAGCATGAGGTCCACTCGCCCTGCTCTAATTTCCTTAGCTGACATGTTGCTGTTTTTTTTTCTTTTTTTCGTGGTGCCCTGTCCTCACCACCAGGCACTGGGCTGCCCTCTCCGATCTGGTCACCTCACTGCTTAATTCCATGAAAGCTATCTGCTCCCTACTGCTCCTGCTCTTCCTCTTCCTCATCATCTTCGCCTTGCTGGGGATGCAGCTGTTCGGGGGCAAATTCAACTTTGACGAGACCCAGATGAAGCGAAGCACCTTCGACTCCTTCCCTCAGGCTCTGCTCACCTGTTTCCAGGTGAAAGAAAGCATCCCACGCACTGACAGCACCCACATTCAGTTCCTGTCTGTTTTTTTACCTCCTCGTCTCGCTGCAGATCCTCACCGGGGAGGACTGGAACGCTGTGATGTACGACGGCATCATGGCATACGGGGGGCCCATCTTCCCTAACATGGTGGTGTGCATTTACTTTGTCATCCTCTTCGTCTGTGGTAACTGTATCCTTTTCGGCCAAGTGATCGCCACACATCACGACCCATATCCCCATTTTAGTCTCAGCTTTTTATCAAAACAAAACAAAGAAACAAAACAAAGAAACAGGAACACGTGAATCTTTAACGTGACGTCAGACATCCTGCTCAATGTCTTCTTGGCTATCGCTGTGGACAACTTGGCCGGAGGCGGAGGAAAGAAAGAAGTGGAGTGAGTTGCGGCAAGCAGCATCGATACACAATGAATTGTGCGTTTTTTGTTTTCAAGCTCAATCGGACCTCACTCATTTGCGTATTTTCAGAGAGAAAAAGGAAGAAGAGGAGGAGTGGGACGAGGACGAAGAGAAAGAGGACGAGGATGCTGGGGTAACGTTTTTGTTTGTTTATGTAATGAGCCAATGGCCCAACCGACTAAAGCTAGAACAGCTGATCTTTTGTTTGGAGTGCAGAACGAAGAGGATGACTGGACGGAAAATGAGGAGCTGAGAGCCATCGAGGGACTCGAGGGTGAGTGTGATGGACGTCCCTCGCGCGGCGGGAGAGACAATAGCCATGCAGATCGAAGCAGATTAAAACTGTCTGTGTCGTTCGCTCTTCATTGAAGGAGTTGCTCCCTTAAAGCCGGAGTTCTCGGGCCCCAAAGAAAAGATCGTACCCATACCCGACGGGAGCTCCTTCTTCCTCCTTGGAAAGAAGAACTGGTAATTTGGGACGACCCATGATGCTGCACATTAAACCCACACAGGCTGGCTGGAAAACAGATGCATGATGTGTGATGTCCTTCTGAATGTCTTCCCCCTTCAGTTTGCGAGTCGCCTGCCACAACTTTATCCACCACCCCTACTTCACCAACTTCATCCTGGTCTTCATCATCCTCAGCAGCATTTCGCTGGCCGCAGAGGACCCGATCAAATCCCATTCGTTCAGGAACATTGTAAGGGCTCGTTCAGACAGGCTGTCCCGTTCCCATCATGCATTCCCCTCTCACGACCCAGCCTTGTGATGAATGAGCTGAAATCTGAGCTGAAATCTGTCATTCTCAGGTGCTCGGATATGCAGATTACGTTTTCACTTCTGTTTTCACTGTGGAGATCGTCCTTAAGGTAACCCTCGGCGACGGGCTGGTAGATTCAGCTGAAAATTCTACACCCAAAATTATGTTTGGCATCACATTTTTTCATTTTCTTTGTCTTCCCCTGTTTCCCCGCTCCTGTTTAGATAATTGTTTATGGAGCTTTTCTGCACACCGGCTCCTTCTGCAGAAATGCTTTCAACCTTCTTGACCTTCTTGTCGTCAGCGTGTCACTCGCATCTTTCTTCCTGCAGTAAGTTTTAGTCGAAAAGCTGCAAAAGCATATAGATTTTTCTTTAAAAACTAAGGTTATTATTATTATTATATTCGCCGATGCGGTCTTGAATTTTGCCCTGTTCTTTTTCAAGTCTTTTCATGTCCAAAGATTTGTTCCCTAAATCCTTTTGCCTTCAGTTCAAGCGCAATCTCAGTGGTGAAGATTCTCAGAGTCCTCAGAGTGCTCAGGCCTCTCCGAGCTATTAACAGAGCCAAGGGACTAAAGGTGAGCGGGTCAGCCTTTTTGTTTCTTCATTTCTTTTCCAAAATAGATGCTTTTGAGATGGAGCAACATTGGTAAAATGTGCTGAAAAAATAAAATGCTGTGACAAGAAAATAACAGGTTTTCGAAGTTTCTCTGAAGATGTCTCGAAGCGATAGCAACTTTGTTCAAAAAGGGAGGGGGGGGCTGTAACACGAGTAAAGTCAAATTTGTGTATTTCTGACTTTTTTCTTTTTTTTAAATGAATAATTTCAAACAATTTGAGGAGCTCGTGGCTTATAGGACACATTGTTAGCGGTCCAGTGGCCAAATGGAATGGCTTTCTAAGCCTTTCACAAGCTGAAACATTCAGAGCATTGTGTAACAAAATGATTGGCTCCTTCAAGTTGGACCGCATCTGAAAATAACACATCAAACTAAATGGAAAATGTCCCAGCACAGCTATAGGGAGATCTATATGCTGCCATTGCTTGATTTCGTATGAATGCTTGCTTAAAATTATTTCTAGATAATTGTGCGTTTGCAGAGTCCTAACTTTTGTTTTTGGGATATTTTATTGGGGACATGGGATATTTGCTTTTTACACAGTGCATATGATTTGTGGTAAAGCTTTCTTTCTTAACATGTTTTGTTTTGTTTTGTTTTCCACCCCAGAACGTGGTTCAGTGTGTGTTTGTGGCCATTCGCACCATCGGCAACATCTTGATTGTCACAACGCTCCTCCAGTTCATGTTTGCTTGTATTGGAGTGCAGCTTTTCAAGGTACGTGCCCGCTCCTTTAAGCAGTATCATTTCAGTTCACCCATTTATGGTGAAAGGGAAAGTAATCTGCCTGTGATGTTAACGGGAAATCTTCTTTTGGTTGGACATTACAGGGCAGATTCTTCAGCTGCACAGATGAGGCCAAACACACCCCCGATGAGTGCAAGTGAGTGTGTTTTCATTCATACAACACACAACTCCGGATCCTGTCCGGACATGTTATTAATTCGATGAAAACTGTGAATATTTGCCCTTTTAGGGGAACGTTTGTGGTCTACAAAGACGGAGATATGAACCACCCCATGGTCAAGGAGAGGGTCTGGGAGAACAGCGATTTCAATTTTGACAATGTGCTCATGGGCATGTTGGCTTTATTTACCGTGTCAACATTTGAAGGCTGGCCACAGTGAGCATTCAACTCCATATTTTTTATGCAAACCTTGAGGCTCGCATGACTTTTTTCTATTCTCGCATGTCCTGTGTATGTGCCTCATCTCTATATTATCTGCCCAATTTTTTTTTCCTCTTATTTTTTTTTTCCTCTTACTTTTTTTTTTTTTTTTACAAAAGGCCTATATATTGTTTATTTTATTGTGTGTTAATGTCCACCCTGATCATTTTCATTATTTTCATCTGGGAATTTATTCATAGTAGGCACCTGTCATTAGAGTAAAAAATCGACTCAATATAAGTAAATGTGGAAATATATCATTCTTTACATCTTTGTTGCTTTATTCAAATGGCAGTGTGCACCACAAAAAAGAGTATCTGTAAAGAACATTCATTGAGAAAAAAAGTCGTTATATAGATGCATGAATAGATATATAAATATATAAATAAATATACAGTATGTGGAGATGAAAGTCAAAGTATTAAATCTAATAATCATATATATATATATATTAGAAATTATTAATTTGTGTACATCTATAGATGTTTTTTGTATATTTTCAAAGTTTTATTTTGTTTTTGTGGTGCACTTGAGTCCACACATATATACGAAATATGCAACATTGCCCATTTTTCAGTATCTGACATTTTCATATCTGTATTTCTCCATAAATCTTGTCCTCGTATTTCACGTATTTCATATTTCTTTCCCCCTCCTCAAAGGCTTCTGTACCGGGCAGTGGATGCTCATGCTATAAACCGTGGCCCCATTTACAACAACCGAGTAGAAATCTCCATCTTTTTCATCATCTACATCATCATCATTGCTTTCTTCATGATGAACATCTTTGTGGGTTTTGTCATCATCACCTTTCGAGAGCAAGGAGAGGCTGAGTTTAAAAACTGTGAACTGAACAAAAATCAAGTAACCAAGTTTCTTTTCTTTTTTTTTTTGAAGGACATCGTTATTCAGTGATTGTAGTTTCGTTGTGAGAACTTAAATAAGCAAAGCTGCTTTGTCACTGTCTCACTTTGTTTTTTTCTCTCTTTCTCAGCGTCAGTGTGTGTGTTATGTCCTGAAAGCCCAGCCCATTAAAATTTACATTCCAAAAAACCCATCCCAGCTCAAATTCTGGAGAATCATTAACTCCAGCCAGTTCGAGTACATCATGTTTGTGCTGATTTTGGGGAACACTCTCACTCTTGCTGTTCAGGTACGACCCTCTCTCAAATCTCTCAAAAAAACTCCCAAAGAAAACACACACTGACCATGCTTCAGTGTGATGATGACGGGGTGTTATGTTGACTTGCAGCATTATGAGCAATCCAAACTATTCACCTCAATCATGGACATCCTCAACATGATCTTCACTGTGGTTTTCACAATCGAGATGATTATCAAGCTGATGGCTCTACGGGCTCACGTGAGGTCAAATCTGTGTGGGCTTACAGCGGTCACGGCCATACGCTGTACATTGTTGACTCTGTTTTATTATTTGATCTGTGCAGCATTATTTCATCGATCCTTGGAACTCCTTTGATGCCTTGATCGTGGTGGGGAGCGTGTTGGATATTGTAGTGTCAGAGTTCAGTGTAAGTTTGCTCTCAATTTTATCCAGGCAAGAAAAAGAAAAAGAAAGGAAATTTCTCTTATGTGTCACAACGTCTCTGCCATAGTTAGTGTCCAGTGGTTTCAAGTAGTTTGGAGACCTATTATTACTGACACATGTCGGAATGGCCTATGGTTCCACTTAAAATGTAGTATGTGTGGAACAGCAGGGGTCAGAATAAACTCCTGTCGTTGCAGTGAGGGCTCCTGAAGTCACTCTATTGAACATTTAGGTGGTTTTAGCAGTCAGAGGCCAAGTGAAAAAAATAGAATAAAAGTAAAAATGTCTATAAAAAAGCACAAAAATACATATTATATTCAAACAAAAGAATGAAAATATACTGATTTGTCTGTTTTACCTTGATCTGTTTCAGTTCATGGTGTTGTTGAAATAAATGCAGATACACTCAGGTGTTACTATACAGACTATAAATGGCAAAGTAAAAAAAAAAGAAGCAAAAATAAGCATAAGTATAAAGCCAAGAGGATATGTGTATTGTTTTTATTCTTAGAATCACTCTGTCTGTCAATGCAAAAAATGGAAACAGGCTGCAAAAAAAGGATAAACTCAGAATTTAAATGACCTACTTTGATCCCATGTGAATGGAACAAGTCTCATAAAGATGAGCCGGGGTTCCCTGAAAAAGCTGTTCCATGCCTTGTATTTGTGAGAGGTCTCCCCAAAATTTCTAATTTTCTTGTAGTGACTTGTAGCTACCACTTCAGAAGTGTTTCAGAAATCTCAAATCACACAAATCAATTTAGTAGAAAAAGGGTAACTGAGGGAATCAATGCATGGATACTGTTACTGTCCTGGGGGTTTGACTGATGTCTTCCTCCACGTGTGAAACCACTTTTGTTTAACTGATTGTCGATTTTTTTCCCTCCTGCCTCTCTCTCTCTCTGTCTCTTTTGTTCATGGTTTGAATTAATAACCCAGGGAGGCGGCGGCGGTCATGGCGAGGTGAGTGTCCTCACAGACAGCTTAAAAATCAATGAGTAGGTCCACGTTAACTGAAATAGATCTCCGTTCCAGGGCGGCACGAAAGGAGAGCACGGAAAAGTGTCCATCACGTTCTTCCGTTTGTTCCGAGTCTTGAGGCTGGTTAAGCTGCTCAGCAAGGGAGAGGGCATTCGAACCCTCCTCTGGACTTTTGTCAAATCCCTGCAGGTCAGAGAGTAAAATGATCTAAAGTGCTCAGAAGGCTCTCGTGATGCTTTTCCAAATAACAACCCCTCCGATGCTCTCTCTCGTCCCACACCTGCTCAGGCCTTGCCTTACGTTGGCCTGCTCATCGCTATGATATTTTTCATCTATGCTGTGATTGGCATGCAGGTGAGTGTCAGTTAGAATAAACCCTTTCAGATAACAGCATGCCTAGATTTTTATAAAGCCGTTCCTCTGCTCATCGAGTGCACTTCTATTCTCCTTCTAGATGTTTGGGAAAGTGGCTGTTGATGACGACACACACATCAACAGAAACTGCAACTTCCAGACGTTCTTCATGGCTGTCCTGGTCCTCTTTAGGTCAATTCATTTACCCAAAGCTAAACCTATGCATACCGAGCCTTTACCTCCACCCCGGGTTTTGTTTGAATTTGTCCAAAGCACACATTTAGGCGTGCATCATATGAGCCTTTCTGTTATTTCTCGAAAGGTTTAAAGGTTTTTGTGTCGTTCTGAACGGAACGCGGGACTGACAGAGCTGCTCTGTGTCCGCTGCAGGTGTGCCACAGGAGAGCAGTGGCAGGAGATCATGTTGGCAGCTCTGCCCGGCAGACGCTGTGACCCAGAATCTGACGTGGAGCCCGGCGAAGAGTTCACCTGTGGTAGCAATTTGGGCTACCTTTACTTCATCAGCTTCTTCATGCTCTGTGCTTACCTGGTGAGTGAAACCGAGGAGGATTAAGGCCAATTTGTTCCTCTTTTTTTAAGCCCGTCACAATCGGATAGTTTGCGGTCAAACGCAGGTCCTCTTTAGTTCTCTATATTTAGAGCCAATTTAAACCCGTGTGTTTTACGGACTGTCGGATCAAACGGGTTTAAAGTCAGATGAAAGTAGAGAGGATACTATGACCTCCAGTATTAAGACTTTACTCCCAGCTCTTAAAAACCCACATCAATGGTTTTTTAAAGTCCAAACTGCTTGCTCACTTGAAGATTTAAATTGACGTTAAATATTTTGGTCACACTTTTGTGGCCATTGTGCTATTTTGGGACATTAAATGGGTCAAATGAAGACGACTTTGCTGTCAGAGAACTGCCCGTGAAGATTCCAATTGGGACCCCACACTTCAAGACCTCATCACAGTACAACCAGGTTTAAATAACATCCATTTTTTAATATTTCCCGAAAAGGGAATATTTTATTGAGGTATAATATGTTTCACGTGCTATAACTGGACTTCAGCTCTTCTTCTTCACATTGAGCATCAAGTATGTTTAAACACATGCATATTTAGAAGTATCTGTATAGTCTTGGCATCAAATAAAATAGAAAACGTTTAAACCTCAGATTATTTTTTTCTATCCGTGAACAGACATGTACCACAGAGTCTGTTCACGTCTGTCCTACTTTTCTCCGTTGGTTTTGTGGAAAACTGCCATCCATCACCCCGTGTGAGGTTTTGACTCTTAGCAGGGTGGTGGAAAAATAGGACAGCACGACCTGTGACCCGGAGCATCTGTCTGTGTTCACAGAACTGGGTTTCCTTTTTTCCATGTTTCTAATCACTCTTTTTGAGGGAGCATCCTCGTTAACCGATCCATCAAGAAGCAAAGAGCATGAGCAGCAGGGCAAAAACAAAGAAATTCAGAATTCAGGCTTCTGTGGGACTACCCCCTCAGAAACTGAAAACTGCCCCAGTGCCCTCGCTAGTGTTTGAGCTGAATGTGTGTGTCTTTTCTCTCCCAGATTATTAACTTGTTCATTGCCGTCATCATGGACAACTTTGAGTACCTCACCAGGGACTGGACTGTGCTGGGGACTCACCACCTGGACGAGTTCAAGAGGGTCTGGTCTGACTACGATCCGGAGGCCACGTACGATTACTTATGTTTCACTCTGGTTCTCCTCTGGCTTTTTCCTGCGCTAATCCTCCGCTCACACCGTTTCCAAAGCGAATCTTATCCGTCTGGTCAGTTATGGGTTTGTGTGCCTCTCTTGCAGCGGCCGCATTAAGCACATCGATGTGGTCACTATGCTACGCAGGATTCAGCCACCTCTGGGCTTTGGAAAGCTGTGCCCTCATCGTGTTGCCTGTAAAGTAAGTAAAGCACACCTTCACCGGCCTCCATCTAGGGAATGCACACATCTGCCAACTTTCTGCTTCCTGTCATCTCCTCAGAGGCTGGTGGCCATGAACGTCCCACTGCACCCAGATGGGACAGTCACCTTCAGCGCCACGCTCTTCGCTCTCGTTCGGACCTCGCTCAAGATCAAAACCGAAGGTCACACCTTCTGCAGAAACACACCCACACAGTTATTTCTAGGATGAGATCGCATGAGATCCGGCGCTTTAAAGGTGTTGAGCTCACATGAAGGATGCGTTTTTTGTCATCCATTCAGGCCCCATCGATCAGCAGAACGAGGAGCTGAAAATCATCATTAAGAAGCTCTGGAAGCGCACCAAGCCAAAGCTTATTGATGAGATCATTCCGCCCCCTAGAGGTAAATCACAAAACTGCAACACTATGAGCTTCAAAGAAAAGCAATGAAAGAAAGCCTTTGTCAAAGTAAAGAGTCAAAGAAAAGATAGAATTATATGTCTAAAAATCAGGAATGCCCATATTTTTTACACAGTATGTGTAATCCTGCAACTGAACTGTTTTTTAGTTTTATTCTTTTAACTTTTTCTTTGATTTCCTCAGGGGATGAGGTGACTTGCGGGAAGGTTTATGCCAGCTTCTTGATTCAAGACTACTTCAAAAAGTTCCGCAAGAGAAAAGAGAGAGAGAGGAAATCTAAGAAGAAAGACAGGGCAGCAGCTCTGCAGGTACAGTTGGTTCTTGCTTACTTCAGAGATCCATACGCTGCTTCCAATGTTTGATTCTTTTTTGAAGAACAGAATTCCTTTCCATGTTTATATGTACCTTTATTCAAGTACCGCAGTGAAAATCACTGTAAATGCTCACTGTGCCTCAGCAGCCACCAGATCTTAATCCAACACAGCACAGTTTTTGGTCCTGCCCTCACATCTGAAGCAACAGTCAGATACCATCATGTCTCGTGGGCCCAAATCTCTCAGGAATGTTTCCATCGCTGCCTCGACTGTTTGTCGCATAGATTTAAGACAGATAAATTTGACGTAACACACCTCGTCAGCGTCATAATCCACAACGGCAAAGTACTTAAGACAGGAACTGTATCCAAAATAACTTTATGTGTGTGTGTATGAGAGTTAAAAAATTCAAAATACTCTATCAATAGTTTTTTTAAGCATGAAACAAAGTCGGAAATGCATTTGTGGCAACACTTGAAAAGCCCCAAACCGTGTAGTGTAAATAAATTTTTGACATTTCCATTTGGCGGCGCTAATATAATATAATAGAGTGTTTTTCTGCTTTCTGTGAAAAGTCAGTGATCAAAGGATCGTAGGCTTTTGGTTAAAAAAATATGGTGTTGGTAAAGCTGATTAAAACCCACATGTATTCAAACTCGCACCCAGTCCGGGTTGTGTCCGAAGAACACTGTGAACCACTAAAGTTTTCTGCAGCTTCCCAGAACAATAGAGCCAAACCGAAAACTTTTATATGCTTCTTAGCTGCTTTTATGTTTTCTTGTGAGGGTTCATCCAGAGCGTTGTTGGATGATCTGCTGAAGACATGCAAATGCTTTGAGTAAAAAGCTCAAAGCCAATGTGTTTGCGTTTTTAGCAAGGGCTGCGGACCCTGCAGGACCTGGCTCCGGAGATGCGTTTGGCGATGGCCTGCGACATAGAAGATGAGGAGGCCACGGAGGGGGAGATGACGGGCGATGAGATATTTGACAGTGAAGCCGGAACTTCGGTGAACCCGACGCCTGCCAGCACGCCCATGCCCCCTATAGAAATGCTGGTGGAGCAGACCGCCGTGATCATGGAACCTGAACCCAAGATCGCCAACGGGGGCGTGATCACCAAGCAGGTGTCGGGCCTGCTGGAGCACGAGAGGCCAGGGTCAGAGCTGGCAGGCGTCAACATCGTAACAGAGCAGCCGGTCAGGTCCGAACCCCTACCTATCAGGTACTGTGTTTACAAGTTCATCTGGAAATGACTGAAATTATCTTTGCGAGATATTTTTTCCCTGACTTTTCCCGAACCGCACCGGCAGGGTGGACTCCATCAGCGAATCCCCGTTACCTCCTCCCCCGGAGGTGTCAGATGGAGGAGTAATTGTGGCCGAGGAAGCTCCCGCTGTGGCCGCTAATGAATCCACTGAGCAGTTCTATCTCAGTGATGGATATGCTGCAAGCGAAGCCTCAGTAGACAGGTAAGAGACATGGAGGACATAGATCCTGTACATTGGGCATTTTAAGAAATGTGTGCTTTCACATGCAAAGGCCGGAAATGTGCTGTTAAGCACACAAACAAGTAGGACAAGGAAAACTCTTAAAGCATTTATCTGTTTCTTTCTAACCTCACAGATACACGTATCCTGAGGCTGTGTCCCCTGCACCGACGGACCCGGGCTTCAGCGCCCAGAATCTGGACGCCACCAGCAGCATGGGAGAAATCCCCTACGCCACTCCCGACGCCAACGGCTACGTGGCCAACGGTTACGGCGACGGCACCATGAACGGTGGCAGCGCCGCCGTCAGCCCCGCGCCCTACGCGCCCAACGGATACAACGGCAACGGGTACGCGGGCTACCACGGTAACGGGAGCATAGTCAGCGCCAACGGCGACGGCAGCATGCTGAACGGCTGCGCGGAGAACGGCAGCGCCGTGGGGGGCTACAACGGGAGCGAGAACGGCGGCGCGCAGTTCGTCCGCAGACGGCTGCTTCCCAGCATTCCCAAAGGTGAGGCGCTGAGGGCCATCAACCTGTTAAATCTGTCCGACGCCTCAGGTAAAAACAACCGGATCGTTCAACACCTTTTTTTTTCCCAAGTCATGTTTAAGATAGAGTACTGAACAGCTGGTAGATTTTGAGAAGAGGTGGGAGTGTTAAACTGCTTTCAGATGTTTCATGGTCCAAATAATTCATGAGTTTCTTTCACGCTTGACCCCAGATAACTTCAGAGAGGAACAGACTTTTAAATTGCACCGTACAGGACTTTTATTTTTTTATATCCGCTGGAGTGATGAAGCAACTTCTGTTATCAGGAGTTTAGTCGGGGATTGTGGTGGAAAGAGTAAATTGCACATGTATTGATTTTACATTAACTCAAGTGTTCTCAGTAAGGCAGTAAATAAGATACTAGTAATAAGAGGGAAACAGAGATGGAGATGTCATCATTTATTTTTGTCCGTAGGCTTGCAATCAGCCAAATTTCAGAGCCTCTGATCTTTTTTATTGTTTCAGGTCACAAGCCTGCCTTTAACTTCCAATGTCTGAGGCCCCAGAGCAGCGTGGATGACCTCCCCATCCCCGGAAACTATCAAGGAAACACATCTCCAACCAGATCTCGTCTGCAGGTAGAGCGATGGCAAAGACGCAACCTCAGCGTCGGCGTTTCTCATCTGCCTTTTGCCCGTTCCTCACCCTCCTCTCTGCTTCACCAGGTCCAGCACAGCCTGGACTCGCGGCCGAGCAGTGTGTCGTCCATGTCCTCCGCCTCCTGGGCCAACACGGCAGCAGCGGGCACCACCCCTCTCCCGGGGATTATCGCCCCCTCCGGCCGCAGGGGCAAACTCATCTACACCCCCATGATCCTGGTGGATGAGACCAGCGGCACCAGCCAGCCGCTGTGGGGCGACGGCTCTGCCAGCCTGCCGGCGGGACGGCGCCAGGGCTGGTACCCCGGTCAGACCCGCACCTTCACCAGCGTTAGGATGCCACCCGCCGTCAACCAGGGCTTCGTGGACAAAGGCAGCGCAGACAGCCTGGTCGAGTCGGTGAGTTATCGGGAGCTGGAGATTTTTGTAAAACATAACCCCAACAGCCAGGATTTGGAATAGATTTTTACTCCGAGAAAAAGAGAACTACAGATCAGTCTCATACAATGTTAATGTAATTGGAAAGGAAAGCTTTTGTGTCCAAGATAAAAATGCAGGGAGCAATTCCAGCTAATTACAATCTAACCACAACTACCATAAACAATATACTGTATTGTATTAGCAGCACATTTGCTAACAGCATAACCCTGCCTGACCTTTTTTTTTGTTTTGTTTCCGCCCCGACAACAGATCTTGATCTCCGAGGGTCTAGGTATCTACGCCCGGGACCCAAAGTTTGTGACCTTTGCCAAACGGGAGATAGCCGAGGCCTGCCGCATGAGCCTGGATGAGATGGAGAACGCTGCTGCCGACCTGATCGCGCGCGGAACCAGTCAGTCGCTCTCACGCTTCGAGGAAGAGCTGGCCGACGAAATGAACTGCGTGATCTCCTACTGAGATCGGCGAACCTGAAATAAGGACGTGGGACCGGATGTTCAGGAGTGAGGAGAATCGAAAACTTTGATGGGAGGTGTGTTCACATTGGCTGCGAGGGAGACGCTTTTATACGATTTCATACATTAAACTGAGGGGATGCAATTTGTTTTTGAATGCCAAACCATGCACGCTGATTGGGACTCCATCTGAAGTGGTGAGGACTTTGTGGTAGACAGAAGTTTCTGCCAGTGTCTGTGGCAAACTGCGGCTCTTAGCCTCGCTATGACAAAGGATCACGTATTTCTTCCCCATTGTACTCTCATTTTGTGCCGTACTTGAAGGGACATCACTTTAACGCCTGCGTGCTCAGTGGCAGTTATGACAAATAATCTGTAAAAGGAGAACATGTATAGCCACTGCATGTCGATCAGGTGTAACATCTTAAAACTGAGCTGGTAATGTCCGGCAACTTCAAATATTTTACAAAAATATTTAAACAGAATTAAATATTCTCGAAGAGTCAAAGTGCAAACTTGTAGCAGAAATGTCTAAAATATTTTGGGGTTGGTTTTTTCTCTGATGAATGAGACTGTAGGGATGGGGAGACTGTAAAGTGTGCATCAATAAAATATCTTTTCTCATACATTTCCAATATTGAACAGTTTACAGCTCGTTCCACACGGTGAGCCTCACCTCAAAAGTTTTGTTTGTTTGTTTTTTTTTGCTTATTTAAAAAACCACATTAAAATCTAATCCATCAATTATATAATCAGCATTAATGAAGCGACATATGGGCAACATCTGGGTTTCACTTCCCTTCTTTAAAGAAACAGTCCATGCAAAACAAGGAACCGCACTTGTTTGTGGTTTAGAGATTTTGTTGCAATGTGATGCCTCTAAGCTTTGTTATGAAAGAGAGAGCTTACGTTTTGGTAAATGCAGATTAAAAAGTGGTTCCCTATTTCTATTTGAGTTCAGACAAAGGTTCAACCAAATGACTGCCAGTAAGCAGTGATGAAGTGTCAGAAATGCTAAATAGGCTCTTTTTACATAACAGTTTTATACTACAAGCTTCATTTACACACACACTCAAGCACTTCTTATGCTATATTGTATTACAGGCCCCGCTATCACATATGTTGAACACATTAGGCTGACTTTTAAGGACAGTTTAAAATGCTTAAAACGGGGAGCCGTTTGTTTTTTTCCCATTCTTTTACAGCCGTCCGTTTGAAACGAAGATACCTGCAGAGAGAGACAGAGAGGAAGAGCCACCATCAGATGACAAAGTTTTAGGATCTAAATGCACTGAGAGCAAATGAAACAGGGCTGTCTAAGAAAAACAATTTTAACCAAAGTCGATGTTTTATTGTGGGTCATCGAAGAAGTGGGTCATCTTCCTGAACTTGAAAAGAGCCACCAAAACGGAGCCTAAAAGTTTAAATTGTTTAGGAATCAGAAGTAAACCTGAGAAGATGGCCCTCCAGTTGAACAATATGGTGCTTGGACATCTTAAAACATAAGGCAAAACTTGTGAAATGAATGTTTTAGAGATGATAAAATTGAAGAAATATGAGGTGCACCCGGAGCCGTTTGAGTTAGCTGTCAGCTTTTCAGGGAGTTCTTGGGACATCCAGATGAACGGAAATGAAAACTGTCGAGCCCAGAGGTTTCTTAAAATCATTTTGAAACAGGATATTCCTAGTTCTAGACAGAATCTCAAACTAACTTCCTTTTAGAGAGACTGGAGGCTCAAGAAATGCAATTCAGCATGTGCAACTCCCACTTTAGGGGTCAAACGTAATCACTTCTCTTTTTTTTGTATAGTAAACATTGACAGTTACAAGTCACCTGGGTCCCCTTCATTTTTGAGACATTGTCATCATAAAGTTGTTGTTCTTTTACTATTTTCTTCCCCCCTCATATAGCTGGATTTCAATCCGTGGAGCAAGGAAAGTTTTTTTCTACTGGGGATTTCTGGGGATCGCACCCAGGCACGTCATACCTCGTTGCGTAGGTCTTTTCCTCAGCTTTCAGCCAATGTGATCCGACCTGCTCAAACCAATCACCTTCGGTCAGCGGGCTCCACAGCTCGGCCAGGTCCCTCCAGCTCTGCGTCTCTACTTCAGGCCCTCTCAGAGGCGTGAGCCATCACTGATAACAGCCCAAATGTCCGTCCTGTGAGCCCTGCAGAGGCATCCAAAAGATGGGGGAGCCAACGGCCAGGTGGTGAATTTATTGATAGATTTTCCAGTTCAAATAAAAGTTGTTTTGTGTCGAAATCTATCGGATCAATTTGCTCTTACTCCTTTGTTCCCACGGCATGTCATATGTTTATGGCCCATTTGAAAGCAATGTTAAGAGTGATGAATACATTTTAAATTTGAAAATGTTTTTTTAAGTTTATTACACCGGTAAAGGATTGTGTTGCAATGATAAACAAAACAAAAACACTTCTAAATGTCAAACGTGGTCCTACAAGCCGCTAAGTTATTTTACTATCACATATGATATAGTTGTAAGCATTGGGACACAGTCAGCATTGCAATGTGCATTTTTCTGCAACCTGCATATAAACATCCCCCAGCAGAGTGGTGAGTACACCATTAAAAATTAAAAAACAACCCCCCAAAAAAGGCGTCTCCTGTGGACGCACAGCTGATGGCAGGTGAACGTGCGGCCTGTTTGCGGCCCGCAGCGCGTGACGGACCTCCACCGACCCCCGTTCCTCCCCCGTTCCTCCCCCCTCCCGCTCCGGTCCCTCCGTCTGCCGGAGCCTGAGCAGTCTCCATGCGCTCCCCTCCCCACCATAAGGCCTCCGGGCAGCCTCTGCTGCCTGGGAATAAAGCGGCGCTGCGATTGGACACACGGCTCGGCTCGCCGCTACTCCGAGTATACGCGCGACTCCTCTGACGTCAGCGCGCACCGACGTCAGCGCGCCCGACCCGGCTCGTGACGCAGCGCCCGGGCTCTTCCAGGAGAGCGGCTTCCTCCCCCCCCTGGGCTGTTCCGGATAAGAAGCCTCCCTCTTCCGCCCCTCTGATCCTCTTATCAGCGAGTAAGCGGCCAAGATGGATGTTGTAAACCAGGTAAGGCTTTTGGGGGAGGAAATCATTCCGTTAGATTTGTGTTTTCTCTCTTTCGGAATTGGCGTTTCATTGATCACGACTCGCTTGAATTTATTGAGCATCTTCAGTAAGGCTATTCCGAATTTTTAATTATTTTTTTTTGGACCAGATATTCTCCGACCTCAGGTGTAGCGGTTTTTTGCACACTGGGAATAAAAAATATTCGTTTGCACATGAGTAGAAATGCATTTTTTTCCCTGGGCTTGGTGTGGGGGGGGGAGGCGGTGGAAATCGGCGGATGCTGCGGTAGATGTGACAGAGCGGCCCGAATCCCGATCCCAGTGTGTGTAGGATGTCAAGAGGCTGCTGCGGCAATGTCACACAGCACAGGGAAGAGACGACGCTGCCTCTGGAGGCCTCGTTTATTTAGATCCCTCTCCCTAAAGATGAGGAGAAGAGGATGGGGTTGATAACACCTCCCCGAGGTCCGGCCGCAGTATAGGCCGGACGCTCCCGCATCCCCAGCAGCAGCAGCCCGTCTCCCGGAGAGATGAAGGGTTTGTGACAAAAGCCTCTCAGAATTTTCCTGGGAAACAGGCGGGTTTCAAGCTGTGAGACGGGCCTGAGCGGGATTTTTTTTTTTCTCTTTCAAAACATTATTATCGACGCGTGCGTCACCCGTTTAATTCGGATGTTTGGCATCCACAGCTCTGCCCGAACAGAGACGCGATGAGGATGAGAGTGTAGCTGCTGCTGCGGCCATTTATCGATGCAAACAGGGACACGCCGCCTTCTTTTTGCGGTGCCGCATTCACCTGCGCGCGAGTGCATCCTCCTCTCCACCAATAAACGCGGATTCTGCAGGGTTTTTTCCCTACAGATGAAGAGAATGACTGCTGCTGCTGGTCGTGCAACGAAGAGGGCAGAGGCAGACCGTTAATCAGCTTTGTGTAATTGTAATGCTGAGAGGAGATCTCTCTCTCATAAACACACACACGCACATGCGCACACACACACATATATATATACACACTAGCCTTGGAAAGCAATGTCAACATTACTCCACTGGCTTCATACACCATTTCGTAGTCTCAGGATGAGGCTCGTGACTCACGTTATTAACTGGAACGTTTGCAGCTCCGTATAACAAACACCTTCAGATGCCTCCAGGCAGAGAGACTAAAGCCACATTATGCTGATGTTTTTGTGTGTTTGTGTTTAATGTGTACATCATGGCATGAACATCATCGTGCTTTAGATGCAGGGAGTTCTCCCTGGGTGCCAAAAATTAGCCGAAACGCCAAAAACGCCACATTTCCTGATTTCTGGTTTGTTTTTGTTGACAGCTGGTGGCCCAAGGGCAGTTCACGGTAATCAAACAACCACTGGGATTTATAAAGATTCTACAATGGGTAAGTGCCCTACGTTCCTGGTTTCACTATATATTTCATGGTGACTGTGAGAAGATTTGTGAATATTTGCTGTTTGACGGTAAAAACCTTGGTTAGCTGAGAGATATTTGATCCCCTGTCTGTCAGGTGGCATAAATCTGCATAGCAGATGTGAGTGTTCACTCTCAGAAAACTGTCTGTGTGCTTCCCCTTCTATGGGGAGTGGGTTTGCTGTCAGGTTTCCTGTATCTTTGGTGTGTGTCCTTACCTTAAATGTGTCCGGTGGAGGCATGCTCAGCCAATGGCTGAGGCCGCTTACATCCTGATGTTGTGATGATGACGCCCCGGCGGGGCTGAGCCGGAGACGGAGACACCGGCGGGATGCGTTGCATAATTATCGTAGTAGCACTGTGTCAGCTGGCAGAGACATGGAATAATAGCAGAGTGAGTCCTTTATAAGAGGGCACGACTTCTGCATGCCTGTACAGATGTCACTTTAAAGCTCCTCAGCACAAAGCAGCTGCAAAACAAACATTCAGTTGCTTCCTTTTGGATGATTAAAGCCTAATTTGACAGCCAGGTCAACAGAATTAAGGAGCCATGAGCAACAAAGGCTGATTTGTGTTTCTGTGCCGTTCACAGAATGATTCCTATTGGAGATCTGTTCATTCAATTTTCCAAGCAATAATATCAAACTCCCCATTTGAACAGTGTCTCCATTGCAATGATTTTCTGATTGATTTGCTATTCTGTTTCATCAACTGGCACATAAACGGGGTCTGGGTGGCCGAACATTTCACAATGAATGAGACAATGACAAGAAATGTCCCTCCCACAGCTGCTTGGTGGAGCTTATTCCAGAGGGTCTGTAGTCAGTCGTATGATGTATTGTCTTCCACAATATTTGTCCTCCATCAGCAGCAGGATACTCAGAGAGAAGATGCTGCAGGGTTGACAGCACTGCTGCTCTATTGCAGTTTTTTTTTTTCCCTGCCCACAGCTGGTGGAGTTATGGGAGTAGTGCTCCTAATTACCCATGCAACCCCTGCTGTTATGTTCTGTTATGTTGAAGGATATTTTATACAATATTATATATACAATATTCATTTCTATACGATAGAAAGTCACCTCGGAATTTTAGTTACAGCTGTAATAGCCTTCAACTGCTAATCAGGAAATATGAGCGTGTAGGTATTGTGTAGATTTTTAAAAATAATACTCCCTTCTTCTAGTGGAATTGAGCAGGGGATGCCCCACCTGTGTATGAGCCCCATAACTCCTCACCACAGCCACGCATGGAGAACCCCCGTAATACAACCCAGATGTAAAGATCTGTGCCAAAGCGGCGTGGTCGGGGCTCCACGCTCTTAATTGGGCGCTGCAGATATGGCTGAGAACGTTCAGGGGGGGGGGGGCGTGCGTGCGCCGCATGACTCCGTAGCCCTTCCCTGGAGCGGTGTGAGTGTGCCGACACCTCCCTGGGTCACTGCCGTCCCAGCACCAATCAGCGGCCGCGCCGGGGAGGCCGGGGCACATGAATCATGCGTAGGGGAGGAGCTGCCCATCCGCCTGCTTTAATATGGGCACGCATCAGCAGGGCTCTCAGGAGGGGAGAGAAAAGAGTCCAACCTCTCAAGTATTTCCACCAGATTCCTCGGCAGGATCCAGTAGAAAGAGATGCTAATGCATTAAAGACAAAACAGACAGCAGCCCCAGAGACGGCCTCGTGTTTACGAGATTAGAACTATCAGAAGTTGAAGTGTAAAGTGCAAAGGGGCTGAGAAGGTGTGCTTTCCAAGCACACTTAGCGTGAGGTTGGAGATTAAAACACGGTGTATGCGTGGTATGCGTGAGTCTTTGTCCTCCCGCCTCCCTAACCGAACCCCCATCTTTTCTCTCCCTCCGGCGAATCTTGCTGACAAAAGCTTAAGTTTGATGGATGTTGAAAGACATTGAGTTTCCAAATACAGCTCAGCCAGAGTTCAGCGGCGGGGAAGGCGAGCGGCCGCCGTGTGGAATCTCATCTGCATTCACAGTTCTGCTCTGACTCATTTTCAGCAGTCCCAAAAAGGCCGTTTGCGTAAACACAAAGTAGCAGCTTTGTTCGCTGGGGCAGAATCCTTAATGTGTAGTAAAAGATTGTTGATGCCGCTGTCGCTCGGGGGGGGTTCACTGTTCAGACACATTGTGCTGTTATCTCTCCAGGGCCTCTGGAGAGGGCTTTTGTTTGCTGCTTTGTATTTTTCACATCTTAGCATGTCTTTTCATACATAAATGGGTTACTTCCCAGTGCACTTTCAGTGCACAGTTTTAGCTAATACTGTGTGTGCACATAAAAAAAAACAGTATTTGGTAGGTATTCTTGGTCTTTTGGTTGCTGTGTTGACAGATTTCACGTTTTAGCTTCATACACACAACGGCTTTGATATTACTGGTGCTTTCTGTTGTTATTGTCGAGTGCAAATCGGCCGAGCTGAGAGAAGGAGACGGAAGAATTCAGAACGCGTGAGAACAGCAGTGGCCGACAGATCGTTGGAGTCAGAGAGTGAAGGCGTGTATATCTTCCCGGCACAGAATAGCTGACACCCATCCAGCATGCCAGGAGGAGCAGAAACCAGCCTCCATGTCGTGGTTGACGCTAGCAGTAGCGTTACCATGGCACTGTCTCTCTGCTCAGTCTGACATCTCCACTCCTCCCTCTGTTCCGCCCTTACTTTACTCCTCTATCACTCTGCAATGACGGGTTTAAATTGTACAATGCCCCTCCCCCTCTGGATTCAGCCCGAGCAGCCAGTATTTAGTTTTTATCCAACCCAACAGCACAGTTTTAGTTTTAGGGCCAGCAGTTGGTCCAGCTGGTAGCTGTTAGAGTTCTCTGTGGGGATTTGTTTAAAACCGTGTACAGTCCAAGAAAGGAGCAGACAATAAAAGATAATCCACAGTTTGCCATATATATACAAATATGTATATGTGTGTGTGGGTGTGGGTGTGTGTATTTATATATGTATTTATGAATTTATGTAAAGTTTAATGTATCTATCCACAAAAAGGCTTAGCCTTGTAACTACAGACTTATCCAAACCGATCTACCAACATAAACACTCACTGAGGCTGAATACTCTGTAGAACTCTATATATGATGTTACTGATGCTTAGTCATGTTTGAATGTGGAGATTTGACAGCAAAGTTTGTTTTTTTTGCCATCTTATTTTATGTGTGTTCGGTGCCAACACACAACAGTGGTGACCTTTAAGCTACCCACCTCTAAGATGGCTAACAAATCCTCGAGGTTAAATCTTTCAAAAAATTGTGTAGGCACGATTGTTTACATAAAAAGTTGTATTTCCATGTAGTGTCACTTATTGGCCAGGTTTCAGATTTCAACACACAAAAAAATCTTAACTCTTTCCAAGCAATGATTGGAGTTTGTGAAGACCATTTAAAATGCAGAAAATATGTTTGAAAAGCAAGTAACCAATCACTTCTACATGACACTAGTTGTTATGTTAGAAGCTTATTATCATATATTGGGATAAAGTCTTATTAAAGAGTTTATGAAAATAGTATGATTGATGGACTTTTATAATGACATGCATTTGTACATTGTCTACAATGATTCTTCCGAATATAGACGAACAACAACACATGTACAAGTTCCTTCCTAAAGGCAATTTAGAGTCTGACTGAAAACATTTATATGATCAAATGAATGAACCCTTTCATGGATAGCTGCCACTACAGTGGACAGCTATTTAAAAACCATTTTCTTGCGTAAATATGTTTTTTTATGTATTAAATGCACATAGGCCACTGAAATGGAAACTGGTGCATCATGCACCATCCATGTGTGAATATAGTTTATGTTCATGCATTCTGTTAACAAATGTCAAAATATGTTTACATTGTAACATACAGTATTTCATCAGTTGGACGTCTTCAAACATATCCTGTCCACTTAAGTACACATCTGGAAAAATCCTTGAACAAACACATAATCTACAACAACAAAAATCACCTACTTTTTTATGCCTTAAGAAAATCAAAAACACTTTGAAATGATCAGAATTCATGCATGAAATGGTTGACATATTGCGTTTCACCAAATGATTTTCTCAGTCTTGGAGCTTTAAATGCTTAAATCAAAAATAAATAAAGCCGCTGCCTCATTTGGTTATCTTGTTTATACATGTATAATTCAGATTGTCCTAACACTTTGCAGATTGAAGTAAAGCGCACTGAGGTATTTTCTTTTCCGTTTGTAATCCAGATGGGATTTTCATGTATTCCCTTGAAAGAGAAAGAAAATCTTTTCAAGGCCAAGCAAACCAGTGAAGATTCAATCTTTGTTGGTCTGATATCTGTTTCTGGTTCAAACAGACAATGGAGTACTTAAAGCATCTACCAATGTTTTGGGATGACTAAAACCTTAATCGTCAAAACAGTTAGTCTATTCCAAACAGACTGAGTGTGGTTATATTTAAGTTGTAGTATTAGAACGCCACGCTGGTGTCTGTGTGAAGGTTTGTGCTGATGCTGCAGTTTCGGACGCTCTGTCTTCTGAATAATTTGCATGGCTGCTGCAGGATTTAATCCTTTTGGTGGTGTTTGAGTTTAAGCAACAAATACAGCATGAAAAAGACTGATTTGCAGCCATTTTCTTTTGACCAAATGTTGATTTAATTAAGCTATCTCCCTTTTGGAAATGACCCAATTTTTTATGTAGAACAAAAGGTGGGGGAAAAACCCCCACCCCACAAAAGAGATTAATGAGTGAAGCCATCACAGTAAGGACATTGTTCAGTATAAAATCCAGCAAAAACAATCCCTCTGGAGACACTAGCTAAAAGATGACTCCTTTAAGCCTGTTTTAAGCACCACAGTACAACAGTACTACACGGCTCAAGCCAAGAAGGAAGTGGCATGTCACGTGTGAATTTGAACACACACATTTTCAAGAGGGGTTGGGCCAGAGTGTGTAAGTGTGTTTCCTTACAGTAGCTTTTAGATGAGTATTCTGTGACAGATGGTGAAGCACCTCACAGAGATTAATAGCTGGATTGTCCGTCCAATCGGATCTGCCCTGCAGTGTTGGCAGGGTGTGGTAAAAATAGTCTGACTCGCCTAATCCCCTGTGTGTGTGTGTGTGTGTGTGTGAGCGAGAGGGTGAGGCTGTCTCCTCTTGTGTGTGTTTGCGCCCTCTATGCGACTGTAAGCAGGTGATGACAGGTGCTCTGTGCTCATGAAGTAGAATCAGCCGGCAACCTTGGGTCGGATGCAACGAGCACTACTGCACCAGAAATGGCAAAAAAAACGGCCTCCGAAAACGCATACCCCATCGGTAACCATGGCAACAAGTGCGGGCCTTACTCCCTCGGCAGCCGATAACGCTGAATTGATTTACGCTCTCTGTGAATCTATTAGCGGCTTCACAGGATTGGTGGATCCCGATGAGCCTGGCTGAGAAATGGCAGGTTGTGGGGGACATCTGCAGCCTACCTGCCGCTCTCTGTTTACATTTTTACATCTATCAAAATGCAATGCAAGACTGCGATTCTCTGATACAAGTCCAACGTAGAGAAAAGTGATGGGTAGATGTCAACTTTTTGTTTTTTTCACGGGTGACTGGGGATAAGTTGTGGTTTTAAAATGTTGTTTTGTCTTCTTTTTTTTTGTCTTCCCACAGATATTTGCAATCTTCGCCTTCTCAACATGTGGCAGCTACTCCGGCATGTTCAAGATGAGCGTGGAGTGTAAAAACCGATCAGAAAGTGACCTAGGCATAGAAGTAGAATTTGAATATCCATTCAGGTATGTATGATGTGCTCATTTTAATGCCAGTTAAAACTCCCAGTTGGCTCGCTTTGGGGCTGCTTAGAACCAAAGTAGAGGAAATGAATCCTGCCATTTCTGTCTTGGATGTATTCTTTCTATCACCTTATTACACCAGCTAATAAAGATTGCAGTTTAACCAATTCATTAGTTAATATTATAAGTTATATATAACTTATAATGTAGCTGCACAGGCATCTTATATTTCCCAGACAACACACAGGAGAGATATCTGTCTCAATACCTTAAATTTGTGAGGAAGTTTCCCAAAAAAGGCAGAGAACTGAAAACCAAATAAAAAGGGGCGTATTTCACATCGGAAAATAATATGATTTCCTCATATGTTTACATTGTTGTTGTAATAATATCTAATGTAAATCTATCACAGCTTCTAAACAGAGGTGGCTGTTGTTTTGGTGATAGAATCATCATACAATAAGAAGTTTACCAGCTCAATTCCCAGTTTCCTCCTTCTTGGCATCACTGTGTCCATCAGAAAGATGCTCAACCCCATACAAATTAGGGGTTGGACAAAAATGTGTGAGCAAAAGCGATGTTATTTCAAAGTGCGTGAAGACACTTTTTCAAATCCTGAAGGGAAATCATAGGGTTACCATGTCAATGGGTTGTTGTTTGGCACAGCGTGTCAACGTTGACTCGCATGGTAAGTTTGGCTAGCATTAATCCAGGCTTTGGACTGGCACAAGCAGGACTCAGAACTCCATACCCCATTTTAGACAGTGAGACACCTCACTGTGTAGCTGGGGATCGAACCACCAACCGGTCCATTGGCAGGCAACTGTCCTTACCTATTAGTCACAGCCGGCCCTATTTGTGTGAATGGGTGTAGACAAACATTTGGAAAGGCGGTGAGGGGGGAGATGTGGTCGGAATCCTCACCACAAAGCTTCCTTGAATGATTTGGGGTGCTGTTTTTGGGGCTTGTCATAAGTACTTCTGATGGTGTCGCAGAGCATCAGCAGCTGAACTCTCAGAAGGCAACAGGAACAAGAGCCAATATTTCCTGGTAACAGGCCAAAGATAGCACGAAAAAGAGCATTAAAAAGAAATATTAAGTTTAAAATAACAGGGAATACACAAATGCAGGTACCCCAATCTTATGCTAATGTGAATTGACTTTGTTTCCTTCCACCTCAATACTTATACTAAGACTCCATCTTGCCTGAGATGATTAAGAAAAGCAGTGTATGGTTCATAACGACACACATTTCTAGCATGTGACTCTCAACTCCTTAAACTCTTCTGACTCTTCCCCATGTTTCTCAACATCATCAGGCTTCATCAGGTTTACTTCGATGCCCCCACCTGTAAGGAAGGGAACCGGGAACGTTTGTTCCTGATCGGGGACTACTCCTCTTCAGCTGAGTTCTTTGTCACCATCGGTGTCTTTTCCTTCCTCTACTCCATGGCAGCCCTCTCTGTGTATTGTTTTATTCTGGAGAAGTACCGCGAAAACAACAAAGGGGCCCGCATTGTGAGTTCTTTTTTTGTTGTTGTTGTTGTTGTTGTTTTCTTTGTTTTTTGGGAGGAATGATCAGCCGCGAGGTTTGAATCAATGGGAGTAACTAAGATGTTGTGCTGTCCATCCCCAGGACTTAGTGGTGACAGGCGTGTTTGCCTTCATGTGGCTGGTGTCTTCATGTGCTTGGGCCAAAGGCCTCTCTGATGTGAAAACAGCCACTGACCCAGAGAAGGTCATCAATTTAATCGAAGCGTGTGACGAACCAGCAAATCGCTGTCGTGAGATCTACGACCCCAAAGTGTCCGGCCTCAACACCTCTGTGGTAGGTCCCTAACACACCTGACCGAAAAACACACACAGAACAAAGGCTCATATGAGAACTGTACCACCAACAAACGCTGATAACCCTTTCTGCTGCGCAGGCTTTCGGATTCATCAACTTGATCCTGTGGATTGGAAACTTGTGGTTCGTCTTTAAGGAGACCGGCTTGATGGCCGCGTTTGCCGGAACCTACGTTCCATCACAAGAGAAGCAGCCCGCTCCTGACTCCTTCGAGCAGGGAGGATACGGACAGCAGGACCCCTACGCGGGCTCCCAGGGGGGATATCAGCCTGAATACGGCCAGCAGGGAGGCTACGAGGAGGGAGGTTACAACCAGGGCTACGAGCAGCAGCCCACCTCCTTCTCCAATCAAATGTAAAAACCTGCCCTGCCGAAGACCAGCTGCAGGGTGGTGAGTACATGCTCAAGTTCTCGGATTTGTAGGAAAAAAACATGGGCGCCGTCTCAGGGGAAGTGATTTTAGCGGATGTTTCATTCAAACAGGAGTTACGGGACAAAGTTCACAATACTTGGCCCTGTGTCTCAGGGGCACAAGATAAGCCGGTTTGAGTTGATGTATAACTTCTTCGCATGTCCTTAAATGGCTTTTTCTGTTACGATGCATGTGGCAGTTGTTAGTTACAGCTCTACCAAATCTATTCTGTCCATCTCAGCCACCAATTCCATGTTTTTTTTTAGACATCTCATAGAAGAGGGTTTTGACATCATAAAGTTGGCCGCAGTGGCTGGTATTTTTCCAAATGGCCAAACAGGCCACGGCGTGTCAATGTAAATGGCCCAAAGGGGAATCAGAGACTAAATTTGAAGCTTCACCAGTCTAAGGGACTAAATCTATGGTAAAAAAAAGACCTTTTGTACTAACCGTGACAGCTTACCAGCAAAAGTGTAAAACATTTGTAGACTTTATAAGAATAAAGCAAACCATTGAATAGATAGTACTTAACGCATCCTTGATCCTAAATGAAAGAATTTTCTTTAGTCTCATTTCCTCCCAATGCCACCAACATAGATCTAAAGACTGTTGTTAATTGTGAAGAATTTCTCAATGAACAGAATGGACTGGAGGGACATCAACTGAACCAAAAAGCAGAATTAAGAAAACTGTTTTGATATGAGACATTTGTTTTAGTGTAGACATAGAATTAATAATGCAATCAGTATCAATTTATGTGAAAAAAGTGTAAGGCATACAATTTATCTGTGGAGTATAGAGGCCAGTGTTATGGATGGACAGTTATTTTTCCTTTGTACAGCTCCGTGCCAGCTCTTTTATCTTATCCTGCTCCAATCACTTGCTCTCTTTCCTCTTTGCATTCCACTACCCCCAGAAGTCTTAAAACTATCTTCACAGAGCTTTTTTGGCTGCCCAGAGCTTGTAGAATACTCTATTTGACAGATAACTCTGCTCTCTGCCCTATGAGATTCAGAAATGTCTGCCCATAGCGCCTCACCATCATGGGTTACGTTTACAATAATGTTTCTAATAATGTTTCTGTAATATTTCCCCAAAGTATTTTGCCTTTTTGATTCTCAATGACAGATAGTTGTAGTAGTAGTTTTGTGTGTTGCCCTTATCTCACAGAGATAAGGCCAGTATATACATTTTAAAAGCCTTCCCAGTTAAGTTTTAACTAGATTTAAATGTGAACATTGTCTCTCATTCACCCTTCAACTCATGCACAAAGCATGTGTCAGTGGATGTTGTGCTGTGTGGCAGATATAGATATTCACTCACCAAATATACAGTTTGGTCCAGCTGAAAATAAAGACACTGAGCTCTGGTGTCTTGTAACAGTGGAGTAAATAGTCATTTCCTGCTGTCCAAGAGTCTGTTGCTATGCTAACACACAGTGGGCCTATTTTAAAAGTCAAATTTGTGACTCGGGATAAGTCAAAATAATAACATGAAGTTGCTGTTGTCATGCATTTACTGGTTCTGACATGTTTTCCATGCCTCTTTCTTTCTCTCCCTCCCCTCAGGGTGATCTTGCGATTTTGGAGTGCAGTTTTCAGCCACCACCTGCGTTTCCACACTCCTCTGTTTGTCTGTTTGTGTATCTGTGAGTCAGCAGGCGGATTGAGGGAGGCATGGAGGGCATACACTCGCGGAGCTGGGGGCAAGGGTCACCTTCCATGGAATAAGATGTAGGGGCGGGGGGGGGCTTTGGGGGGTGCGGGGGTCTTTACTGTAACATGATGTTTATTCTTGTGATGTATTTAACAGTAGAAGACAACAGAGGATTGTCTGTTTGGTTATATGAGAAAAACTTGAATACAAATACCAAAACATTCATTGATGAACATTTATGAGAAATCTTGTAATGGGGAAAGACATTTATGAGAAAAAAAAAATTGTAGTAATATTTAACTCGGGAGATTGTATTTGTCTGTGCTGTGTAAATATCAACATGCTGATAAATATATATATAAATATATGATTATATGTACACAGTTGAATAATTGTGCACTCCATATTAGTTGTTATACAACAAATGTTGAGCACAGAGTTATTCAATTGAATTTCTTTTGGTTCTGTTTAGGAGCTCACTTGGTTTAACCTTTAACCATTGTCCCTTATTTCAACCATTCATACCACTATCATATTTTTTTTCATTCATGCAAGAATCTAATATTATTTTTCTTTTTGTCTTTACATGATTTTTTTCTCTTATCTTATTAATTTATTTCTAAATCATTATTAATATTATTGGCAGGGCATAATCAGGGAGAAGGTTCAAATGCAAAAGGTGAAAAGATGTATCTATATATATGTAGGCAAAGAAAGAGTGATTTGTTGTAATCGTGATAACAGTTTGTACTAAGTTGATTGGTTCGAGGTTTTGTTTAATATTCATATTGTGTTCCATCTCAAATCACTGTCAAGAGTGGTTGAATTCTTGTGATTCTGTGAAAATTCTGCGTGTCTAGATTCAGAATGTGTGTAGGGAGAAGAGGATAAGTGAGCATTTCATATTTGCTAAGCTGTTCCTGAATCCGCTGTAGTGCTTTTACACTTGTGAATCAGGCCGTGAAACCAGAGTTTTAGTGTTGTGTGTTTGTTTATTAGTTTGGATTCAAGTAAAGGCATCCCACCACTTTTCGTCGATGATCCTCATCCTGTTTTCAGTCGCCTTTTTGTGTGATCCAGAGAGCTATAAGACAGAGTTAAATAGTTTTTTAACTGATGTTTATATCACACTATAATCATTGACGTACAAACTCACATTCACGTTCAGTAAAAGGTAGATAAGAGTCAGGGTTTGTTAGCTTTTGAAAGCCTTGGTCATGCCACATTATTACAAGGAGGCATTTTTCGAAATGTTCCTCCGTATGCATATAATTGTCCTGCATCCTCAGCACTTCTTTGACTCTCCTCTTTCTGAAGGCAAGCCAGTTTACTGCATGCAACCTACTCGTTACACCCCAAAGCATCCAAAATCGTATATGAGACGCTGAGGTTTGAAGCTGTGGGAAGGGGCAAATGAATATTTGATCCATCATAATGGGTAGAGCACAGCACATATACAGCAGCTCTGCTATATTCTACTTAAAGCACAAATTAAGTGCTGCAATAATTAGTTCTATCAGATGAAGATACACTTGTACGGCTGCCAGTTCACTGTTTGGATATTTAAGAGCATGTTTGCCAAATGTTAAGAGATGTATATTCATTGATAGTGTTGCTTCCACTTTTCTCGCCAGAGCAGGTTTTTCATCCATTACCAGTTTACCATTTTCCACTGTACAGATCATCATTTATTTTAAAAATCAGGGTTCTTTGATTCAGGCTGTGTAGAGGCTATTGGCTTTCTCTTCTCCTTTCCCCATCCCCTAACTCTGTTTTTTCTCTCTGTCTTTCATTCTCTTTTACTGTAGCTCTTATAAATATGCTGAAATGAAATATACTCTGTTGTTAGTGGTGAATGATGTCTTGTGATACATTCTAAGACTTTGGATAGTGCTGTGTTTATTGTGTATGATGTATTCATATTAGTATTTATGATGATGATAGAACAAAGAAAAAATATCCAAGACTCTCCGGAATTCTGCTGTATTCTTATTCTATGGGATCCATGTGAAACAAAACGAAAATAAACTTGAAATTATTCTGTTGAAGGTAAAAATGTGTTTTTAACTTCATAAGAGGGAAGGAAATGTCAGTTTTTCCATAACATTAAGAATTAAATGTGTCTATTATACTGCAAACTGTGCTAAAAAAAACCCTATTTTGATTGGACTTGAGTGAAACAAGAAATCATTTTAGGCTGGCTATTGGCCAGGATTAAGGCTGGTGTGACACATGTATTTACTGTATGTACACACACTATCACACACACACACACACACACACACACACACACACATATATATATATTTATATAGCCACTTGATGCAAGGTGGTATGCTTCCTGCACTTCCTTACTTATAAGATGGGCACTGTTCTAGGACAACCCACTATCACCAGTTGGTGAGATTCCAAAACAGTTATCAATGGGCAGCCGGCCCTCTCTTCTGAACATGAATCACTATGGAGAGTTTACTGTGGCATAACTCCTAGTACAGTCGTATGCATGTACGAGGTAGGCGATGCTGGCTCAAACATTGTTTATTTCACAGCCTCCGTGGTGGAAAGCATTGCCAGGAGAGTTTGACTGAATATTATCAGTTGCACATCACCCTGTAGGCGGAGTGGTATGCTCTGAGTTGTGAATCTCATAGGAGGTCACAGTTGAGCAGTAAGCATGCAGCAGCGACAGCAATCATTGATATGAAAAAAAGTCAGAAACCCTGCCCCTCTCTCATTTTCCTCTGTGTCGTTCGTAACCATTTGTAGATCATAAAAATAATTTCAGGACCAGGGGTAGACAACCTCTGTGACATAACTCTGTGCTCTCACATGCCTGTTCCAGAGTCATTGGAACGCACTCATTTTGTGAACATAAATAGTAATAGGGAAAAGGATAACTGACCTTAAATTCATCAAAAATTATATTACTCACACAAAAACTACACCCACCACTGTTTTACACATGGTATAGGCCTATGTCTTAAAAGTGGTGGCTGGCCAGTAGAGGGCGCCACCCCGCCACCCCACCATTCCCCACTGACTAAATTGCATTGATTAAGACGTTTTTTTTTAAAAAGAATTTATACATATATTCATATATGATAATTCTATGCATATTTACATGTTTATATTTTCATGATGAATAGTAAATAAATGAGTAAAGTTGTTCAGGTACATCAACGTTTTCTGATTGGTGACGCATTTCCGCCCTCTGAGCCCATTGAACATCGTTAAATGTTGCCCATGCGCAGTAGCTCCTGTTCAATACAAGAAGCGGTGCACCTCTCTTCTGCCAGCAGGTGAAAGCAGCTTGATTTACATACCACCGCCCTCCCGCTCTGGGAGCGACCTTGGGGCTGACGTTACAGCCCTCCGCCATACAGTGGGCTTACTGACTGGTCGAACATCGGACAGAGACACAAAGTGGAGCTAGAGAAATTAAATCATTCACTAAGGTCACTTAAAGCAATACCTTTTGAGAGGAGAGCAACCAGGCTTGGCTAACTTTACGTGGCTAGCTAGGCGAACACAGCATGAAATTATACTTTGTTTTCAGAAAGTACTTTTATAATGTTGCTTTTGTTGTTTTCATTCATGTGAATACACTGGTGTAATACTATAGTATATTTTTACTGTTTCTTTAAATAAATGTCTGTTTTGGAGTTGGAAAAAACTGGAGAAAACTCCACCATGCTGCCACTGCGTCTTAACCCATTTAGATATAATTAACTGATCGTCTTTATTTTTTTTAAAACCACTTTTCCCACTAATGGGACTGACTTCAGCCCAGATTATGTTCACTTAACCAGCTAATTCGTTGTTTAGTGCATGAAACGTTTCAAATATGGCACGTCCGAACTTTTAAATCGACTTGTACTTAAGGAAATGCGAACTCATTAGTGTATCAGAGCGGAAGAGTTCGCATTCACTCCACGTAACCACGGAGAGAGATTTATTATGTTGCTACGCTGGTCTCTGCGGGTCAACGGTGATTCCCCCATGAGGGAAAGTGAGAGCCAACGCCCCGCTCGGGCTCAGTCAGCTCCTTGGCCGCCTCCCCCCCCCTCACACAGCGCTCATTTCCACCCAGACCGCTGAACGGAGGAGGTGATTCATTCAGCCGCGCTGCAAGGTGAAGTGGAAAACTGTGAAGTGGAAAAAGGCAAAAGAAACTTTTCTCTTTTCTCCGTTCACTTTTGTACCGGAGCAGCGCTCGGATTTAAAAAGCGGATGCTGTTATTCCGAGGATACTGTTTGTTTTTCTAAATCGCGCACCAGATATCAGACGTTTTACGCGTCGGTTTTTCGACCTGCGGGCCTTGAACGCAACCTGCTGCCAGCACAGTGAGTCGCTTTCTTTTTCTTTTTTTTTTCCAGAATGGCTGATACCACAACGTCCAGCCCCGCAGCGAACTGCCTGGAGAAGCTGAAGGCTTACGTGAAGACCCAGAAAGGCTTCATCCTCGCGGCAGAAATAGTGAGTGGAGGGGAAATGTTTACCACTAGGCCTCGGAAGTTGTGAACTATTTGCCAAGCTCGATCTAATGTGTCCGGTGTGTTTTGCCTGCTGCGGATGAATATTTCATAGAATATGATTGAGTTAATGTGCCCTATTGATTTTTACGCTTTGGTGAAATGGCAAAAGATATCCGATCCGCCTCCTGGAGTCTGTTTCAGTCATAAATGCGCTGCATTATCTGCCCGCTTCCAGAGCGCAGCCTGGTCGTGGAATGACAGGCATGTGGATCTGAGTGGGGGGGGGGGAGTAGGAGGTTGAGGGATTTTTTGCAAGGGTTAAGGATTCCCACCTGTCACTTGCGCTTCGCTGTTTTCACATTTGGCACCAAAGAGCCAAATGCTGAGCGTTAGCGGCAAACGGGAGGTCACATGTGGTAAGACTTGCCAAGCGCCTTTTGACAGGCCACAAGCGGTGAAAACGCGAGGAAGAGGCATTCCTACTTGTACCAAAGCCCTATTAAGGCAGTTTCCTGCACTCTGAGCTTTGCAACGGGCTCCATTTAAAGTGGAATATATGCGGAAAAGTGGAAGTTGGTAGAGCAAGAAACCCTGATGAGATGGCAATACACCACTTCCTGTCCAGAAACACTTATTTCATAGTTTTGACTACCGTTTTCACATGAATGCTTTTGTTTGCATTTCACACAAGCGTGCGGCCTTCATGTTTTGCATATATCAATTCTGCTTTTCGGTGGTTAAGAGCACGGTAACTAAGTCTCCTTATCCAAATAGTGCACAGTGACTTTTGTTCTTCTTTCTTTACACGCCTCTATTAAAGATTATCCGGGTTCACAAAGTTTAGGGACAAACCCTATAATCATCTACAAAGATGTGATGATTTGAGCCTCCTAAGGGCTCCAACATTCTTCCACAGAGAACTACATTAGCACTCACGTCACTAAGTACATAATTAAATCTAATTTTTTGGTCTTTTCCTCAGGAAATGACTTGGTACTTTTGCCTTTACTTTGAATTTGCAACGTTTCTCGTTGATCACGTCCATCTGAGTGTTGTAACCCAACCCGCTACACAGAACTTTACATTTTCATCCTCAAGGAAAACTCTGCGTTACTGACTGAAAAGGCCCGGTTCTTTTAACTCAACATGCCCATTAGAAAGCCGGTCAGTGGTCCACCCACTGTAAAGTTGTTTGTTTTTTTCTTTCTTTCTTCTTCTTCTCTCTCTCTCTTGAAGTAATGGAAATTCCAGACTGGTGTGAAGTTCAGTCCTGGGAACAAAGTATGCACAAACTGCTTTGCGCACACAGCTGCCGTGCCATTAAAGGAGAGCTCCCAGCTTCCCCGGGTGCTCTCCATAGTTTGTCATTTCCTCTGCTCGCTCTTAACTGGAACTTGATCAAATCCAAAGGAAGTCATCAGTGATGTTGAAGTTTTGAAATAGTTGTGAAGTCAGGCAGAGGGCTGTGGGAGAGAGACAGGAAGATGCACGTCATTACTTCTCATTAGGGTCATTTCCCATTTGATGGGATATTTAACCCGGCAGTCGGTGTTGCTGAAGTCTTGCAGCCGGTAAAGCGAAATTCTGACGGCGGTATTCATATTTTCCTTTCTCCCTGCCTTTCATAGACATGACCGGGCTGGTGTGTGATTAAAGTTGCTGGGCAGCGTGTGTGTAACACACCCATGCAGCGCCAATTCTGGTGTGTTGTGGCCTGTGGGGATGGATGAGGGGAAAATCGTGCACCGAGCAGCCTGCTCACCCGAAGGTTCTTCTTTAAATGTCATTTCTCAAACCTGTGGAGTCCATTAGCCACGATAATGCGAGTCAATAGGGGTGCAGAATGGAGACTGGTCCTAAGTGAAAGAGGGAAAGCAGGGTGATGAAAGAATGCTCAGTCCTCGTGATTTCCGTGTTTTGGGGAAGGGGGGGGGGCTCAAACGTGAGGGACTTCCCTAGCAACCGTTGCTGTTTGGTGTGTCTCGGCACCATGAAATGGTTCTTGGCTCTTACATCGCTGCTGCTGCTGCCTATAATTAGCCAACTGTTCCCAAATAAATACCCCTCTCTAGTCAATATTCAAAAAGCAGCTCTGATGTGAATAGATCCTGCTGGGATCTTTTAAAGTGGCCTCATGCAAACAGATCTATCTTTATGAGGTCAAACATAAAGGTGTCAACATCAGAGCTTTTCTTGTTGTGCGTGTGGTGGGGGGCTCTTGTGCAGCGGGTGTTTCTGTGTGTGACGGCCCTCTTCTGTAGCCACTGGCCTCAGAGCAGCCGGCTCTGCTCTGCACAGAGCTCGCTTTGTCTGGGTCCTCCTCTCTGCCCTACAGAGGCAGCCTGTGCCAGTCTCAGGAACACATGAACCACTGAGGCATCTGACTTGCTAGCTGGGTGTGGGCTGCTTGGGAGGGGAGGGTGGGCTGCATGGGGGGGGGGGGGGTGGGCCGCAGTGGCAGATGTAGGGCTGGCGTCGAGTCTGTCTAGTCGTGCGTGTATCATGTAGGCAGCAGTGATTTGATACTCCACAGGGAGGTGTCTGTGTCTCAGAATAAAACTTTTCAATGTACATTATGTGTTTTTAGTTTTTCTTTAATCAAACACAGATCAGAGTGATTTTTTTGGGTCTCCATCTGCAGAGCTATTTGACATTGTCTCCAGATAGCACTTACTGTGGCACGGCACCAAATTTGAAAAAACATTTTGAAGCTCCAGCATGCAAAATGAGGGATTTATCAGAAAAGTGGTGCTTTGCGTGATGGTTTTTTGTACGTTACATTAGAAGAAGCCATTTCTCATTGACTGAAAACAGCAGCCATGAATGTAGTCTGATTAGGGGAAGGGGAAAACCCATTCTGTTTAAAAAAAAAACGAAACACGGTTACTGTTTACCTCAGTGCATAGTTTTCTTTACAGGCAACACAAACTGTTACGGCTGCTCGCTCTCTGCAGACACCAGTTGCTCGAAATGGCAAAAAAAAAAAAACTAAAGCAAAGACAGAACAGATAAAATGCAACTTGTGTCAGTAATTTATTGGTTTACTTCTTAGAGCTTTTAGGACTTGGAACTAATTCAAGCCTCCACTCCTTCAGTTGTCATGGTGTTTGTGTGAAAGAATCTGCCTACACAGCTGGACAGCACCAACAATAGGCATATTATGTTAAAAAAAAAAAAGACTTATAGTGAGCCATAAGCAGCTTTATTTATTTATTTTTTGCATTTGTGGAATTTCACTGGACTGAGAAGAATGCATGCTAATTTTGTATTTATTTATTTTACACATAAGGGAAAATAAAAGGGAACAAACACTCGCTGTAAATCTAAGCTGAGAGCCATGGACCTACTAAAATAGTCCATTATAATCCATTAACTCTAAAAGAACTTTGTGTGGATAAATATTTTTTTCTCTGAAAAATGTTGACTTAGAATGAGTCAAGAGACAGACTCGGCATAATGGCGGCTTTGTTTGGAGTGATTTACTGTCTACCCACTCTGACAGTTCAATGGACACAGATTATTATCTGTTAGGATGAGATGCCATGCCTGTCCTAATCGCTGTCTAAACTGTTGAGCTGTTTAGATGGTGTTGTCCCAAATTAACATCGATCATTCTGTCATTAGTATCTCTTTTTGTCCTCATATCTCTCTTAGGTCCTCAGTTTTATCATCCTCATCTGCTATGCTGCGTCTCTGTACGGGGGCTACTCCGCCGTCGCCATCTGCGAGATGGTCTTCGCCATGATCTTCTTTGGCATCTTCATGATGGAGATGGACAAGCAGATCCAAGTGGTCAACTGGGTCTGGAGTGTGAGTTCTGTACACTGAGGCGCTCCGGCCCACCCTCTGTTCCCTGGCCCTTCATGTCCTGCCTTCTTCTCTTTCTGTGTAGGATTTTTTCCGCGCCATCATCGGCGCTTTTCTTTACATCATCACTTCTCTCATATGCGTCATCGGTGGAGCAGGGGACGGAGCGCGGATCGCGGGTGGGGTAAGATAAGGCCCGATGACTCAACCGGAGATCCAACTTTAATCTGAAACTTTGAACCTATGTGCCAGCTTTATTATTCCCCTTGACAACTGTTACCATTAGTGAACCACATCACTCATTTCCTAAACTCTGTCGGTGTTGAGTTGCAATGAGTCAGTGTGTTAAGTTTGAAAAAGGTGTTAGTAGCCTGAGGGACGGAGGAGGTGTTAAAATTAGAGTGTGCGCTAAAAAGAAAAAGACTTGACCACACAATCCTGCACCTGTTTGTCACCAGTGAATTGCTTTCACCACCGTCTCCGCGAAACATGTCTGCACTTCCCTAAAATCACACTCATCCCCCAAGCATTTTCTTCTGTGGGCACCCAAACCTGAGCCCGGGGAGTTCTGCTGCGGCACGGCGACAGTGCTGAGCGATGAATGAAATGTGTTATAAGTTACCCAAAGATTGCAAATGCAACTGCCAGTAGGGATAATAGTTGCCTCACAGGAATGCAGCTTTGTCATAATTGAATGCGTTACGGGTTCTAAACCCAGAAAGATGGAAACGGTCCTGCATTCTTTCACCGAGTCCCAGGTCCAGCACACCTGATTCAAATAAGTGGATCGGCTGGTCAGGCCTGCAGAAGGCTGATAAAGATATTCATTTGAATGAGATGTGCACGAGCTGGGCAAAATGGAAAAGCATGCAGGTCTGTGGGCCCAGAAGGTCAGGGTTAGGAAACACTGCTTTAGAGCATTACTAGAGGTTTTTATATGCTTTTTTTTCAGATATATCAAGTAAATTGTGTTTATCGTTTATTATTGAAGCAATGATTTTCATATTTTCCACAGGTTTTTGGTTTGATTGCAGGCCTGCTGTTTGCATATGACACCTACACCATCTATCTGCAAATTAGGAGTTCCAGGCAGCACATGGCAGCTTCCACTGGTGAGGGCACTTTGTGTATTTCCTGACTCAAATGTGTTTTTTTTTTTTCTTCTTCCTTTGTGTGGCAGTGGTGGCTTGATTTGTCTCTTTGTATTCCCGACAGATGACAGAGTTTAAACACTCTTCTCCTCTTACCTGCATCAAGATTGCTGCAGGGACACAAAGACAGAAACATATTGCATACGTTAGCTGAAGAGCGGGTCAGTGAAGACGATGGACAGTGAAAGGAACAGGTCACAGTTTTATTGTTGCAACTCTTTGATATGAACAAATGAGATGTATGTTAAGGCCCTGCCTGAGAGGATGACATAGCCAAAGTGGGTGGTGCTGTACATCTGTGCTTGCCCATCTTCTACGTGAAGACCCACCCACCCCAACCTTTTTCACTAAACTATAGATCACTGACCAAAAAAAGGGAAATATGCCAATAATGGGCAGTTCAAGACTTCAGGTGTCATCAAGGAGTTTGTCTAATACACTTGTTTATCGTTATTGGACAGCTGTAGTGAATAATAACTGTGTTATTTGGACTTCTAAAGTAACTAATACAAAGATGTTTGCTTTAGGGTTTATTTAATGTCATAATTATGCTCTTTTTGAGCTTATTTTCAGTTGGTTATACATTTTATTCTTGTTGAAATGTTCAATAACAATCCCTATGTGATACGGTGCCTTAAAGTTTAACTGAAAACACCCATTGGTTGCTCTTTGTTTTAAAAAACTTGATATGGTCTGCTATTATTTATCACCTTTTTTCTGGTGGTTTTTGTACTAATAGAGTTATTTGAGTATCTTTAGGACCCTCCGATAATCCTTAATCACACAAATTCCAGTGTCATCTTCTACCCTTAACTGTCTTTTTGATTGTTTCTCAGGTTGATATATTTTTTTCTTACTCCTGTGAGTTTTTGTTTTATTTTAATTCCCTGTTTATACGTCATACTGCCCAATAGTAAAGAGCAGGAGAAAGTTTTTTTTATGCAGAAGTGCGCTTTTGATAAGAGATTAAAACTCACAGAAAATAAGTAAGATCAATTCTTATGACTGATACGTTTTTAACATTATTTGCCGCAGTTGTGTCCAACCTTTTCATAATTATTTGGGGTAAAACTTTGTGCCTTGATCGATTTTGATTTCATTCAAAGTTGCTCTGAGATTTTGCTGTTTGTCATTTCAAAATTCAAATCGGATAAATAAAGCCATTGTTACTAAGAAAATGTGCATTTTGTAGCTTGCCTTGTCCATTAATCTTTCAGGTTCCATCAACTTAATGTTTAAAAAAAAAAAAAAAAAGTCTCCTTCTTATGCCCACTAGGTGACAGCAGTCTGCTATTTATTCACCTGATCTGCTAAACTGCAACTAGGTCTTTGCATATGGGCCACTGGGACAGGAAAGGGTAAAATCAGAAGGAATGAAAATCATGAAGGAGGGGCCTTCATTTCGAGCTGTGCCTTTCAGCTGTAATAAGGACTCATGTTATTTTAAAGCCCTGCAGTGGAATGATAATCCCTTGTTTGGGGTTATGCCAGCTGCTATCAAAACTATTTCCCAGGATACCTTGATTATAATAACTCTGGCCAAACAAAACTTGTCAAATTATTATTTTTTTGTGTGTGTGTTGAAAATCATTTGAAATGCATTGTGAGTTTTGCTTCTCCCCAAAATCTAAAATTATATGTGGACTAAGGAGCAGAATTGTGTTGATACCCAACTTTGTGTTGGCATCCAGCTAGTTGTTGTCTTGGTGTCGTTATAGGCCACACTTTGGGATAGTTAGCTGTTGAGGTCTACCTTTTATTTAGTTGTTGGTATGTATTTTTACTGTTTTTTTGTTTGTTTTTTGGAAGAGAAACAAGAGGGGAAAGTTACATTTCTAACGCATACAAAATAAAAGTAAGAAAACATTTATTTGAAGTCAAGTAATTTTTCTTGTAAATACTCCACCAAATGAAGTCATTTAGTTTTATTGAACAGAATTGTTTCCACCGATATGGTTTTTATTTTGTTTAGGATATGTAAAAGAAAAAAGTTAAGGGAAGACTGCTGTAATTTGAAGTAAAACCGGAAGTAGGTTTTAAGTCAGGCTAACTTTCTACTTCGGGATTCAGAAATGATGCAAAAGTCCTAAGTAAAGACGGAATGAGGAGTCCGTGGTAGTACGTCGGGAGCAGCATGTAGTTAAACACGGAGTACGTTGCTCGACTTTACCGGTTGGCGTTTCCGATACTTACACTTGGGGGAAAAAACATATTTTTGAACCTTCGTCTGACACCATGTTCCTGCGCGGGTCTAAAAAGCGACGGTCGAACCGCACGGTAAGTATTTTTTGTTTTTCCCACTCTCCAAAGCAAGGTAACTCCGCGGATAATATCTTTAACCGACACCATAGATACGATTAAACTACTTTTCAGTGTCCCAAAGCGTTTCTGTGCCTCATTTGAACGGCTTAAGTCAAATGAACTTGCGCTAGAGTCCAACAGAAAATAGCTCCGGCGGAACCGTCCCACCCTCACCTGGCTTTTGTTTTCGGTGAATTGATTTGTTTATTGACAATGGCCTCGGAATTTTGCCTGAAACGAATAGGCCGTGTCGTTTATTGGTTTATTTAGGTCGCATCACATAATATACCGTTCCCCCTATTAAAGTTGAAACATTCTTTGTTTCTCGAGTCGGGTCGGAGCCCCAGGTAGAGTCAGGGGGGTGGGAATACGTCATGGTACCTGACCAGGACGGGGACTGGAACTTGAACGTGCTTAATTACGCCGACGGGGGTTCGCGCGCAGCTTGTTCGCTGTTCCAAATTGGTTTTAAAAGTTGATATCGTGCTGCAAAACGCGACCTACGCTGTCAACAGGCCAACAGCTGTATCGCGGGCAAACATCTGGCCGTGCCACTCGCCTGGAAATCTGCTCCAAGTGGGACTGCGACCATGGCCGCCACTAACCACTCTGCAAGTAGCCGTGTCGCCACAACGTACTATATTATCTTTGCGACATCTTGTTTTTCCCTTCTTTATAAATTAGTATGAAGTTTGCATGTGTAATTCAACAACATATGAAAACCCCATACCCCTATTTATGGGGAACCGTTAATAATCAAATTCTCTCCTTTAATGGGTTAAAAAAAATTGAGCTTTGAATAATCTTTTCCATAAATTTGTTTGGAATGCAGTGTATTGTTTGCCTCTTCTCTTTTGGGCCGTATCATACATAATGCATGATGTAAACATGCTCACATTTTTAAGCTAATTTAATGCGAAGCAGATTGAATGCAAATCAAAGAACCGATTTCATACACATAAAGATATGGCTTGATTATAAATAAAGGGAGATTGTCTGCATAAATATGTACCATAGAATAAAGAATCATAAAAAATGTCTCTATAGAAACATTTTACTAATAACTTTTACTTCCTGGTACTTTCCTAAACTGAATTTAAAGCTTCTCAATTTTAACCTTTTTTTACTTCTAAAAATGTTTAGATTCAGGGGAGGAAAGGGGAAGTCTGAAACTGGCGACCCACTGTGGGAAAAAATGTAATTAAAAAATGGCTTTGCTGCTTTGCTTCGGGTCAAATTATGGCTGCTTTGATGTTATCAGTAACACCTGTTCATTAAGGTCATGCAGAGTCAAAATGTGTACTGTTAAAAGACCCTCTATGGCTAAAAGTCCCCTCTCTGTTGCTGTAAAAGATTTTTGGTTGACCCTCAGGACGCTGATCAAACACCCCAAACTTAAATATTGCTGCTCAAGTTGACCCTGACAGCAAACTAAGAGTTAACAGGGCATGTTGTGCTACAGAGAGGGGAGGTATGGAGACGGCTGGCTGGCTGGCTGTCTGTTTGATCCTGCCCAGTAAAGAAAGGGGCATCAACACAGCTTGCCGAGACAGGAAAGGCACCCGACCTGTGACCTTTGCTGTTAATTTTTAATCCATCCAAATAGCTCGACTATGTGGGCCTAAATGATAGTCATTTCTTCCAGTTGGCAAAGAATCCCATAAGTGGATTTGTTTTTGGCTTGTACCGTGCCTTTAGTGTGGGCTAGATGATGTCATTCTGGTGTACCATTTATCTGCTGTCCTCATCCTTATTTTAAGCAATCCCCAGTTTACCGTTTGTGGATGCATGCTGATCTAGGACAACAAAGCGGGCTGCCTCTCTGTCGGGACGTTTACCTGTTTGTGGCGTTACCTGCTGCAGCTCAGCCGACAAGAGTGACTAAACTCTACGCCCACTTGGTGAAAACAAAGGAGCAGATACGCACAGACTGGCGACAGTCTAGTCGTAAAAGTGTGTGAGCTGAATTGAATGTGACCCGCTAAAGTATTATTGACTCTACCAACACTTCACTTGGAGGAGACTTCCGATCACCACTCCCATAGCTTCCCTCACTCACATCGTTACAAAATAAATCTTCACACTCGGGACACGAAGCTGACACATTTTCTTTTGGGATAGCTGATATGTAGCAAATGAAACCCTGGAATATCAGTGTAGCTGTATCATTCAAAACACTTAACTCACAACAAGGAAGCTTTTTTATTTGAAATTTTTAAGACCAAAATATTGCTCTTTTTGTCTCTTTAACTCAGTAGTGTATTCCTTCCTTATTAGGACAACAACTCATTGGAGTATAATTTGTTATCATATGCAGTGTAAATTTGAACCGAACCGGCAAGGTTTAATAGATGTTTTGTTTAGATGATAGGGAGATACTCCTATCTTGAGATACTCCTGATCTTGAAAATCAAAGGTTCAAGAGCAGGCCAATTGAAACGGAGAGTTGTTTCTGTACACTTCCAGATGTTCTCCTTTTTTTAGTACATTGGGGGTATTACCTATTTCGAATAAATTTCTAGCTTTTCTTAGGATTTTAAATGGTGCTTCCTTCAGTCACTACTAAGCTTTAATTCTTTATCGCTCTCTGCTTTTAAATGAGTGAGCATTCTGAAATAATGCAACTACATTTATCTCTTTGATATTAGTGTGAGATTAAGTCCAAACCATTACTGTGTGTGGACAGACGTCAGTCTTATCACCCAGTGGGACAGAGACACAGTAGGCCGTCATGCTTCAATAGAAAAAAATTATGTCAGACTTACGCAAGACTTTTTTTTTATTTGCAGCAAATCCTTAATCTTCTCTGATTTATGAGACTAGAACTTTTTTTTAGAAGGAAAAAAAGGCTTGTTTTTCCTGGTCGGGTTGTATCAAAGCAATGAAACATAATTTTAGCCCTCTGCACATTTTCCAAAATTACACCATGACATCTTTTTGTAGTCATACAACATACTTTCCTTCACAAATTCTCATTTGTATGTTTTTTTTGTTTTCTTTTGTCAGGTATCGTGACAGAAAATTCTACCTATTAAGTATTTCCAGACTGTCGCTCTTCTCTAATACGTATTTACAATATTAAACAACTTATAGACGACATCTGTGCAGCCACTTCAGCTGTTGCCGCATATACAGTGAAAGTTAGATGTGGCTGAATGCTTTTCTCTGATAGGGGTACGCAGTCAAGATGCATGATTTTTTCATAAGGGTAATTCCCCCCCATTCTGAGGAGCTTTTTCCACTCCTCAGACCAGTATGATCATTATAAATTGCAATCAAAGTCATCATCCATCCATCCGTTTTCCACTTAATCCAACTCAGGCTCAGCTGCCATTGTGCAAAAGGTGGGTACACCCCCGCACGGGTCACCAGTCAATCCCAGTCTAATAAAGTGTTGCAGTACTTTAATTAAGTCAGACTGTCTTAAAAGGAGGGAAAAAAGCATGAAGTGTCACTTCATTTCTTTCCTTCTTCAGGTGTAATTAATTCCACTTGGCTAAAGTTTCTGGAAGTGTCCTGCAGCGGTTTTCTTTGGAACATATTGAGGAGTGTAGCTGTACACCCGTGTTAAATGCGCAGGCTTTTTGTAGTAAAGTGCCTCCCAGGCTCGGTCCCCATGTCACCGTGACAACTCGGGAACTTGCTCCTAAGGAACTAACAAATGAAAGGCGCAGTCATCCAGAAATGATCTCTATGCTTCATTTACCCCGTCTTGTCACCTCTCATACCTGGCTGAGAGGTGATCATTAAAGCGGCGTGCAGTCACTTTGTGTCTGTGAACTCGGCAGGCCGCGACGCACTGAGAGCTCCACCTGTACACGAAAGTGAACAGCAAAGCCGGACTCATGTTTCTGTGCAACTCGATATACTGCTGTGATCAGACAACAACAAAAAAAAAGACAAGAAAAGAAGGTCACATTTGTTGGAACGTTTCTTTAAACAGAATCGTATTTATTTGCGTTTAAAAAACAACGTTAGATGAAACCGATCGTCATCGCTCTATAACAGCTCTGAGTGACAGCAGCAAACAAACCTGTTGCTGCTCATCACAGCAAAGCACCGCTGCATTTAAAATCTCTGCTTGGAAAACAGGCTTGACGTGATCACTGAGGGTTTAGTGGTTACAGTAGCTGGAGGAAAAAAAGGAAGGTGAACAGGTATGCACAGGTACCCTGGTGCATCGCATATCAGAGGTTTATTGCTTTGCTCGTTGAAGTCAAACCTATGCAGCTTTACGAGCGCTTTCCTCACGCACAAGCTATTGGATCTGTGCCAACAAATCAACTGCTATGCTTTTGTTCAGGTGTCAGAGGAGGTTTCTTCAGAGAAAATCTGTCCTTCCAACAGGAGTGAAAAGAAGTCTTATAAACACATAGTCCCATCAAATAAACAAAATATACCCAGAGCACTGTTGAAACGGTAGCTTGTACAAGAAACTGTCTCTGTCTCTGTCAAGGCTACACTGCTCACAGAGGAGGGAGGAGAGCAACAGCTGCCCAGGCAGCCAAGGAAAAGAAAGTAGAGGCCCAGCGACTACACAGAGGGGGAAAGGGTGCAGCTCCCATCCTGTGTCCACTTCCTTCCTCTCATCTCTAAAAGGAGGCCTGCAGTCCACAAATGCACACTCACACACACAGGATCACACAAGACTGCAAGTGAGATGTGAGGTGGTTGTATTAGGGCTTAGCTGCAGAGTTGCATTTTTATAAGTCCAGTGCACCACTCAGCACTTCTCAAATGACCTCAGAACACACCATGAATCTATTTATTGAATAATGAACAAAAAACATCTGGATATGTAAAGTATAGCGTCCACCAGGGGATGCAGTCCCGGCTTTAGTTGGAGATCATGTTTCTACAGAACGTTAGATTTAATATCAGTTTTACCAACCAGTGCAGTGTAGACTTCCTGTCACCCACGAGCTACAACTCAATATCAAATGCTTCACATGTGAATGAGTACATGTGTTAGAACATCTGTACACACCCCATTCTTCGCCACATACTGAAGCCCTGAAGTGGTTCTGACCAGCTCAAAACTTTGAATAGGTTGTTCTGGCCTCTGCCTTTATTTGGATGCATGGCTTAACGGTGCTCCAATCAGGAAATGTCGCGAGCTGATGTGACTTCATGTTGTGTGTTTCAGGAGGAGGAAGAGGACCCTGACCGAGGCCAGCCCTGTATGCGCTGCGGAGACCGGTGCCCTGGCTTCCGTGTCCACGGCTGGAGGTATAAACCGACGGGCTCTCAAACATTGTCTGTGAGATGTTCAGGAAACGTTGGCTTCACGTCACTCGACTGCCTTCAGTTGTGTCCCAGTTTCTCCTGCTGCATTGTAAGAGAGATAATAACCGGGAACAAAGGTGTAAAATTTCAACTCCTGATGCTTACCTAAAAAAATAGCTGCTTTAGCAGCAAATCAGTTTTTCGATGTTGCCCAACTGTTTTAATCCTAAAGCGTGTGCACGGCAACGCTCCTACAGACTGAAATCAGCTTAGTGGTGATCTGTGTACACAATGCGTACACATATACATTAGCAGACGCCAAACATGACGCCGTCAGTGACCCAGGGCACCACATCCTGGTTAACACAGACCTTCCACCAACCGTGTTGTCAGAAGGAATTAGGACTATACAGATATGAGTGCCACAACAGCTGCTGCAGCCTGTGTGCGTAAACGGTGTTTACATATGGAGATGACGCTCTACACGGCAGCGGGATTATCCGACGTCCCCCCGCCGCATGGGATGTGTGTCTGAGCCGCAGCCATCTGAACTTCAGACCTCTTCCTCAGCCTCTAGAGTATTTGTACTCTGTCATGGTGACAGTGGGATTACATTTTGTGTGCATGCTCACCGGAGGCTTATACGGGGCAATTCTATTACCTTTTGGGAGCAAATCCACCAACTGATCATCTGGATCACAGCTCGGGGAATGGCCTGCATTAGAATGAATGTTTTTGATAAAACGTTCCAATTCGTCTGTCAAGATTTTTCTGTGAACTGTACGGTGCTTTTTTATAGACAAAGACACGTAGGAAATACCTCATTTACCTACTCTTAAGCCATTGTTAGACTATTAATCATAAATAACAGAATGAAACAAGTTTATTTTTATACAACTCAGTTGTAAACTGTTTTCCCTTTAGTTGGCTTTTATAATCCCTCTTCCTTGTAGGAGTTTAGTGCACCACCAGCTGGTTGGGTTTTACTAATTTCTGTCAATCATCTCAATGAGATTAGGATCTAATAGTAACCCCCCCGCCCCGTTTTAGCTTTCACGCTGCAAATGACACTTTTGTGCATTTATCACATTCAAGTTCTCTGTGCATTTTCTTAAATTCAAGATTCATCGTGACTTTTTATGCTTTTATTTTGCACAAAACAAAGTTATGGGCTTTATCTGTGTCTCTGTCTTTTAATTTGATCTAGCTTTTTTTCTTCTTCTATGCAGGTCAAAAGATCAGAAGCCAGAATGAATTTGAAACACGTGTGCCGCGCTGTACCTATGACCACTCATTGATCTGTTTACAGTGTGTTTAATCTCTGTGGGATTAACATAATGCGCTTTATTCTATACGTCGTTTTTTCTTTTTCATTATGCTTTTGGCTGCACGACAGATGATGAATGACTTTGGGGAAAATGACAAATGGCAAATGTCTTGTTTAGACATTTCAAGACAGTTAGGCGATGGAGGAACACGCGTGAGCTGAAAGTGATTAAATGATTGAGATGTATAGGGGTCAGTTTGAAAGACCCTGGAGTCCAGATCTTATTGCATCCTTTTTAATAACCAGTTGAGAGTCACACCTTCGCTGGCGGAGCAGATCACGCGGTAGAGCCCAGGCTCAGCTGCTGACGCTCACTTAGAGGGAAGTGATCCATCTTCATCCTGAGGTTTTTCAGACAGAGCTTAAACTGGGTGGGGGGCAGATGGCGCTTCCGCTGCCCAGCAGCAAGTGAATTAAGTTACCTCTGACCCACAGGTCCCCACCACACTTCAAAAGTGTTCAAAGTCATCGTGGCTATTAGTCTGGGTAGCCATGTGGCAATTACACCGTCACTTATTAGTGACAGAGAGTCAGGGGATGGGGCCCATCTGTCTCATGGAGCCAGATCTGAGCCCCCCCCCCTTCACTTATAGATTATCACACAGAGGGTTATCATATGGCTCCTTCACCGGATGTCCCATCATTTTTAAGACCCTCAGAAATATTTGAATGCCCGATCAATAGTTCAGATTGGCTGTTTAATCCTCAGCCATCTTAGAAAGCTCAAGCTAATCGTGGTTTCAGTTTAGTTATTGACTAATCTGACAATTACCCGCTTGATACATTGCTTTGTCCCCAAAAGGAGCAAGAGAGTGGTAATTTAGAGTTGACGTTCAAATAATTTTGTTTATAGTAGTGGAAAATCTCTTCATGGAAGACACCAAAATGGAACGGTTCAGCATTTGTGCCTGAAAATCAGATATAATATTATCACTGCGTCTTTTCTAACTTTCTTTTCTAACAGATCGTCGTGACTTCAGAGAAGCCGAGAGTCACGCTGATTGTTTGATGTTTCTCCAGATACGCGTTGTTGTCATGGATGGCCATCTTGATCACATAATATGACAAATAAGACTGCAAAGCATTGCTCACAGGCTCAAAATCTGCTCCTCTTGCTTATGATTCACGATGACAACAAAGTAACTGTAAGCCATCTGTTAGGGAAAAAAAGACAATCACTTTTCTTTCTTCTTATCCTTAAAGATCTTTTGAGGCTTAATATGAATGCGCACAAACTTATCAGTTGTGTATGATGTGTATGTTGTGCCTTTTGTTTTCTTTTTTAATGCATTTGAAAATAACTGGGACTTGGACTTAGATCTGAGAGTGAGATCTGTGCGTATTTTTAGTAGTGTGGGCTCACTTTCAGTGCGTAGTAGCCTTTTGTTTGCGCCCCCGTGCAAGACGGAGGAGGGTGGGAGTCTGCGCTGGCTGGAGCGTTCAAAAGAGCAGCTCAGACTCAGAAATGGTCACATGGAGGGGAGCTGTCACCGAATAGTGAGACGGCACGCTACGCTGTAGGAATCCGCTCCATGCACATCTTTACTCCTTTCAGGATGAGACGGAATCAACAGACTAACCAGGAATAGTTTGGCATGTTTATCCAAACAGGTAATGACTAAAGCATATTTATTTCTGATTGGCAGGTGAACATAGAGTACAGACTGACAGAGTGATGAATCGGAGAGAGGAGGGTGAACTGAAGGGTTTTATGGGTGTTTAGTAGCTGATTGATCTTGTGTGTCATCGTCAGAGATTTTTTAAAACATGTTGTTTTATACAGAAAGGATATACATGCCTGCTTATCACTGTCTTGGGTCAAATTAGGGGAGTTATTGAGAGATTAGCTGAGCAAGCTTTTATTTTATTATTGAAAAAGATGAGTTTTAGATTGATCTAACGCAGTTGTGCAGTTTTTGTTGTTTTTAATGTACGTTTCCATTTAATGAATCTGTTAAAAGGCAATAGTCTTTCCTCAGTTCGCATACTTTCTTAACTCCAGTATAACTGATTGTTTAGTTTCTATTGTCTGTAAATGTGAACAAAGTACCACACAACAACAGTGGCAGCTGTACCAGCAGTGTCAGTAACACTGTTCAGCTCCAGCAGAGCACATTTAGAGGCAGATTGGGGATGCCTGTGCGAAGCAGCATCTGCCGTGCCTCCTGTTATTACACGGCTGGTGGTGAATCCATCGTAGGACCTCAGTTTACACTGCAGACTCTCACATGTAAAACAGCTTCCTCAAATATATATGGCGAAACAAGTTTCTCCTAAAACTGTTGATTCTTAGCGTAGTTTTATTCTAAGTCAGTTAAAATTATTTCGTTTTAGAAGTTTAGTTTTAAGTTAACCGATTACTTTCTTGCTTCTGTTGTTGTTATTGCAGTTACAGTTACTTTTGTCCCTAAATAAAACCAAGATCTAAAATTTGTTGTTCTACTCTACCAAAATGGGAAATAGTTTAGGAAGGTCCTCTGAAAGTGTCCTGTCTGTCGCTGAGCTGAGTGTCCCGTGGACAGGTCAGTCCAACAGGGCTGTACAGAGAAAAAAGAGACACACATTCAAACACAGAAAGGGCCCAGCAGGGATTGGATCCAGGAGTCTTCTACTTGTGACGCGACTCAGGAACTCAAAGCTTTTTTTGTTCCCTTTTAGCCAATAGTCCACAAATGTGGTTCATATCCACAGAAAGAAAGCTGACGGTGTTATATCACAGGCTTTTAACGCAGACAATTAAACATTACAAGGCTCTGCACAGCAGGTCTTTAGTGCGCTGCGGCATCCAACAACTGCTCCACAATGCGCTGCTTTTAATGCACAAACTTCTGATTGTGTAACCACTTACACCAAAGACACTAATCGAAATGTTTTGTCATGGCCTCTTTGTGGTCTGAACAGCAGCTAAACCGACACATTAGTCTGGATTCCTTCCAGCAGTGGCTGTTTTTGCATTTTCCCCACACATGCTTTCATTTCTGTGGATGCTGGTGGAGTAACTGCCATGTGAGATGAGTGGCTGCCATCTGTCCCGTCATGCCAGGGTTCTGACTGTGTCTTCCCACCCACATGCGTGGGACTTGTGATCTCCCCTCCTTTTTTTTTTTTGTTCTGACAGGCACATGTAAGCCCCTAAAACTGGGACCGTGTTTGTGCCAACATGACTTAAACCTGACCAAAACTGACTGGCTGAGTTTACTGTTATTTACAGCAGATCTGCCAGACTGGCATCCATAAGCATTCCCGCGCAAAAACACGGCAGCACCTACTATCCCGGGCTTAGGAACAGGCAGCGTGATCCTATAATAACATCCCTTATCTGTGTTTTGTCAACTCCTTCCCAGTTGGCTTGTGTAAAGAGTAAGGGGGAGTACGTGTTCTGTAGCAGTGGTCACTACCGTGCCCTGTTTTATCAGAGGAGCATGGCTCTGCAATGCCCCAGGAGTTGTCTGAGTGGGTGTTTGAGTTTTTTGGTTGCATGGGGGTGGGGTGTGCAGGAATAAAGCTGCTTTGTGCTTTATGAACTTGAGCCACAAGTACCAGCTGGCAAGCTGTTATGCAATCACAACGGAGATGCACACATTAAGTAAATGCTGCACGTGGCCACTCTGTCTCGCCCACTTGCATACGAGACCCCAGCACCTCACTTTCAGCCTGGCGGCGCTCTGCGCCGACTCGGCAAGTCTCCCACACCCAGCGCCAGATTGAATGTGATGCAGAGGCTGAGGACAAGATAGTTGTAACAGGAGGCAGAGGGAGATTACTGCTCCCATCTTCTCCCCGAACCGTCCTGGATTGACAGCGGGGCTTATGTCAGTGACCTCATTTCCTGCTCGTTTAGTAGGGGAGGGATGCAGATGCTGTAAGATGCTGACCATAAAGAAGGAATTAACTCATCTGGGCCCGTTATCGGTTGTGTGTTTCTAATTGTGTTGCCACAACAGTGGTATTAGTGGCCGACCGCAGGCTTACTGCGTTTGTGGGCCTCGATGTGATGTAACGTCTCTGGCGGAGTTTGTCAGCAAATTATATGGTTAAAAGGGGGAGGGAGTGAGGGAGGGATGTGAAGAGGCTCTTTGTTTGGGTTCGTTTTAAAAAAACGATTCCTAAAAAAAGCCGTGTCCTCTTTCTTCCGGCCTAACTTTAAAACAGAATGTTCAAATGTTTTTTTGTTTCTTTTACTGAACTGTTTTTGTTCTTCTTCTTTTTTTCTACTGTCAGCGCATGAGAAGAAGAATATATCCGCAGTCGTGATTGAGTTTCAGAGCTGTATTTTTTAAAATTTTTTCACTCCCCAGCTCTCGAAGCACCTGGCACCTGCACTTAAAATAAAAGTTTGACATTGGGCCCATCTTTTGGCTTGGGCTGTAAATCAGAAGCAATGCTCCCAGGGGGTGATGAAGCCCAAAACTGTCTCTGCCTCCACAGGAAGATCTGCGTACACTGCAAGTGTGTGCGAGAGGAGCACGCAGTGCGGTCGGTGCCGGGGCAGCTGGAAAAGATGATGACCAAGCTGGTGTCAGACTTCCAGAGACACTCCATCTCCGATGACGACTCGGGATGCGCCTCCGAGGAGTACGCCTGGGTCCCACCTGGGCTCAAGCCTGAACAGGTAATGACCGTGGCGCCGAGGCTGAAACCAGAGCTGCAGGCACGGAAGGTGCCCTCTTTAACTTGGACATGTTCACACACAGATTCAGAGAGTTTGATATATTTAACTTTGACACTCAGATCAGCAATTGAGTAAATTGCTCTGTAATTGGATAAATTGCATTCTGCACTGTCTCATTTCTGCCCTCGTGGGTACGTGCTTGTCTTGCCTCACAGGTGTACCAGTATTTCAGCTGCCTGCCTGAAGACCGGGTGCCTTATGTGAACAGTCCGGGGGAGAGATACAGAATCAAACAGCTGCTGCACCAGCTCCCAGCCCATGACAGCGAGGTACCGTCACTCTGACTGCACCACAGTTCTGACATGCTCACATCAGGATCACAAAATGAACGGACAAAATGTTTTTCCTATTGGGGGTAGTCATCGGCTACATCTTTGACGTCTATAACACACAATTCTTGGGTCTAACTTTGTTATTTTGGATCCTTACAGCCCCAGTACTGTAACTCTCTGGACGAGGAGGAGAAAAAGGAGTTGCGTCTGTTCAGTCATCAGAGGAAAAGAGAAAACTTGGGCCGAGGCGTTGTCAGACTTTTCCCAGTGACCATGACGGGAGCTATCTGCCAACAGGTGCAGGGGAAATTTTTTTGCAATCATGTAAAGAGCAAGTGGCAGGTTCTGCCAAAGCTCACGTCTGACGTAATAGGCCCTTACGGCGTATCAGAGCCAAACGGGCAAGAGTCGTTTACAGTGCGTGAAGACGCATGTGTAGCTCAGGGGCTCCGGCACATTGAGATTTAATGATCGCAAAGCTGTGTTGGCAAATTACTACGCAGCCTGAAGTATTCACTGTTTGTTAAAGGATATAGTGCCTAACTTCCTTCCCTCTGTACCACACCCCCACGACACTGCATGTATTTTTCCAGTGTGGCAGACAGATCTGCGGCGGAGATATCGCTGTGTTTGCCAGTCGGGCAGGACACGGCAGCTGCTGGCACCCTCAATGTTTCCAGTGCGCATCCTGCAACGAGCTGCTGGTCGATCTAATCTACTTCTACCAGGACGGGCAAATATATTGTGGCCGGCACCACGCTGAGAGGCTCAAGCCCCGCTGCCAGGCCTGTGACGAGGTGACATCAAAATCCCCCTCTTGTTTTCATTTAAACTCTTCTGCAGGTGGGGTCCTGTAGGCACCAGGGGGCAGGAATATGAGAATTCTGTTTCTGTAGGATGCAATTATATAGAATTCTTGTGTAAAACATATGGGAGATTATGCAAATGGCTGTGGAGAGATCCTTTATTATACACCCCCCGTTTAATCATAGATGCATTTTTAGAATGTCCCCTACCAGCTGAATACTGTTTGTGTATTTTTCTGTTTGTCTCTTTCTGTTTCTAATGCCCTCTCACTGTGACTTAAGGGATTAGTTGAGATAGTTTACTAATGGATCTGCATGAACTGACCTAAAAGAGATCCTTAGACCCAGACAGGGCTTAGCTGGTAACAGAAGGGGCATTGGCGACATCCCATTTCTTCATTTTGTTTATTGAGCTGTTGGCATTCTACTGCATTCCATACCACTGATGTGTTAACGCGTGTTTGACACATTCGCTCCGTCTCTCTCTCTCTCTCTCTCCCTTTGCTGTCAACTCTAGATCATTCTCGCTGACGAATGCACAGAGGCAGAGGGGAGATACTGGCACATGAAGCACTTCTGCTGTTTTGAGTGTGAGGCTGCTCTGGGCGGCCAGCGTTACATCATGAGAGAGAGTCGACCGTACTGCTGTTCCTGCTACGAGTCCCTGTATGCAGAGTACTGCGACACCTGTGGAGAGCACATAGGTACTGACTTCACTGGAAAGAGTTATTTGCTGGGCTTTCGCTTCTGTTACATCAGAGAAATATTCTTCGCAAGTTACATAGGTTCCTTGTGTTTGCTAGTTCCCTGCATTTGTTTTAGACCAAGGAACAAGAGACAGCTTCAAACCTCTAGTTAGTCCAATGTAGGCTGTCACAGAACCAAACCTATTCAGACAAAACAAACGCCCCTGTTTGAAAAAAGGCACGTTGTTACTTTGAGGCCAAGGTGCTTTGAGTATCCCCGTGCAGCACTTACTGCTATCGGTAATCACAGATATATTTCAGGTATCGACCAGGGCCAGATGACGTACGAGGGTCAGCACTGGCACGCCGTGGAGTCGTGCTTCTGCTGCGCTCGCTGTCGTCTGCCGCTGCTGGGGCGCCCCTTCCTACCTCGCGGGGGACTCATCTTCTGCTCCAGGTCCTGCTCGCTGGGCGAGGACCCCAATAACTCAGACTCGTGCGACTCAGCGCTGCAGAGCAGGTCCCCTCATCACGGCAGACAGTGGGGCACCGCAGAGAGACACTTTCAGCTGCAGTGTGGTTCTCCCCTGCAGTCCCTAGAGGGCGCCAAGCCCCCTGCGAGTCCTGCCAAAGACTGCGCTCACGCTCCCGAGGAGAACAGAGGTGAATGTTAAGAGAGGTCTTGGAAAGGAAGACATGTTTTTATGTGTTTACATGTCTACTTCACCAAAGTGCTGTTTTCTTTTTTAAATTCCCCAACATTCTTTTGATCTGCTCCTTCCAGGCGTCCACTGCCCGGCTCCAGTTCAGCATCCAGATCCTCCACCCAATGGTCTGCCCCCTCCAAGAGGTTCCTACTCCCCTCTGCCCCACATTCATCTGGGAAATGGCTTGGGACCGTCTTGGCCCAGCAACGTGCCACATTACAGTTTATTGTCAGGGGACTGTGGTGTCAAGCCTCCAGGCTGTGGTTTTCAGTTCCAACAAGAGCTAAATGGAAATACTGGACTAACTGGTCGTAACTCCAGAGGAACTTCCACCGACAAAGACTGTAGGAACTGGGTGGAAAAGACAAATCAAGCTATGCAGGGTAGCAGAAATCTCTCATGCTTAAGCATTTTATCAGTTTTTTTTTAATGGGTCTTAATTATTGTGTTCTCTAAATTATCTCTCCTCAGGGTTTTCTCCTCAGAAAAACTCACATATCAGCCAGTTTGTTTCATCTGAGTCGCCCCCCCTCTCATCAAGCAACTCTCCCGTCCTGCCACCTCCTCTTCCAGCAAAGTCTCGTGAATTGACACCCCGAGACTCGCCTTCTCCGATCATCTTCCAACCAGAGGACCAGCCCTGTGCCTCCCCTCCCCCGATAAGTCGCAGTGGCACAGCCAGAGTCAGTTTCCGGGAGCCAATCAGCAGCAGCTACTCTGTGGAGGAGGACGACGATGAGGAGGAGAATGAAAATGAGGGGGGGCTTGGGGAAGAAAGTAGAGAAAATCAGCAGGATGAAGAGGAGGTGGAGGAGGGAGGTTTCGGAAGCAGGCTGCATCTGCAGAAAGGCATCCCACCGCAGATGGATCTGCTGGGTAAAATGAGGCTTTCGGGATGTGCAATATTAACTAGAGTTCATTCAGTGTTTTTCACTATTTGTTTCTCCGCTCAGATGGCTCCTCGTATCAACAGCGCAGTCTGAGACGGGGGTGGGGGCGTTGCCGCATTCCCTCAGACCCGGCTCTCCACCCGGGGTCAGAGAGGCGCTGTCGGAGCTTACGGCCCGACCGGCCCCGACTGGACATCCTGGACTGGAGAAGTGAGAAGGACAGGGACGGCCGGGGCTCCTCCAGGGGCTCCTCTCTGACCCTCCAGCCAGGGCAGTACAAACATGAAGACTGCTCCACCTGCTCCTCGTCCTCTGACTCGGAGGAGGAAGGCTTCTTCCTGGGACAGCGCATCCCTCTGCCCCCACAACTTCAAAAGCAGCAGGCTGTGGAAGGCCAGGACAGGGAGGAGGAAGAGGAGGGGAGGGACATGAAAAGAGACTTTGGACTAAGGGGCAGCTTAAGGAGGAGGAGGGCTCTCAGCCAGAGTGCAAAGGACAAAGATAAAAACTGTGCTATCTCCTAACCAACAGCAACCGAAAACACGGCACATTACCTTCTTAAATAAATCCCGGGGCACTAGGATAACTTCTAAGCATTATTACTGTGGTGTTAATTGGGCTTCTGGTGGTGATGTAGTGTTTTTGAAAGGCTGAAAAATTCCCTCTGTCCCTGACTTCTGATAAGGGAGCAGACTAACCTCAGAGAAGCCTCTGCCTTGTGTTTCTGGTATTGATGTCTCACCGTTGGACTTTTTGGTATTATGTCATATAATATTATGGAATATTATGAATGAATCATGTGCACAATGTGAATATGGAGTGAGTATTTGATAAGACCTGCGTGCAGTTGATTGAAAGTGGCTTTGATGTCGCTGTGAAATGTTACTGCTCTAACATGTTTACATATGCTTCACACAGGGCCAGTTTCAGGAGGACAGGGTTCCACTTTGGCCTTAGTCACCTAATTTGGACAGAATACTTTCCATCACTGTGAAATGTTCCTTCGAACCGGATTTTTTTTTGTCTAATTTATCCCACCATGTTCACAAAGCAATGTTCTTTAGCACTACATGTCAAAGCAGTCAATGGGAGACAAACGTTATGCAATTATTTTTTAACCCAAACGTAGCAGTTGTTGTTCTCTGGCTGAAAAAATATGGCATTGTCATTACTCCCTTTAATGATCAAAATGAACTTTTTAATGTGTTTTTTTTCACTTTTCGAGTTTGGATTACCACAAACAAATTGCCATAATAACACTGTTTCTTAAATTTCATTTATCTGTGCTGTTAAGTGCAATCTTCATGTGGATGTGATGTTTTACATTTGTGGATTCAAAAAGACCAAATGTAAAGGTCTCTATTTGCTGACACGTGGTGATTTTTCTGATGTGTGGGGGTTGCTGTTGAATCTGAACAAAACACTGTAAGGTCAACTTAAAAGTCATCTATTTTTATGTACACAGTGTGAGTCACTCTTCTTTGTATTATCTGAGATAAAACTACACATGAAATACCTGCATTTTACTATGATTGTATTTTGTCTGACAAGCTTGTCCAGACAAGTCCCTCTTTATCCTACCCTGTTAATTTTGGATAACAGAATATCTCTGTATGCCGTGTAGTTTCAGCAGTGGGTGAATGCAGGGTGAGATTGTCTTTGTGGAGAAATTAGGTTATAACAAAAAAAAAATCAATCTGTCACTTAGCACTTCCTTATTGGAATCTTATTGAATTTAGAAACCTTAAGGTGACGTACTTTGACTTTAATAGAGGATTCAATATAGCGCCAGTTGCGTTTTCTCTTAAGGAAAACTTTTTACAACTATCCACTGTAATTTAGATCAACAACATGAAATATTTGAAATAATCGCAGGGTCATGCAGTCAGAGTTTGACTTTCTTTTCCTTGAATAAGTCTGATTGGTCCAATCAGCGAACGGGGCGGGGCTAAGAGCGGCACCCATGAGTTGTCAAACAGGTTCTTCTTCTGCTGCTAAGAAAGGGTTCAAACGGTTAATGCGGGAGGACGGCGTCGTCTGCTCGCGGGGCTTCAACAAGAACCCCAGCGGGGACCCGGGTGTCCGACTTAAACCGTGCAGGTGAGTGTCCGGTGGAGAAATAAGCTTTTGGAATGTTGTTTCAACCGGCCCACCTTCGTTCAGGTAGGTCGGGGCTTGTCGAGGCACGTCTGCGGCGTAGGCCTCGAGGCTGCTGTACCTGAGGGCAAGTCGCTGTTGTTTACCTGGCCCCGGCTATCTTTGTTTAACTCGACTTCCAGTTTCACTTAACGTTTGCCGTTCGCTCTCCGCAATAGCACGCGAGCGTTTGACTTTGAAACGTTACATTAGTGGCTCTATTTTGGTTGGACTGACCCACCTCTTGACATTCCTCTATGCCGTGTCACCCATCAGCCTAAATGTCATTTATACGTTGTGTTGCTGGCTCTCATTGTCCGTGAGGGGGAGGAGGAAGGGGGTCACTTTACTTTTGGAGGTCTGGACACTTGGAAGCAGGTGAGATTCTGGAGGGGGGTGGGCGGAGGATATACTGAAGGTTTCATAGCTTTGTCAGCATGAGTTTGGCAGGCTCAGTAAGGAATGACAAATATTTTGAGAATTTGACTGGCACATGCAGACTGGAGCATATTTTCGGCTGGCTCCCTGGATCTTTATGAGAGGTTACAGACGGTGGGTCTGACGTTCACAGTGTAAAGCCGTGTAACGGTGGCAAGTTGAGTTTCACGTCTCTGTTTAATTCGATCCCACAAAGGCTCTTGGTGGTACTCCTAACGCTGGCCACTGGCTGCTTTATTTAGGGCTGAGGAGTCATTGTTCCCATAGCAGCTGTTAGTGTGTGTGTGATCTGCTCTGTATTGCCTCCAGACAATGGCTTGTTGACAGCTGTTCTGATGCCTCCCCATCACCCCTCTCTCACACAGACTCAGACACTCATTCTACCACTCCTTTCACAGGCCTTCCTCTAGCTGAAAATGAAGTGTCAGTTTTATTGTGTGTTTGTCTGCCGAAAGATGGATGGCTGCTGGTAATTGTTTAGTTCCGACTTGTGCCAGCAGCCAATGAACTTCTTAGCTGGGCAAGGCTGGCGGACAGCCATTGGCCGGTGTTGTAAATAAACGGGTCTATGGTTGTGGGGTCTTTGTGGCTTCGTAGGGGACTAATGAGATGCTTTTTTTTTTTCTTTTAAAGTAGATGTTTAGATTTGCCTTTTAATTGAAGTTCTTTACCGAGCTGAATCTTTACTGTTGTCTTTGCAGGAAGTCCAGAGTTGCATCTCCTCGTAAGGCCATCAAGATGACCGTGAGGCAGCACGGCAGAGGCACAGATAAAGGATCAAACTCAGGGCTTCTATTCCAGGCTTGCCGTAAAAATCTGTAAACAGACAAGTTGTACAGGTGCAAAAACCGTGAGGCAAAATGCCCATGGAGACCTTCCAAAGCTCCGCAAGGCAACCGGCGAGGGCCGCGCTGGTGGTTTCACCGCCACGCTTGCGGCCCAAGGGCCCGGTGGGACCGGACTTCTACCGGAGGATCCCAGCGGCGGCTTACGGGCCGAAGCAGAGTGCCGTCGAGAGGCTGGAGGCAGACAAGTCCAAATACGTCAAGAGTCAGGTGGCTCTCTCCAGGCAGCGGCCCGTTGGACCCCCCGAGGTGCTCAAACCTCTGCTAAGCCCCAACACGCCCCTGCGCCCCACCAGGAAGACCCCCGCCCAGGCCAGGGCCAAGCAGGAGGGCGTCCAGCTGGACTTGGAGCACCTGAGCAACCTCATCAGTGACGTCGCCAACGGGCCGCAGCCCGGCGCCGCCCCGGGGTGGAAGGACGGCCAAGCCCCCGAATGGACAGCCCGCACGCAGCCCCCCCCCTCCAAAAGCAGCCCCCGGCAGATTAAGGAGAAGCCACCCCCGCCTCCACGTCCAGACCGGCCTAAAGAGAGGTTAAAAGCATGTGGGCCGGCCGCGGTGGACGGCCCAAGCTCCCCAGGGGCCGCGGCTGCTGGGACCGTCCGGCGAGTGGACGTCATGCCTCAGACGGGCCCTGGGAGGGCGGCTGGCAGACCTCCTCAGTTCATGCGGCCGCCCCTCCGCCCCATGCCTTTACATTCCAAGGTTTTGTTCCACCAAACTGTGTCTAACCTGCGCGTCTTCCAGCCCAGAGCAGCGCCCGGTCCCTCTCCTCTGAAGCCGGTGGCGGTTCCATCCAAGCCCGACCCCGCCGCCGCTCCTCCTCCCCCTGGTGCCGCAGCCCCCGCTCCTGTCCCCCCCAGCCTCCCCGCCATCCCGCCTCCCTCCCCAGCTATCACCCGCCTGTCCTCCTCCAGCTCCAAGAAGCGCCGCTCGCTGACCCGATCAAAGTCGGACATGAGTGACCGGTACTCCCGCGCCGGCACCGAGCTGGAGCGCTTCTTCAACCTGTGCGGGCTGGACCCGGCCGACCTGCAGGACCTGACCGGCTCCAGCTCTGACATCGTGTCACTGGCTCGCTTCCGCAGCGTCAGCGCTCCGGGGTCCGAGTGCGCCGGCTCCGACAGGGAAGGGGAGGACGAGGAAGAGGAGGAGGAGGAAGTCGCTGGCAATGCTGCAGGCCGTGTTCCTTATGGTATTTCTGTCATCGAGAGAAATGCAAGAGTGATCAAATGGCTCTATGGACTCCGGCAGGCCAAGGACAGCCCCACCAAAAGCACCCATCTGTAGCACGGGCTGAACACTGTAAGCTTTGGTTCAACAGGGAAAAATTCAACTGTTCTTCCTTTTCAGTCTAAAAATTCTGATCATTCCTGGAGGGACATGGTCCTGTTAAGGAATAGAAGTGTGTTTTCTATGTAATCCACCCTACGGTGGTTCCATTTTTGGTTCTGTTTTGTTGTCTGTTGTTTTTTTGTTTGGCTGTGAAAATCACGTTCAGGTCTTTTTGTGATGTCCGATACTTGTTGCGTGTCCAGTATTCAGAGCCAATGACGTCTCCGTGGCAGCCGCCTCACACGGAAGTGACCTTGACGCCGGACGGACCACATTGTGCTGTAAATGAACGCCATTAAAGCTGAAATGGTACGAGCATGTTTTCCGGCCTCCCTCTGTTTTGTGTTGCAGGTGGACGCACTGAACAAGTGAATGCTAGTTGACCTTTTTGTTAATACACTTGGAAAAAAATGACCAACATGTATAATTTTAAGCTGTGGAAGTGGAAGTGCACTCCGGTCTCAGAAGCTGGCATCGTACTCTTTTAAAGGTATGATCTCATGCTCTTTCGTCTCACCTGCCTGACGTCAAGTTGTCCCACACTGTGACTTCTTGGACTTGCTAGATTCCACCTTACATGCAGTTTGTGTCGGACAGGCTTTGACCTCATCTCGTGTTGACCTACATCTTTGTGGATGGTTAGCTTTGAGGACGATCGCGGTCCTGTTCAAAGATGCGTTTCTGGCTTTTGGACGGACAACCTCCCATCGTCCCTCAGCCCCGTTTAGAGCAGCCTGTAGTCACCGGACACCAGCGCCACAGGCACCGCGCTCAGAAAACCATTAGTCAGCTTAAATTGTCATCTGTTTATTGGGGGCAAACAGATTTCACCCATCGGGGCAAAAGCACATTCTCACCAATCTTTGGTTTAACTTGAGTGTTTGTTTTTTTTCCTGTTGTAAAGATCTAATCTGCCACTTAGACCCCTACAGCTGGATGTTTTGGGGTTGTTGAGCCCGTTCCTGTTTTGTTTTTCGTTTCAGCATGGTGACACAAGCGAAGGGTGGACCTGCCTCACATGTCATTATCTAAGCGTCTATGCGTGCAAAGAAGTGATAAATATGCTGCTGCAGTGACATCGTCCGTGTCACTGATGTGCTTTTGTATAATGATTTGAATAACGAAAATGCTATTTGGTTATTTTACCTCTTTATCTGTAGACGCTAAAGAGAAAAAAGACGGGCCCTTTGAAACGACTGGAGGCTCACGATGGAGCAGAAAGGCTTTATTTTTACAGAGGCAAGCAGCACACAAGCTCCACAAGTCATCGGAGCAGACTAGAGTGATGTACTTTGTTCCCCCGGGGGCAGGAATACATGCAGCCTCTCACCAGCACGCTTCACTCTGATATGCAGAAGAACCACTCATCAAAATTGCAGAACCACGGAGGCGGTGGGATCACTGAGCTCTCGTTTTTAACATTTCATGACCTTATTCTGCACATGTAGAAAATCTTAAATCCCTTTTATGTGACTCCTAACCTGATTGTTTCAGTATGTCACCATTATCCGCCCCATTTGAGGCCATTGGAAGATCAGCCTGACTGCAGCCGGAGCTGGAGGATGAGCAGGTCGAGCACATAAGAGCGCCCCACTCTCCAACGCAAAAGAGCTGGCCAACCAGATTCCTGATTCACACTGATGTGGAAGTGTAAGAGCAGTCTGAAGATTTAATTTTAGTTACAGTTTAAGCGGAGTGCGGCTGATTCTGCTTCGGATGTCGCTCAGACAGGGGAGGTTCTTTACCCCCCGGGGAGGCCTTTCCATGGACAAGAGAACCTGGAGACTTTAAGAAAAAGAGAAATGAAGCATGAGGCTCCGACGGTAAAATGTCATGCCCTAAAATGACTTGAGCTTTTTCTTTGTGACTCGTCTTTTACAGGGAACCCCCACCTCTTAAAGTCACATGACCCAAAAACAGGAAATCATCTTGTCTGAGATCAACCAAAGCTCGGCCAGGCTGGCTCTGTGTTCTCATGCATCACCGGGTTTTTCCTTTTCCACGTTGCTCTCTGGATGGAATCCACAAGAGAATGTCGGTCCCATATTGCAAAAGACCCAGATGGAGTGGGTCAAGACCGGCTTTCAGGCCTGCAAAGTGGATACCCTCACGCTAACTTTTACAAAGGTGCATGAGAGTCCAAAATCAATCCTGAAAGTCAAAATCTACCTAAAACTGTTCATCTGACTGAATGTGAACAGAGGAGAAAAAGAGAGAAGCATGAAAAAGAAAGTAAATAATGAAAACAGTATATATCTAAGGTTTGGCACAATGGGTGGACGTGGTTAAACTTGCTGCGTTCTCGGTTTGTAGATCTGTACAAAAACTTCAGTCGTCTGGCTGACCTTTGCCCTGATCCTTTAAAGATACACAGCGGCGTGCACAAAAAAGAGTTTACATAGAGAGCAATACGATTAACCAACAATACATTCTAAGCAAAATGAAAAACAGGCTGGAGGGCTTCAGGCTTCAAAGTATATTGCTTCTTTTAAAAGCAATAGTGAAATTTTGGTGTGATTATCATGGGTTCACAGCCCATCATTAATCCGTATTGTTCTTAGCCCAAACTCGGGTAAGAGCGACAGATCTGTTTCAGGTTAAAAGAAAAAAACAACACAAACAGGACAGACGAAACACTTTTCCTTATGGAAATGTGTGGTGGGAACTAATCCCACACTTCGACAATGCATTGTACAAAAATATGTTTTTTTCTTTATTTTATTTTACAGTTACAGCCATTAAAAACATTCATCTGGAACTGAATACAGTTAAATGACAATAAAATTCAATAATAAAGGTTTTAAAGAGAACCCATCTGGAGTTACACACACGATAAGTACTTCTCTCCTTCAGCGCTGATGCATATTTTCATATCTTTTCTTCTAAAACAGACTTTGTTGTGTGAGTCATTTCTGCCTAGAATCTTGTCTTTAAAGGTTAGTAGAAAAATGTAATTTTCTCTCAAAAAGGCAGGAAGAATGTGGGTCAGCCAGCATTTCTTCATTTCCATCAGCATATGTCTGTGTGTGTGTGTATGTGTGTGTGTTCTACATCTTCACCCATTGCAGAGAAGCTCATCGCCGCTCCGTCGCTGGACCCTGGACTCACCCTCTGGCCACTGCCTGGTTGTCATGGCGGCAGATCTGGTAGGACAGAGCTAGAATATTGCAAAGTTGTGTTGGGTCGAGCCTTTGAACCTGAGTGAGTGAGGTTTGGAGGATGGGAGGAGGCCTTGATCAAGTCATTCTCAGTCCATGGGTGGAACACTGACACGAGCCCATCTGGACCCATCTGGACGCATTACTACAGTCATGGGGTTCCTGTCCCACCAGCAATGGTCACAGACTTCATTATGTGGCAGCACACAGCATAGTTCTTTTCCTGCTGATGGGGTCAGTTTAACTTTCAGCCTTTTACTTGAAGCTATTCATTCATTCTTTCAGCCTTTTTATTTCTGATATGCTGAAAACTCCAGTTTTGCTGGACTTTGCCCTTTTCACACTTTGCGGACCACATTTATTGTTCATATCATCAAATTGGGGGTCTCCGGGTACGTCTCCGAAAGGTGTACCACTTTCTCCTGGAATTACGTCCACACTCCTCCTGCCTGGAGAACAGTGCTTTAATTGTAAATTTCCTGATATTTTACCTTAAATTACCACCACGTTTTCTATGGTAATTGACCTGACACTTCGACTTAAGCATTAGTATGACCACTTTTTTCCCAGAAACCAAAACCAATCAAATATAAGGACTAATTAAACGTTCTAAAAGTTTCATTCTTGAATTAAATGACTTAAATCAGTCATCCGTTTTCTTCCTTACCGCCTCAGATTGGTTTCACTCATCCCCAGCCGGACCGGTCATTCCCATCTCCCAACTCCCTGGAGTTTTTCAGGCTGGACACCATCCGTCACGCGTGTTGCCTGTTGGTTACGCCAAAAAAAATGTTGGATCTTTTTCTTAGTCCGTCTGAGGAATTAAGAAAAAAATCAAACCTCAAGCACGACCGCGCACGTGAATCGTTGGAAGTACCAAAGCGCTGCGACTGTAGAGGAATGTGCATCACTTTTTCTTAAAACCAGCATCCAGTCAGCAAAGCCTAATCTCCCCGACCACCTCCAGGAGGAGATGTCCTGTGTTTTTTTTTTAACTAAACCACCTGTTCTCGCACCTCCGTGAACAGTGAATAGCAAGCACTTCTGGGGCGCGTGCGTCATATCAGATCACATCTGAACACTTTGCTCCTGTATCTGGGAGAGGACAGCAGTCAGATGAAAACAGTAATGGGTGGAATGTTCCCTCCACAGCTCAGAGGGGATGGAGGCGCAGCCCCACGCGCTCACAGGAAGCTGTGGCCGTTCAACCTGCGGCTCACCTGAGTCCTTCTCTCCCAGCCACCCGACCATGACTTGCTTTGGGAACTTTACCAACCAGCTCCAGAGAGTGAGGAATCTCCTATGGAAGCAGAACGAGGAGCCATGCGGCGGCGGTCAGCCGACAGTAAGTCCCAATCCTCCTCTGACTGACCAGTCGTGTTTCAGACGTTTTGTTTGTGATGCGCGTGATGTGAATCGCGTTACATATATTTTCTCATCATAATTAATGTTAATTAGTGCCTTCTGACGGATACACAGTTAACATAATTAATGTGCCTTCTGAGTGATACACAGTTAACCGTCCCTTGTCTTCTCATTCCATGGATGGATTTACAGACACTGATTCTTACGGATCACTTTTTTTTCTTTTGCGCACCCTCGCCTTAGTTTTGCGTTTCCTGCAGAGTTTGATTCTCTTTATAAGAATAACACCTCAAACTTCTTCAAAGGGCTGAATATCCTGGATGATGACGTAAGAGCAAAACTTTTTTGCGAGCGCACGCAATACGTTTGCTTGGGAAGGCAAAAGTATTTTTTTTAATTATTATTATGAGCTTTGGTAAAATGTTTATTCGAGTAAGAAAGACAAACATTTAATGAAAGTAGTAGTTCATCTTATTTGCTTTAATTTTCATTTGGTTTAAAATCACTTCACTTTGCGCATGACTCTATGCTGATAATCCAGATTTGTGAAAACAAATGTTCTGCTCCTTTTTTAGTGTGGTGCTTATTAGAAAGCCAGTGAATCCGAACATCAGCTGTCTTGACTGCATGAGTCAGCTGACTAATAAATCTTCCTTCCTTTGCTGGTTCTAGCAGGGCTCAGCTGGGATCCCTGTGGTCAGGAAGGTGTGTTATGCTGTAGGTGGGGTCCCATGTCAGATGGCCGCAGCAGCCATTGGTATTTCCCTGCAGATCTTCCTCCTGGACGTTGTCAAGGTAAAGATCCGAAACGACCTGTACTCCTCTGACCCACTGACCTTTTGAAAGTGAATTCAAAAGTCTTTTCAGATGGAGGCCATGTACGTGTCCATGATCCTGTTTGCGAGTCGAGCCTGGGATGCTGTGACGGATCCTCTGGTTGGATACCTGGCCAGCCGCAGCAACTGGACACCCATTGGCAAACTCACGCCATGGTGGGTTGGGGTCTGAATTTCGCCTCCGTTCATCATCCTGAGCTGTGACCAAGAAACCCCCTTCACTCTGTATCTCACAGGCTGGTCATCTCCACCCCATTTGCCGTCCTGTCCTATGCCATGCTGTGGTTTGTGCCCACAGACTCCATGTCAGAGGCCGGCTGCGTGCTCTGGTTCCTCATGGCGGCCTGCCTCTTTGAGACACTCATGAGTGTATGTATGTATTTCTGTAGTTGTTAAGTACATTCAATTAAGGTTTCTGTTCTTTACATTGGTAAGTCCGTTTTATTATGTTATTAACACAAGCCCAATCTCCTTTTAGAAATTATTTCCGATGTGCTTACAATCAGCTGCCGTGAACTTTGAAAAATGTAAACACTTTGAGCTCTTGGTGGCAGCAACATATAAAAAGGAAATTAAAATGAGGCGTATTTACTATTATGTCCAAAAAACCTGCCTCTAAATGACAAAACATAATACGAGATATCAACGGTTCCGCAGTTGCTGCTTGTGGTCTAAACTTTCTTTCAGAGGTATATAAGTTGAACTACAACTAGTGATCTACAAGCAATGCTTGTTTGAAAACATGAGTTGGTGGATGCTTTTTTCATACTTAATCTTGGCACCTTGGGTTAGCAGTTAATTCACTTATAGAGTTTTCCAGGACACTATTACTTATCTAAACTCGTGTTTTTCTGTTTCTTTTGCCACAGCTTTAAAATTTTTGCAGACGATTGAAAGAACTTCTTTTGGAGTTCTCTGAATTTCCATTTTTGGAACGTTTCCCCAAATGAGGCTGGCACTTCCATTCCACTTTTTTTTAATTACTTGAAATCTTTTGCACTTTTAGTCAGTATTGCTAAAGTTTAACATAATTTACACACTCAATTTTAAGATACCAAGACTAGATTATTGGTTTTCAAACTTTTTGACCACTAACATCTTTCAAAAAGATTTCTCAGCAGGTGAAGCAGCTCCTCCAAAACTGTGTCTTTCTCTAAACGTTTGCAAATGTTCAGCTGATTCAATCAAAAGATCACAGTGAAAAGTCCTTCACTTCCTGTGTTGTAGCAGATATTTTATACTGTGTTTTAATGACATTTCAGCTTTGTATAAGTTATTTCTTCTCAAACACCTTATAAATAAAACATCAATAGAGAGAGGAGCTGAAACAAGCGTTCTGGCCTCTAACCTCATGTTGTCTTCCTGTCCTCGGTGAACAGTGCTACAACGTCCCGTACCTCTCACTGAACATGTTCCTGGGTGGACATCAGAGGGACAGAGACTCCGCCACAGCCTACAGTAAGGATGCATCTCACGATGGCCTGAGGCCAAACAAAATGTCTTTCTGCCATCTATTTTTTGTTGTTGTTGTTGTTGCCAGGAATGACTGTGGAGATGTTGGCGATGCTGCTGGCTTCAGTGATTCAGGGCCAGGTTGTGTCGGTGTACGGCAGGGAGAAGCAGGAAGCCTGTGAGCAGCTGGACCAGGCTGCCAGCGCACCACCCGGCACATCTTCACCACAAACCGTGTCGCTACAGGAAACGGTACCCGGCCTAACAGCTTTGTGTTGGCACTGTACTGGCCTCCGCTCAGGGGGATCTGGTTACACTGTAATTAACTGTTCTTGGCTCGACGCAGGTATTGTTGTGTCTTCAACCGTGGCATATGCATGCTTATACTTATCTTACTGACACTGGGCGACATAAACCTGAATCTACCGAAAACTTAGTGGAGCAACGGCATGCCTCGTAAAACCTGGTGGGAACAGTCTGGCTGTCTTTGCCTCTCATTGGTGCAGATTTAATCTGTCTTCATGATTTAACCCTAAAATAGCTAATGTTTCTCCTTTTAGATTGTTATGTTTGTCAGTTGTCTCATTTAAACTTTTAATAAAACAGTTATTGAGTCCAAATGAAAGCCTTTCCTTTAACCACAGTGCAGTCAACACTGAGTGAAACACGGTTTGAGAGCAAGGTTATAAAGTTTGGAAGCATTAGTTTTGTACTGTTTGTATGCATCTTTTGATTACTTTTTTCTTTATATATAACTGTTTTATTGGTTCTATATTCTCCTTCTGCCCCCCAGCAAAAGGCCTTTCTGTCCTCTGCTCTGGCCATGGGCAGCTTGTTCTTCCTCTGCAGCCTGGTTCTCTTCTTCGGTGTGAGGGAGCAGAAGGGTGAAACACAGCAGCGCTCACACTCTATAAATAGAATGGCTAAGTACTGTAATTAACAGATCCAGCTATGCGAAAAAGAAAGTGCACCCCATTGCATCACAAAGAGAATTAGGCCTCTTTAGCCCTGAAACAGCCATGTTTTCACACACCGCTTCCACATATTGGCTTTTTTCACATCCAATAAATCATTATGCTACTTGTAATATGCAGCTGTCCATGTGAGGTTTTACTCATTTAGTTTGGTTACTTGGTTAAGAGGATAGTTGTTTTTTTTATTAACTAACATGTATACCCAGAATTGAAAGGTCCATTTTATTTTTCTTCGTGATGTCATTTAGTTTATAGCTCAAATCTCAACATAAATGAGTAGATCTCTCCTTTTCAGTTATCAGTAAAAAAAAAAAATATTAATATAATGGTTTTCTCAGCTCCCGTCTGCTCTGATGACAAAAGGCAGCCATCATACCTGAGCTCCCTGAAGATGCTGATATGCCACATTCCTTACCAGAGGCTTGTGCTGGGCTTTGTGTTCAGCGTACTTGGATTTCAGGTATTTGTCACAACAGAATCCTATCTTGCCAACTACTGGTCCCAGGATGTTTTTTTTTTCTTGATCTCTTTTTTTGCCATTTCCAAATTCATGCAAGCATTTGCTGATATCAGGTAAACTTTTTGCTTCTCTGTCTTTTTCTGAGATGTCTTTGGGCAACTTTGCACTGTTCTGCAGTGAAGCAGCTGGTCTGGGATCCCAGTTCCAGCTCCTCCTGCTGGTCTTACTGGTAAACTGCACCCAGATTATAAACACTACTTAGCTGGAAGTTTCTAAGTGTATAAATTCAGATTGATTTTTTTCCTTAAACATTTTCGATGGAAAAATGTTGTAATATCTGTACAGGTTTCCGCTTCATTAGCAGTTCCCCTGTGGCAAATGGTTCTTCTGAGAATTGGGAAAAAGACCACACTCTTCGTTGGACTATCGGTGAGAAATCAGACACTCTTACAATTTTTCCATAAAGGTTTTATTCGCCGTCACAAATAAGTGTTGACATTTCGGTCCCAGCTCTTCATCCCAGCAGCCATCGTTGTGGCCTGTTTCCCCAGTAACCTGCCAGTCTTTATGACCATGTGCGTTCTGATGGGATTCAGCATAGCGACCATGTTCTTGTTACCCTGGTGAGTCAGACTTTGGGCTTGGCACAAGCTCTTGACTCTGGAGAGTCAGAAGTATTCCAAAGACTGTGCATTCTCTTTGACTGATCAGAACTTTTTGTGATCTCCGCTCATAACGTGCATGCTACAGGTCAATGCTCCCAGATGTGGTGGATGACTTTGCTTTGAAGCACCCTTCCTGTAAAGACCTGGAGCCTCTGTTTTTCTCTGGTTATGCTTTCTGCAGTAAGCTGGCGGGGGGGCTATCTGTTGGACTGTCAACCATGACATTACAGTGAGGCTTTCATCGGCCGCTTCATGAATCTGTTTTGTGTGCGCACCGCTGGGCATTTCATTTCCTTTTTTTTTTGTTTTTCTCCTCTGCTCCGTCTGCAGGATTGCGGGCTACAAGGCAGGTGCATGTAACCATGGTGATGGAGTGGCGATAGCTCTGATTGTGCTGTTCGCGCCAGTCCCCATCGTGCTTCTGCTTATAGGGATGGTGTTCTTTTGCACATATCCAGTCAATGAGAGGCAACGCTTACAGCTCCAGGAACAACTCCAGTAATAAACCCTTTGGATTACTTTTATTCTCTTTTATTCAATGGTTGTTCAAAATTTTAGTGCTTACTTTCACGCAAATCAAGTACTTGGACTGACTGGAGCCAGAGCCCGGTGATCTTAGCTCATCTTTCCTGGGGTACTTGTTGAATAAAGGCAGAATACAATGATCCCAGCTGTAATGGAGATATGAAGGTACTTCTTACCATAGGGCAGGGAGACATGTGAGCGCTATTTTGGATGGAATGCTCTTCCACTGCCTGCAGTTACTGTTGCCAATAGATTTCTATTTATATATCTATTTAGCTGTAAAAGTCCAAACGTAGTGGAGGAGTTGATATTAGGACACTGTGAACGTCTGCTTATGAACGAGCGGCGTCATAATCAGATCCCCCGAAAACCCTAACTCTCTTTTATTGGCCAATATTGGAAATTGAAAATAGGATACAAGAGAAAGCATTTATACAATAAAGCCTTTAAACACTCAGGTGTGATGTTATGTTCACTTTCTCTATTGAACACATTACAAGCATAAGATGATGTTTGATATTTTGTTTTGGTTAGTTAAAAAAGATAGAAAATTGAAAAAGAAGAATGTTTACTCTGAAGTCAGCAGCTTGTTTTAGTAAAGCTTCACCTGGGGCAATAAACTGATGGTGCTTTCATATTAAATAACTTTACTTGCAAAACTAGCCAAGTAATTCCAAATGTAAACCAACACTTTTCTCTTTTTTTTTGTTGCTTGTATTCTTTATTTAGCTCAGAGGTACCGCCAACATCCTCACCAGTCCCAGAGGAATGCCTCGAGCCAGCAATCTTGCAGGAATCAACTGTCGCTGTGGTATCAGCGTCAGACTCCAACCCGAAGACCAGCTCTCTGAACAAATCCCACTCCTTTCCACGCTCTTACCGACATCATAAAAACGGCTCACTTAAGTATTCCATTCGTTCAAACGGCTCACTTAAGGATTCCATTCGTTCAACCGTGTCACATATACCTTTTGGGGAAAATTGCACGTCATCGCCACATGTTGTTTCCGAGAGAAATCCTAAGCCTCAAAGACAGAGTCTGAAAGGGCCCTCAGCAGAAGGTGCACCGGGGGTTCATCTCTCTGGGAACCCGGCTGATTCTTGCAAAAGGTCACAGGTGCGCTCCAGAGTGTCGTGGGTATAGAGGGCTCTGCCACTGGGATCCAGAGAAAGTAGACTGGGATGTAAACACCTGCATGACTCGCCATGCTGCTTGCACTCATTAAAATAACAGGTAGCAGTATAATTAAAAAAAAATCTAGAGAACACACTTCACTTTCTAACGTATGATAGCAGAGATAAATGTATTTTTCAGTTTTTTTTCTTTTAAATATATCTTGTGACATTGAAACATATAAGGTAGCAGTATATCAATTCTAGGGCCTCAGATTGAGAGCTCTTGGATACCTGTTGATTAGAGAGCTTTGTTCTATTTGCTATTTGCTCTATTTTAATTTACTAAATGTGATCATTTTGGCAGTTTTTGTTTTTACACTATTTGTGACTTTCATAAATAACAAGCCCAAGAAATCAGAACTGTCAACTTGCCGAGTTAAAGCTGAATAAAGAAGCCAGTGAGCAAAAAGGGGTCTTTATTTTGGACTGAAATTGACTGATTTGCCCTCTGGATGTAGAAGAACTCTTTTGACCAGCTTTTTGCTCTGCAAACACATCGGTGTGTGAAATCGTTTATCGTATTTTATTTGTGGGTAAAATGTGGCATACAGAAAACTTATATTTTATAGAAATTTACGTGAATATATGGAAATATTTACCAAAAAGAGTGATACACCAAGTCCCGGAAGCTTCTTGCAAGACAAACAGTGTCTAAACACCTTTGATTGGTATAAAAGTGGCCGATACCTAAGTCTTCAGTTAAAACTAAAACTAAAATTTGTTGTCATTATTTCATATCTGTATGTACCTTGCTGGCATCTGCTCCAATCTTTGACTTAATGTCCTATGCTCACTGTGTGGATCCCCGTGACAAATGCCCCACGCATGAGTTCCCAAACAGGCTGAGCACACTGTGCAAAGTGGAGGCCAACACACACGCCCAAGCAGCCCATCATCTGCTCAGTGGGGGGAAAACAGTTGGTGTAAAGAATACTAATTGAGACAACTGTGATGTCGGTATTAAATGCTTTGCAACTGTTTTTGTTTAACAGAATCCACCCACAGTAAATTGTTGAATGTAAAGGTATTCCAATAACGGTATGGGCATGTCTTTTACGGCTTGAAATGTCTGGAGGGAAGCTTTAAATTCAGATAACCTAATTCATAGGCACCTTCTCAAAGAAATACCCTGAATATAAAAACGTTCGCTTGTAGTCTGATTGCCAGCAGCATTTAATGTCTAGTTTTTTTTTAAATATATATACTTAGTTGATATTGGGCCTACCAGACCATTGGACTGTAACCAGATGTGTCAGGGGTCTGTGTGAACGACCAAATAAAGTTTTTAAGGAAGGATCATTTATTAAAGGTGGACCAAGTGGATTATATATATTTATATATATATGTGTGTGTGTGTGTGTGTGTGTGTGTGTGTGTGTGTGTGTGTGTGTTTGGCTGGATTACATAGCTAAGGGACAAGTTTAATGATGTTGATTTCAGGGACCTCTAATAGGAATCATTTTAAATTAGCTGGTTCAGATACTAATATCATCATTACATTTCCCTAACGTCGATTTTTGCATGGTTGTTGGACGTTTGCTGTTAAAGAGGTTTACATTTTGAGCTTTTTGAAGCTTCCGGGGGGGAAAAAGAATAGTGTAAAATGTTGATAATCAGGTGGCCAGTGCCCCCTCCGTGCCCACCGCCGTCAGCAGGCCGGCCCAGCCTCCTCCTCCTTCCGCTGCGAGCTTTGTAGAGTGGTCGAGAGGAGCGACACCGCGGAGCCAAAATGGGAGTTGAAATTGAGACTATAACTCCGGGCGACGGTAGGATTTGTTACTGCGGCCGGTTAGGACGCGACTGAATTCGGCCGAAAGGCTCGCAGCGGCCACGGTAAAACAACGTTTTAATCCATTTTTCTCATCCGAACAGGACGGACGTTCCCGAAGAAGGGGCAGCGCGTCGTGGTGCACTATGTCGGTGAGAGCTAAGGCTACTCTTTTTATTTTTTATTTTTTTGTTTGGAACAAAAGTTAGCCTGGTAAATGTGTTAAATGTGAGTGTTTTGGGGGCTGACTGACGAAGTCGAAACGATTAGTTTGGGCTAACAGCTGGCTGTCCGTAGCGGTAGCTCTTCGTTAGCATTGCGGCTAACACCCCTTCCCAATGTAACTAAGTGCCTCCTCGGCTAACATCGGCTAAAGTGATGCTAAGGCCGGACTTTTCCTAGCTTACTTCTGCTCTTAGTAACTTAAGCGGACCTAAATTATCTGGGCTGGAGGGACGAGGGAACATTCCAGATAACGGTACGGTAGCTGCTGTCAGCCCCCCCACCCCCCTCCACTTTAAGCCAAACGGTCCCATGATGCTAGCCGGCTAACGGTAGCTCTCAGACTTTTGGCAGGGTGTGTTGGGCTAATCGTGGAGACTGTGGAACTGAAAGCCAGTGTAAATGTCGAGCATCGCGCCTTTTAAAACCGCTCACTGGCCTCGCATTCGCGGCTACTATTCATCCTTCTCGTTTTTTTTTTTCCTCGCAGGAACACTTGCGGACGGGAAGGTGTTCGACTCCTCGAGGTCCAGGGAGAAACCGTTTAAATTCAAAATCGGGCACCAGGAGGTCATCCGCGGCTGGGAGGAAGGAGTGGCTCAGGTGAGGGGGGGGGGGCATCACCAGAAGCTGCAGCCTGCCTTTGAGAAGAACACATTTCTCTAGCAAATAGATGTTTTTACCTTGTTTTTCTTTTTCTTTCTTAAATGATACCCCTCCACCAGTATTTACATCTAACGGTGTTGACTCAGCCAAGGCTTTAAACAAGCTTAGGAATGACAAAGGGCAGATTGACAGGCTCTTCCCTCTCCTCCGCAGATGAGCGTAGGCCAGCGGGCAAAGCTCATCTGCTCGCCGGACTTCGCGTACGGCAGCAAAGGTCACCCCGGGATCATCCCTCCCAACGCCACCCTCACCTTCGACGTGGAGCTGCTCGGTCTGGAAGCCTGAAACGCGCGCACTCGGCCTCTAATGTCACTCACATTTTCAGGGTAAGTGGGTTTAAAATGAGGGAACATCCATCTTAAGGTTAGCTTATTACTCGGTATCTTCCCGTTTTGTTTTGTTTGTTTTTTTTCACACTTTTAAATAGACTGACTTTTTTGTTTTCGTGGAATTAAGAGATTAACAGGTGCTAAATAATTAGCTTTAGATTTCCTGTCCTTTAATCCCATTATGCCTCTCCACAGTTAAATCTCTGGCCTCTTGTTTTAGCTCTTTGTTTACTTTCTTTTTTGTTTATTTTGTTTATGCAGGTTGTCTCCTATTTCGGGACAATGGAGGAAAAAATGTTCACAGATGATTCCTGCTCTTGATCCTGCATAGGACCTATGTCTCTAGCTTCACTAGTTTATCCTCCGGTCCGTTAAGGTGCAAACCGAATTGTCACTTGCTTTAAAAACGGTATATTATTCTACCTGAGTTTCTATACAGTGATAAGTCATAGGCCTTCACCTCCCGTGTATTTTGTCATCCTCTGCTGTGTTTTTAAAAGTGATTTTTTTTTTTTTTTTTTGTACTTTGAATTGGCGGTTGACTCTCAAAATGCGCTGCCTTCAGGACCACGTCTTTAGATGCTGGATCAGACTCGCTCCTGTGGCTCTGTGGCCTTCAGTTAGATTGTGTTCTTTGCAGGCTGTATGAAAAAGTAAGAATAAATAGTTTACAGCAATCTTTCTACGAACAACTTTTGTGATACTTGCGCGTGAAGTAAATTGGAAAGGCGTGAGCGGGAGCAGAGGGGATGAACCAACCAACCAAGCACAGATTTCTTTTTTTTTTGGGACGCAAGCATTAAGTCTTAAATTATGTTCAATTGGTGCAATGTTTACAACACAGCAAAAGTGTCCATGGTGTAAACGTAGAGGATCACATTCTGCTGCCGGTTCCAAGGTGTCTGGGTCTGTTTCTTCCTCTAAAGATGCCATAATAAGTGGTTTTAACAGAAGCTGGTATCCCCCCACCCTCTGCCACTCACTAATATCTCACTGCTGAGCATTTTCTGCTTCCTGAAGCGTTATTTAAAGGCATCGCTGCACACTAACAATAAAAGGAAGGAAGGAAAACGAGCATCTCTCGTTTCCCGAGCGGAAACGGGGGGGTTTTGCTATATTTTCTGCTTAAATTACAGATGACCAGTGCAATGGTGGCATGGAGCAATTGGAAGATTTCCAAGTATCCCTTTGAGCTCAAGGAGGAGAGAAAGAAAAATGCCACCTTTAAATGAAAGGTGTCAGCCATATCTGAGCTACGTTTTCCAATAAAATCTTTGACCCTTCCACAGACTGGCTGCTGTCTGTTGTATTTGGCCGAAAAAAGATCCTCAAAAGCCAAAATTCCAGCTGGCTGTAACATCTCTGCACGCGCCTTTACGCAGAAGCAAAACTATTAGTTCCAATGGATCACAAAATGGTGCATGTTGACTATTTTTTTCCTGCATATTTTGAAAAGAAGTTATTGAATATAAGTGACTAGATAAGATTTTTAGAACCGGAGAAGTAAAATTAAAGTAGCTGCTTACATCAGATCTCCCGCAAACATTTCTGCCCCACATCGAACCAAAATAAAAAATTAAATGAAAAGCACAGTCTTGTTTTCATGGTTGATATGTTTATATTCTATCCAACATGTGAATAAACCTCTAACAATTCCAACAGAGCTGCAGATTTTTTGCTTTGTAAAACGTTATTTAAATTTCTTTCATTCTGTCTGTAGAGCTAATGTCCTTTAGAGATGAGCAGAGATGTGTGTGTTCTCCAGCTCTGGCCGCCTGACTTCTCCTCCTGAGATTTAGTGCACATTCTGTTCATGGGGGGGTCGGGGGGGGATGACTGAAATAGCTAAATGAATGTGGCTGTTTTTTGTGCTTAGCCTACCAGATGCTCACTTAAATTAATTATTAAAAAAGATCATTCTTGACTTTCACTCCCCGTTCCTGCAGACTTAAAAATCTTTACATATCATGAGGTTGGTAACTTTCCCTTAAAGTTGCACATTTTACCAGGGGGAGGGGGCGTTTTAATGCAAGCAGAGCAGCCCAAAACAAACCGAGGGTTACATGCAAGTTACAAGAGAGATAAAAAACAAAACAAAACACAGAATCTATAGATTTGATCAATCGAACGCATTACAGCTATTTATTTAGTTTATCCTATAATAAGCCAATGCATGACCACGGAACCGCAAGCAGCTTATGTTAAAAAAGGAAAGAATCTCTTAGAATGATCACAGAGGAGAAGTTCAGC